AAGAGCTCACTGCATTTCCTGTCCCCCTTCAATCCTGAACGAGCAGAAATAACATGAGCGCATGCCTTTGTATTGACGAGAGTCTTCAAAGATTTGTCCCCAGATGTTAATAGTTCTTTGACGTGACCTTCATTCACTTCTTTAGGGATGGATACAAAGCGATGGGATTTTCTGTTGCTGTGCATATATCTCGAGCAGCCAACAAATGATTTTTTCCCATCCCAGTTGACCTAAAATACATTGTTATTGAACGTCAAAATTTAAAATGTCAATCTAGGAACTTACTTTATTCATTTTACGATAAACGGCGACTCCTGCACATGGGGTTCCACTTTCATCAACAGCGGGACATGCAATCCCTTCGGCTTCTTTGACAAAGCTGAAATAATATATAATTTGAGAACGTCAAAAGCGGATAAAGAAAAAACTCACGCAACTGCTCGCAACTCGACAATAGATGTTTCTTCCATATTAACTTCTCGTTCCGCATTAAAAAGTTCTCGGCGCTCATCTTCATCAGGCTCATAGCGCTCGCAGGAATCTAAAAGGCTGGGATCAATCTCACTACAGTGGTAGACCCCCTGACAACGGTGCTCCGCATATTGACAGGGCTGGTTATCGAGCGGGATGACCTTTGGTGTCTTTGCCGGTTTGATAGAACCACAGCTCCCACCACCCCACGAATCCTGGTCCTAATTTAGTAAAGAAAATTAGTTTAAAGTGCTTGAAATAAATGTTGTGAAAAGCACCTCGCTCTTGAGAATGGCTGCCATAGATAGAGCCTTGCCTGATTCATCTTCCCACACACGAGTATCATCACTGAGGTCAAGGAGATATGCAATGTCATCTTCGGGCCTCGGAACAGTCCAAGTTTTTGGAAGTTCCGTGAGCGTAACAAGGTTCTTCACTTTGAGTTGTCGTGTAATTTTGATATATTCATTCTCCTCCTCGGAGGAAGAACCTTTTCGAATCCTACGTTTCTTCTGGGATGGAGCCATTTTACGATGACGCCGTGGTGGTGGTGCAGCAGTAGAAGGCTTGTCGAGTACTTCACAGTCAGAGCCTTTGGAATCGATGGGAGATGATTTTCGAGGCCTTTTCTTTCCCATGGAGGAGGCTTTGCGATGTCGCTGAGGAGCAAGGGTGGCCCGGGAAGGTGCGCCGACAGACTCAATAACATCAGAGCCATCAGAATCGGTAAGACTAATTATATCTGGCTCGCGTTTGATGATTGGAGTCAGGGCGATAGGCTCGCGTTTAATGTGTCGAGAAGATGTAGGGGTGGATTGGGATTTTGGCTGTGACTGAAGACGGCGGCTCATCCAGCCCATGAAAGCATGCATATCAATCCAGTCTGGGGCATTTTCAATTTTGTGCCACCCAGACGCGACGACAGGTGTCGGAAATATCTAGCAGAATACCATTTAAGCATCTCAGTACTAGTTCAAGTTGATCTTATAGACTCACCTCGCTGATGTACTCATTAACGAGATCAGCTCCCACTGATTTGAGGAGCTGTGTAATCTGGAGAGGGTTGTCCATTGGTGTGTAGTAAATGGGGGTGGAAGAGGAAACTAGTAATATTGTCATGACAAGAGCTATATACCCTATGGTGTTGATTTGTGGCCACCAGTGGCCTGTGGCCAGATTCATAGTTCACTCAATTAGGGAATGGGGCGGGACAGGGCATGGCGTCGGGGAGCGCTCGGATATTGCCGACAATGATGGAGTGGAAGTCACAATCGACTTCCACTCATGACTTCCACTCAGGCGAGTTCCACTCCGTGACGACTTCCACTCCCATTTCTAACTTCCACTTCCACTACTTCTTACTATACTCAGGACAGATAGGGGGGGGACAGAGAGGGAGGAAGGACAGATAGGGAGGGGACAGACAGGGAGGAAGGATAGAAATGGAGGGGGGACATACTGGGGGTGGGCACTCATTGCCGCTCGTCGGTGGCAGCCTTGTTTGCCGTTCGTCGGCAGTGCTGAGGGGGTCGTGTCTGTCCGTGGGCGCTCGTCATTCGTGGGTGGGGGGTCGTCGTCGTCGTCCATGTGTGGGCATCGTCGTCGTGTGTGGGTATCGTCGTCCGTTCGTGGGCATCGTCGTCCGTGCATGGGGCGTCGTCGTGCATGGGGGGCCGTCGTGCATGGGGGGCTCGTTGTCGTCCGTGTGCGCTCGTGGGTGGTCGTTGTCTGTGGGCGTTTGTCATTCGTCCGTGGGTGGGGGGACCGTCGTTGTCCGTGGGCGCTCGTTGTCCGTGGGCGCTCGTTGTCCGTGGGCGCTCGTTGTCCGTGGGCGCTCGTTGTCCGTGGGCGCTCGTCGTTCGTGGGCGCTCGTCGTTCGTGGGTGGTGGCGGAAGGTGGTGGTGGTGTGGTTGTGGGGTTCCGTTCATTGTCGAAAAAGTCGCCGTCGACGTGGCATACCCAGATGGGCATGCCACGTCAGCGATTTGGTGGTGGCGCCGTTTGTTGGGCGCCACCGCCGTTTCCTCGTCGGCGTCAGTGTGTGAGCTGTCGTGGTGGTGTGTGGTGGTGGTGGAACATGGTGGTGGGGTTGTCGTCCCTCGTCGCGGGGTCGTGGGCGTTCGTCGTCGAGAAAATCGCCGTCGACGTGGCACACCCGGATGGGGTGTGCCACGTCAGCCGTTTGGTGGTGGCGCCGTTTGTTGGGCACCACCATCGTTGTCGTTGTCGTTGTCGTAGTCGTCGTTGTCGTTGTCCGTCGATGTCGTTGTCGTTGTCGTCGTTGTCTGTTGCGTGGTGGTCGTGGTGGTCGTGGTGGGCGAGGTTGTGGGTGGAGAGGAAAGAGAGAGGTGATGTGACGTGTCACATATGAGAACTATCATCAACAAATATGTGCACGTGATGCATCACATCACATGATGTACCCAAGCACATGCTCATGGGTCATGTGACTCATCAAATGCATCATTCCTGGGACTAGTCCTGTCCGAAAATCCTGAGGACTGTCTTCAGTCCTCAGGAATGGACCCCCACAGGACTCAAAAAATTGGCTGGCACATCAGCCAATATAGAGTCCTGGTAATCCTCAGGAATCCTCAGGAATCCTGCAGGAATCAGTGGGGGACAATAAAGACCTCCGAAAACCATCGAGTGGCAAGACCGCCATAGTATCTATTCTTTAAGTAATCAAATGATGAAGTCTCTAAGAGCAAAAGATATCACAAAGTCGTTTCATGACTTGATAGGTATTGAAACCAGGACATCTCATTTAACCATTGAGTCAGGATAACGATATATGTATCACAACTCAGTTTTTGAAAACAAACACTGAACAGTCTAGAGTGGTCCCTACGTTTCAGATGTAATAAAATAGAGATACTATGACCTACCAGCACCTTGGCGCACCCTATGAGTTGGCAGTCACTGATTGTCACATATTTTGGCTGGACAAGCGTGACTCTCATTTTCCAAGTTGTCACACAACATCACACTTGTCCAGCCAAAATTCGTGACGATCAGTGACCGCCGACTCGTAGGGTGCACCGAGGTGCTGGTAGGTCATAGTATGACCTTGGGGAGGTATGCTTTGATGGCAAGCCCAACCATACAACATGTTGTACAGTCTAGAGTGATCTACTACGTTTTGGATGTAATAAAATAGAGATATGACCTCAAGGGGGTCCTAGGATTAAAAAAATAGACCTGGGGTCGATTTTTTTTTTAAGCCCTTACTGGCTTGACCTACCTACCTATGTAATCAGGCATGTGTCCATATATGGTAAGATGACATCATCATTTTCATCATTTTGTCCAAGATGCCTCGCAAACCCAGTTTTGTGAATCTATTTCCTACCAAATGCAATGTAGATGATACTGGAATATAGGTGAGTGACTTGTAATTTTTATTGTATAGAACATATTTTAATGTTGGCAGATCTAAGTCTGTTGGCAAATCTGGCTTATCCGAGTTTTGCAATTGGGCTGTGGTGTTTTACATAATTGGTATCAAGAACAAGTTTCTAAACAACTTGCCAGTAACTTGTAAGTGATGTTTAGTGACTGTATTTCTTTGGTTGTGCCAGCTTCCATTTCTCCACCTTCAAGATGAGCTTTGTGACATTGACACTTGGTGGAGATTAGATAAGCTTGAAGAAATATTATATAATGCTTCAATATCATTGAATTCAGACTGATCTACATGCTTTGGAGTGCACTAGCACTACTAATTCGCAGGGGATGGCCTTCCAGGACTGTTTTTAGATCATTTTGTAGAGGGTTCCATATTTTTTTTTTCTCAGCCTGTGGCTGACCTACCTACCCAACCCCTGGTCGGACTTTGGAATCCTAGGACCCCCTTGTATGACCTTGGGGAGGTACACTTTGATGGCAAGCCCAACCATACAACATGCTGTACAGTCTAGAGCGGTCTACTACGTTTCGGATGTAATAAAATGGATATATGACCTTGGGGGCCAGTACAACGGATTACATAATTATGACCGTGGAAATAAACCTTGACAAGCAAGGTAATAATGATAATAAATCTTCCTCGACATATGTACACCGTAGCAATAACACCATTCTACCACCAAGCCAGCGAACGTAAGATAAATAAAGCGTCCATACCGTTCACAACCCTAAGCTGACTCCACCAGTCCACTCGCAAACTGTTCCATGCCAATAATACGAAACATGCCTTTCCTGCCCCATTCACTGCCTTCCCCAAACTCGCGTCTCCAAGAACGGCCTAGGAAGTAACGGTTCAGCATGAGTTGCAAGTAAGGGAATCGAAAGAAACACTCACTCAGCCCGTCCTCCCATGCGTATAGTTCTACCTTCCAACCACGTCGTAGGGCCGTCCGAACAGGACCTAAGGAGAGCAGAATACAAGTTTAGGAAAAGTTTCAAAACAGAAGCAGGACGAACAACTTTACCTAAGAACCCATCTTCATTGAATTGCCCAACGTTTCCATCACCTGTAGCCAACACGATCGTCGCCCCTTCCGGAACTTCGTCTGTAGCTGCCAGTGCCTGGTGGAGTTTCAACTGCAATAACTCATCCACGCCCTGTTCGCGGTACTTGACCTTCGGGTTGACGAGACTTGGAGTTGACTCGTAATGGGGTTTCAGATTCGAAGAACCTAAAAGCTGCGCAACCTTGCCCCCTGCCCCACTGCCACTTTCAGCGCTCGTGCTTCCTGAAAGGTGCCTCTTGTGTCCAAGACCCTTATTTGGGGTACTTGCAGACCATAACGAGCCCTTTGAGGGACTCGATTGGACGCTCTTGTTACCACCACTGGACTTCCCAGATCCGTTCTTGAAATCTCTATCTTTGTGTCGCTCCCGATCCATGCCGTCGCCTGAAAGGGAAAACGTAAGAAAGTCTCGGAAAATGTGCATGTAGGGAACCCACCAAGATCAGGAACTCTGATGTACACACGTACTTCATATCCCAGCCGTTCAATACCATCCATAGGTTGGTACAAAGGGCTGGAAGCGACAATTACACGACCTAGGACCACATAAGTTGATGAATTTGCAGTAACGATAGGCAAAACTCACGCGTAACCGGTCTCCCGCGCTCCAAAATCAAGGCGAGGGCAGCGTGCCACATATGCCTAGGGGTTCGCTTCTCCTTCTCCCCCGGCCCTTCCTTAGGCCATCTCGGCGCGATAACCAACTCATCGCGATCGCCAGTGCTATAACCATCCGAATTGGTCTCATCCTCGTCCCGTCCCGCTTTGTTGTTCATATACGTGTTCAAGATCGATCCAGAGGGCAAGGAACGCGATTCCATCCCATTTTTTCGGGCAGCTGTGGCAAAGGATGGTAGAGGGATGGGATATGTATCCGTCCCTTCCAAATCAAGAACAGGAGCTGGTACGGGGACAGGAACTGGCTTTTTCTTGCCATTCGTAGGAATGGGAAGTGGTCGTGAGCTGGAAGGCTTTACGGCGGAGAATGCTGATGCAGGCGTGGATTTGCTATTTGACAAAGACCTTGTATGAGTCGGCTTCTTCGGAATTGCAGGCAATGGCCTTCCGATTATACGAATTGGTTTAAGGGGAGGGTGCCGCTTGAGGTGCGAAAGGAGACCGATAAGAATATTCGAACTTTCAGGGCTGTCAACGCGAGTGTGGTGGATTAGAAAAAGAAGATGAACTTACTGGTCAACAAATACGTGGATGAGGGTATCACCTTTTCTAGGTGGACGTCCTCGTGGATCGAATTCTTCACTTCCATCAGGTGCCTCCATCTGGTCTTCGTCACCTTCCGGAAGCTCGGTATCAGCGCTTTCAGTTCTAACATGACCCTTGCCTCGTTTCCCATTGCTGTTGGCAACTGAGTTGGTTTCTTCTGGCCCCCCACGGCGCTGTGAGCGGTTCTGCAACCGGTTTACCACCTTCCCCAGGTCTGCCTGTTGCTCCGGAAAGAGCTGTTGAAGTTTCCGTGCAAGACCTATGAGACGAGAACGCTTATCCTGTTCGACGATCTCCGGAGCCGTGGCCGCAACCTCACGCTTTCTCTCTTTCCCTTTCGTTTCCTTCTTCCCTTGACCACCTGTGTCTGACGAACCCTCGCCCAGGGTATCATCAACTTTCAGGTTAGGGAAGGATTGCGAATGAATCAGGGTCTTCGATGCCCTCGTTCTTGGTTTCTTCTTCTTTTCTTTGGGTTTCGGTCCCGATTCGTCAAGTATGCCTCCTGCAACATCAGGCGGTCCCCTCACTTTCGGAGTCCTGGTCCCTGGCGTTGGCGGTGTCGACTTGTACACGCCAGCAGTCAAGGACCTATGAATGTGGGCATTTTCCCCGCGTTTAAGTCCTACAGATGGCTGACCACTGTTGGACGACGATGAAAACGCGATATCTTCATCCTCATCTTCATCGTCTTCATCCTCATCCTCATCATTTTCCAATTCAAAGGTAAACTCGAATTCATCCTCCAAATTTCCAGGGAGTTTGGGCAAGACCCCATCAATCTGCGACTTCTCCCTTTCCTTGTCTTTCTTTGCCTTCTCCTTCTCCCTCTCTTTCCTGCCGACCCTCTTCCCCTTCTTCCCCATGAGGTTTATTCCGCTCGTCGGTGTGCGAGCCCCATTTCCGCCATCCTCCTCTTCCCCGCCGTCCGTTTCAGGTGCAGCAGGCGGACGCAAAATCGAAATGGGCCGAAGGAGAGTGTCGTTCTCGCCATGACCAACAATGGCTGACCTGTTGTCCGCCAAGCCCACAAGACCAGAAGCTACGCTTGCCTTCTTCTTCAACCTAATCTTCTTCTTCTTTCCAGGGGATACGACCGCAGTTACAGTTCCAATTGCAGTTATCGTCGTGGTTTCTGGGTCCGTCGCCAACGCAGTTGGGGATGCAGGAACTAACAGAGGGCGAACAGAAGGCGTCACGTTGCCTTCCTCTCCCTTCTGTAATGGCTTCTTCCTCCTCCGCTTCCGATGTGGTTCTGTACAACAAAGTGTCATTCAACTTTTTGTCAGTTAACGGGATTGATTTTGCACCTCAAATACATGCACAAATTGAAAAGAAAGAAAAACGGAAAAAGATGAAATTGCCAATTGGACATATGTAGGGTGAAAATATTAAAATAGATCAATACACACCGATAACGTGCCTCCAGTCTCCCTGGCCAACCACCCCGCCCTGCCCTGCCTCACCCCCATGTTCACGGGCCGCAGTCCATCGTGCTCGTTCCTCAGCAATAAAGCTAAGGGCTTCATCCAGATATCCAAGTGACGGCTGGCCGTCTTCATAGTCGTCTTCATGCTCTGGCTCCGAATGAAAGGTATTGTCGTATGAGTGTATATCGTCACTAGTAGCATCATTTTCAACCGTTGTTGAGCGTTGCGAGACCTCTGTATTTGTGGAGGGTAAATAATGCTGCCCTATGAGGGAGTGTGGGTAGTTCTGCCCATGTCCGTCGTGTGTACGACCCTCAGGCTCGTACCCAACCCCTTGCCGCCGCTTGGGCGTATGGAAGCTGGAGCCTAAAGGCTCAACAGTGTGCTGAGCAGGAGCCGGTAAAAAAGGGAAAGTCTCTGAGGGTTCCAATTCCGGTGTGGGAAGTGGTGAAAGTGGGTCGTCCAAGACATACGGAGAATCTGATTGCAACTGAGAAACAGAGTCCAACGGTTCAATGACCACAGACTGCCCATTAGACTGTGGTGAATGCGAGTCATGCGACTGCGATCGAGTGTGTGAATCTAGCGGAGCTTGTGACCATAATGAAAGGGTGTGTGATTCAAGTGAATGGGTGCCAGAATCTGGAGTAGGCAACAATGAGTGATCGTGATGACGGTAGTTTTCGGGTGTCAAGGTCAACGCCGATGAGTGTGATTCGGTAAAAAGAGATCGCGACTTTGAGGAACATGATTCATTCAAGACTGACGGAGAAGGCCCAAATGATTGCGGTATGTTGTAAGAGGAAACAGAGAAGTTTGATGAAGAGATAGAGTCGGGATCGGCTTGAGATAAGTATTGTTGTGATGTCTGGGCAGAAGATTCTTGAAAAGGAGAGATAAATTGCGATGTTGAGTGTTGAGAGTCAGAATCGAAGTTTGAACGGAGATTTTGAGATATAGATTGGAGGTGCTGGGATGCGGACGTAGATTGGTATTGTCGTGATGTAGATTGTTGCGATACAGATACAGGGTGGAATGTAGACACGGGTTCAGAAGGTACATGCCGAAACAGCTTGGGTGGAGGTGATGCTCGCCCATTACCAGGGTGGACGTGTGGACCATAGTGCAAGGGCACTTCTCGGGAGGTCAAAGAAGAATCCTCCCCCTCCATATCGTCGGTTGATAGCTGACGGTGGTCAAGAGGATGCACAGGAACAGATATTTCGCCCGACATTAATGACTGATCGTTTGAAATGGAGTCATCGAACGTCACCGTATCATGAACGTCTAGTTCTGATATTATCTCTACAGTGCGTGCGCCGTCTGTGGAAGCCAAAGAGACGGCGGGTGATCGTGGTGGTGACCTGGGCGAATATTCTCCCTCATTGTTGTGTGCCGCATTTGAGCTTAACTTCGTTGCCTCATCTTCTTCTTCCAAATCCTCGTCGTCGTCAAGTCTATCCGAGGTCGGCGTACCGCTGTATAGATCCAAATATGATTGAATTCGCCTCTGATTCCACACAGTAGAACCCTCGACTTCAGGAAGTGGGCTCTCTGTGCCCGTAGCGACGCTTGTTCCAGGGCGGGTGAACGAAGATATGCTTGAAGTATCCGCGCGATACGTGCGCGATGAGGACGACGAAGGGAAGGGAGGTGGTGGTATCCGCGGGTGTGGCTGTAGATAGGTCCAAGCACGTAGAACAGTGGTGAAAGCGCCAAGATCTGGCTGCTCGTCGGATGTTGGTTCTGAATGAGGTGCGCTCGATGTGCTATCGGATGAAAAAGAAGGGGAAATTGCGATCGTCTGAGGAGAGCTTGTTGAGGTTGTTTCGTTGCTCATTGGATTAGAGAGTGACTATAGACTAGTAGTACAAAAAGATGGGGAGGAAAGAAAGAAAATGATGATGAGAAAAGCTCGAGTGTGTCTGGCACGACCTCATTGAATGTCACACCGACTGTAAACGGTAGTAGTGACACCACGCCTGTCTGCTCGTCTTCCACTTCCAATTGCCAACGCAACAGGCCTAGAACCCCATTTCGTATGTGAGGAAATAAGAGTTATGATGAGAGATCTCTATGATGACAAGAAACTTGAAAAATTATCAGTTAATCAGAAGAAATATGAAGAATACAGTCGAGAGTCTGTAAGTAACAATAGGGACTCAGAAACAGGTAACTTGCTATTCAATATACGGCAGTTGGGTAATTGGTATATCCTTGGGCTCCACCCTTTTGCAAATGGGGGATGTCGGGAATGTTGTCTAGAGGTTTCCCGTGTTGAATACGTTTGGCGAGATCGGGGTGGGTTATCCAGCTGAAACCGATGAATATCCCGTCAACGCTGCCATCTGCTACCAGCTTGGCGCCCTCCTCAGCTGTGACGTTGGCGTTCAAAAATACTTTGGCATGTTTAATACACGGACGGTATGATTCGAGAACATCGTGAACCGTGGCTCGTTTCTTTCCTGTCATCATTCATCATGACAATCAAACAAATGCATAGGAGTGAAGCAAAAGACGAACCATCGAACTCTGCATCGAGAAGGGGCGAGTATCGACGCAAGGTGATATATGACAAGTTGAGCTTGTCAGCCTCAGAGAGGAAGTAACGATATGTCTCGATGTTTTCTTCTAAAGGCATGCTATAAATACACAAACCATTAGCGCAGATCTAGGATGGAATACGGAATCCTGACCCAAGATCCCCGTAACCTCCAGTCGGGCTAACTTTCAGAGAAACATTCCGGCCAAACATGGCAATAAGTTGCTTAAGAACCTCGAGACCAAAGCGAGCCCGATTTTCAACGCTTCCGCCCCACTGGTCCGTACGTTGATTAGAGCTTGCGTCCAAGAACTGAGCGATGAGGGACCCGCTCGCGTGGACTGTGGAGAAGGTGAATACAATCACAAATGAACAGAGAAAAGGGAAAGGTTACGTTCTACACCATCAAACCCAGCTGCTTTAGCTTTATAGGCAGCCTTTCGGTACTCTTTAACAACAGTCCAAGGATCATCGATGGCGGTTGGCTGATAAAGTGCACTATTTCAGTGATAATGACAAACAGAAAAAAGAAAGTCTGACCGTTCCATGGCCCGGTTGATCGGGAAGGTGACGATATTTTCCACCTCGAGCAGGAATGGCAGATGGTGCGTAAACAGGCTGCAAAATGGCATTAGCAAAAACTTACGCCAAAATCGCAATGACAAGACTGACAAAATCAGGTTTCCCGGGACCGCCCTCAGGACGGGCCAGACGGCCAACTGGAGCTGGAGTGAACAAAGAGCAAAATATAAAGTTTCCAAACTAACCGTGCCACAACTAAGGGAAAAAGAAGGTTCAGTACGAATTTTCCTATCAAACGGGATACGACTAACCTGCGAATAGATGTAACCACCCTCGCGGTGGACTGCGTCAGTTACTTTCTTCCAGCCTTCCATCTGTTCTCGGACCCACATGCCAGGTGCGTCGGGCCATTCCGTGCTAGAAAGAAATATTGTTCACATACGACGAGAAACAACAGAATGGAAAAAATCGAACCCTTGCGGAGTGATCAGGGTTCCCTCAGAGATAATCAACCCAGCGCCTCCGGCAGCGCGTTGAGCATAGTACTCGGCCATGAGCTCTGTGGGAACACCGCCGTTACCTGCACGGTTCCTCGTGAGGGCGGACATCCCGATGCGGTTCGAGATGGTGATGTCACCAATCTGAAGAGGTGTGAAAATGGTTGTAGGAGAAGACATCTTGCGTTCGAATAGGACTTGTGTTGGTGAGGGAATTTGCTATGAGTAGAGGTAGTTGTCCCGCCATTGCCAAAACTTGTTGGATTTATAGATGTTCTAAATTGCATCCACGACATGTCGAAGACATGAAGACAAATGCGCATAGTGAGCTTGAACCGAGTTTCCGCGACTTGAGAGGTGGATGGTCGGTCGGGTGTGCGGTTGATGGAACTGACAAGACAACCGCAGTTCTAATTTTAGATTGCGAATCGTAAGCCATTAGCGCCAGATGCAGCCATGGGCATTCAGGTGAGAGGCAGTATGACTCAGTCGCTCTCGGGAGGGATGTATAACACGGAATGTCGGTTGGGGAAAGGACAAGCGAAACGTGATGGTCCTTCGTAAACTGTGAACTGAAAAAATTACAGCTGATTACTTACAAGCTGATTATGAGTATGCGTGCGTACCTGCAACTTGGGATTTTGCTGTGAGCACTGAAGCTGCCTATGAACTTCAAAACCTAGTTGATAAACAAACTTGACCTCCCGTGGCTAGATGTAGGCGCCTCGTCAGAAAACCAAGCCGCAAAAGCCTGCAAATCACCTTTACTTACGTAAACAACTGCTCTACCTCAACGAGGTCGCCAAATGGCCTCTGCCGCAGGGAGTCCCGACACAACCCTTCGCGCACTTCCATCATGGGCAAACCCTGAGCCATCGGAGCAATTTGAGGAAGCCCTCAAGGCTCTGGACTCCTATAAGAAGAAGGATCCGTCGAAAGGTGCGGAATCAGGATGCGTACTGGACTCGCACATGGTTGGGGCTGACCTCTTTCATAGTCATCGTGCGCTTTAAGGCAATCGGGAACGCCCCGATAATGAAGCAGAACTTCTACAAAATTACCTCTTCAAATCGCTTCCAAGCAGTAATTCAGTTTCTAAGGAAGGAGCTAGGATGGCAGGCTAGTGAACCCTTGGTGAGTTTTCCCATCTCGTTTATACAGTTTATTCACTACTCTGGTTGCTCTACCTAGTTCACATACATAAACTTGTCGTTTTCACCCGCCCCCGATGACACAGTCGCAAATCTCTTCAAGGTAAATGTGTCGCTATCCTGTTGATTTAAATCTTGCTCATCATCGTCTTGTCACTCCAGTCATGTGGTACAGATGGACATCTCATTGTCAACTACAGGTGAGCTATTCACTAGTCCTTATGTAGAGCGTATTGCTAACGCCATTAATAGTACCACTCAGGCTTGGGGTTAACATGAGCTAACTCATTCTATCCGTTGTATAATTTAAGCATCCGATACCCAAACTTCACCCGACATGACACACTATTGGCCTCCGAACGTGTTGCTTGACCATTTGCGTTGGCGGGGAATCCGGGTTCGTTGATGTCATGATTAAGGCGGGCTGCAAGTAACGTCCACCTTCCATGGTTTAACGTTTTACAGTAGAGAGCTATCGCAATAGCCACAATATGACATTTAGCTAACGACTGCTTTCGTGCGACGCGAAGTCAATACATCTGTCACCAGAGTGCGCTGAAAAACACATCTTGAAGTTGCAATCGAAAGCCAAGGCACAATGAGCCCCCATTTCCGCTATTCGGAGCACGTACCACATCATTCAGATCGGTAATTCGGCGGGCTTCAATCACCTCCCTTCTTCTTCTTATCCTCGACAATCTCCACATTATCTTCGGGGATCCCCTTCAACACACCGACCCCTTGCTCGATCATTTCCAGAACTTCGTCACTCACATCCCCTTGGACCACAACCTCGTCCTGCCCTTGCGGATTCTTGGTGACCGATGCTCCAGTAGCAAATTTCGATGCGAACTGTTTTGCTGCCTTCTTCAAGTCAATCCCGAAAGCGTCCAATCCGTAGATGGAGGTGACATGTTTGCGTTTCGTACGCTCAATACGCTTGATTATTACCTGAAGGAAGAGGTGGGAATAATTGAGCGATCAAGGGATAGATAAGGTAGACACGCACTTGCGACGCCATCTTCTTCTTTAGCTCGGCGTTGGCCTTAGCCTCCGCTTTTGCCTCCTTCTTTGCGGTGTCCTTTTCTAGTTTCGTTTGAGCCTCAAGACTTATGGTGCCCAGTCTTGCTTGCAGCGCATCTAGGCACAAAAAAACGACCGATGTTATCAGATGGGACCGAAGAGGGGATGCTGAGTTTCGGGAACACAATTATGTAGGAGAATGTAAACACACACCCTCTGAGTAATACTTGTCGAACAGATCTGGATGCTCTTCCTTCAACCATTCTTTACATCGCGTAAAACTAGACCCAAATTCGCAGTATTCAGGAGGAAATGTGCAGACTGGAGAGCAGAGAGCAGCGCGTCAACAACAAACCCCTCCCACTACGCATAACGATTTCTCACCTGCGCAATATATGACTTGAACCGGGGGTGTAGGTTCAGGCGCCGGAGGTGTTGGCTCTTGTTCTGCAGCAGGTTGTGCAGGGGGAGCCTCGGATTTCGATTTCTTGGCCATTTGGAGATGGTGGTTGTGAGCAGAGCCGATAAGATAAGATAACGGCCCTGCGACCATATACCATCACCTCGAGTCACCTCGATCGCGCGTTATGAATTTTATCGGTTTGACCAATTTCTAAAATTTACATGCTACTACATATGAATATCAGAAATCTCTCTTCAATCATGGTCCAATTATGGTCAATCTTTTCCTGACATCAGGGGTCGATTTAGTTCGTCCTGTCAACAGAATTTAAACATTCACAAAACACTCTGTTAAATACACTAAGCTGCGCGTACCTGTGGTATTTACTATTTAGCACACTCAGGACACTATTGCGTGATGAACTGTTCACTATAAAAAAGAAAAAGAAAAGTCCCCCCTACCAAACCGGCCGCCACTGGGAAAGAACAGACAGCGGTACAAGGTGTGTAGTGGCCGCTTCGTAGACAAGCAAACGCTCACCGCCACATGCTGGAAATCTACGTGGAGATTCATTTTAGATTACTCTCTTAATTTCCGAGACGACCACCCCCACTTATTTTACGTGGATTGATAAATTTCATACCTGACGGTTTTAATCACCCTGGGTGATTCAACATTAAGGGTTTTGAGAGCATATCTTGGAAATGATGTCAATCGCCGAGTCCATATATTCGGAGTTGCCTCAATTGCCTTTCGTTGGTAAAGGTAAGGACACCTCATGGCCACCTGGTGTTTACAAGGCTATAGCAGCAAGTAGTGAGTCGCCGAGATATCTCCTTGGCTATCGATAACTAGGCTGAAGAAAGAAGGCTTAAGAACAATATGGGGATCGTAATTTGAAAAAGATAGCACGTTTGCTGATGGTCATGAGGCGCGATTTTCTGCAACTCAAGCTTCAGTGAACGGGAAGGAAAACTAGTATCCTTTCTTCATTTCGTCGAGGCTACAAAACGTAAGTGGATACCTTGTATATTGCAGGCTGAGAAGTATATCCACGGCCGAACCAACTTTGTAAATTCAGGGTTCGTCCAAGTGAGTCAGCGTCGGTGCCAGTCCATGTGCTATCAGGACGTGTGCCTGTATACGTTCGAAGAAATCGATAATGGCCAATCCGGCAGATAAACTAAAACCGAGCGAGTAAGAAAACGCCGCCAAATAAATATTGACAGAGGAAGACAACCAACGCCGGTCGATTAAAAACGTGCATAAAATGCAAGCAGGGTTCCGGCTTTCTACACATTTGCGAAATCGGCAGGATTTGTTGGAGTTCCAGAACGCAGTGAAGTCGGGATAAATTGTAGAGCCAGGAAATTCGTTACGAGGGCCCACAAGCACCGGCGTTTCAGTCACCAGTGCCAATGCTGAAGCTCGGGATTTTGAGAACAGAGCATCATCTGCTGACCAGGAGCACGAGTTCCGGACAATGAGAAAAATGCAAAAGGCAATCTATCGCACAATCCCGGACCTAATGACGTGGAGCGTTGATCGAGGTCGAATGGAGTATGAACTATGTGTTATACCGGAAGTCCAGCAAGTAATTGCGGAATCTGACAATAATTTAAAGACCGGTGGAGAGAATAGTCGGGCTTCCGCTGACCACCTTTGCGCTACAAATCCGGAAGAGTAAGGCACAGGTAGAAAAGAAGGGAGTTTTTGATAACATATGGCGCAGTGGAGCAATTTTTGGGGCTGCATTTACGTGTCAGTTGACGAGAGTAAGGTGAAAATATTCAGAACCCCTGTCGCAGGTCGTGAACAATGAAACCAACCTGGTCGCTCATGGTTGCAGAATAGTCAAGTCAAGGTCCTTTGCGCCAAGCTGCGCCCTTCGGGAGGTATCATTTTATCGAGGGTGCATCTGTGGGATGGATCTTCATAGCCCGATAAACCTGATTGGGATGGATGGCATTATTGTTCGTCGAAAGTGCAGGCGTGCGATAGAGCTTGATCTGTAGAGCTTGAGCGTCGAAGGTAATTCGGAAGACAATAAAATGAACCACCGGGGGCTTTTCATTGACCCGTGAACGTCAATCAGCCTTGTGCGGCTAATGCGCGTGGGACGCTATAAATACTGGAGAAGTGATCTTTCACCTGAAGAAGTTGTCAGTCAGACGAAGAGAGGATTGAACAAAGCAAGGTGATGGGTGCCTAAGCCATCTATCCAGATAACGACGTTAGGGGTTCAATGAGCACTGATTATCGTGATGATCCACAACCTTCGAAGACCTCCCATGCGCTAACCTTTGATGATGTCATGGGAGGTAGCGATGCCACTCTCTGGTCGTCCGTTGGAAAGGCATTCGGCGGAAATATTTCAGGTTAAACGAACATACATTTTAACGCTTAGCCCGTTAATCCGCAACCCTATTCTGTGTGTTAATTATGAAGGAGTCAGCACGCAGCAGATAGCCCACGGCTCGGCGGTATATCACTCATCGATGGCGATAATGACTCTACCTCGTTCCCGTCTTCCAAAGGATGCGCGGTTGAGATTTCCAACCTCGGCGGAAGGGGAAAAAAAAGTATCAGCCCTGGAGGGCTGGTCAGGCTCGAAGAGAAGCTGAAAGAACTCGCACACAACACTTCTCCAAATGTCGCCGAAAGATACAACTGATCACGGGACCGAGACGACCGCACCCGCTTTAGGACCGTCGCCACCAGGTACTGACGATTTTGAAACGATCACCGTGTTACCCGGCAGCCACCCACCCACTAAAGACTGAGGAACAGCCCGGCGCGAGAGGCGAGAGAAAGAAACTCCCATGTATCCTGGTGAGACCGGGAAATGGGAGAATTTCGGAATCCTCAGGCGTAGTCGCCTCGAGGACTTGTGTGGCAGCTGCCGACTTTTGCACAATTAGGACCCGAAATTGGTGAAACTCAGAGTTTTAACCGTGATTTTATTCGGAGGAGTTCGCATGTTTCAAGATGCGCCGTCGCGCGAGATAGAGCCGGTAGTCGTCGTCAAGAGGTCTGCGCCTGATGTCCCGTGCAAGCATGAAAAAGATGAAAAAGCGTGAGCAGAGCAGATTTGTGTTGCTGCGAGGAACGGAAGTGGAAGGAGTGACCCGAAGGAAGGGAGCCTTGACAAAGCCAGCGTGATGCGTGGTCCGGGTCAAGCGTAGCGAGCACTTTAAGGATGTTTTATCTCGATGTCGCTAGCATGGCGCTTTTACGGTAGAAGGCGATTGAGTGGTTACTTGTGGACAGTTGGCGAGGAGGAGGCAATAAATTATCATCACCACGTGTGGCTTTGAATTTGAACCCGCCTTTTGTTGATTGCCGGCTGGACTAAAAGGAAAAACAGCGGCGCGTACCCCGCCGCATTGCGGACAGAGACGCACTGGTTCCACTCGGGTCGGCATCCGAGCAGACTTTGAAAAGGTGGAATCATTTTGAACCGAAATGGCGTCAAGCGTCGCACATCATTTCCAGAAGAAATCGCCCAACTCGAGGTAAATGATGGGTGATGTCGTAGTCCAGGACAGGAGTAGCGTTGAGCAGAACAAGCCAGTGATAGATTTGCAAATATATATATACAAATGTGGATGACTCTATATGTGCTAGTAAAAATAACGATTAGACGAGACACGAATGTGACCATATCTGTATGTACTTAATGCGAATACGAATGCTAATGAATAATGCCCGAGTCTATGCGAGAGATGCTGAAAGCGACGAAAGCAGAGCAGAGGGGATGATGCTGGAAGGTATTTTGTGCGACCGGATCCACGGTCGCGGCAGAGAGATCTGCGAAGTCCCTAAAAGAAGATATGCCCAAGAGTTCTATGTCGACGAGAGATGAAGGAAAAGAGGATGTCGGCATTCATGTGGAGAATTTTGCTTTCTGCGAAAAATACGGATGAGCAATAGATATAGATGAACGTTGCTGAAAAGGAACGTACTCGTCGCATCATAAGTGGCGATGAAGGGTCATATGGTTGTGACGGTGGCTTGAGAAAGGGACGTCAGGGTCTGAACATGTCGGCTGGTAGGGGCCGAGGGGCGCTTACTGGCATCATATATCCTGGCACCATTGGTGAGTTTTGTTGAGGGTAGTTGGATGCGGTTTTCGAGAGGGCTTTTTGAAGCTAACAAAGGATGCACATCAACACTTGGTCGGAGGTGACAAAGACCAAGACAAAGAAACACACCTTGGCTTCACTCTCCGCTGCTCTCTGTGCATACATGTTCGGATGCAGCGACACACTTTGAAGACTCGTCGCATGTGGAAGTGCATGTAATGAGGATGAAAGGCTGGGTAGGGAGATGAGGTTGGAAGGAACTCCTTTGTTTGACGCGTCGTGGGTGCCCATTGTGAATTTTGGTGGTCGAGAGTGGCGACAATGTATAGGACTTGGACTGGGTACTATGAAGAGTCGAAACGGGGTGAGGAAAGAATAGTGAGGGGTGGATTTATATGAGGGGGCCCATATGCCACGCGTGACAGCGAAATCTCACGAAAGGATCTGATCATTCAAGGAGATCAGGTAATAGATCAGCTCAAACTCGATGCCTCAGATCCAATTTTGGATTCAGCTCTTGCCAGGCGTGTCCTTCATTTACAGTTTCAATTCCACAAGCCCTTGGTTCGATATCCCGCCCGATTCATGCCCCCGGTAGGAGGAAAATCAGGGCATTTATAGCCGCCTTTCAGACCCGCCTCCCACTCGGTTTTTGGGGTGCAACCCATGCACCTTCGCGGTCTTTTAAATAAACTGTTGCTAAATCAGCCCTGCTCGGTCTCTTTCGCTCATTCCCACCTTTACTCACCCTCGACTCATATCCTTCTCAACGTCAAAGGTTAAGCTGCTTCACTCGTGGTCCCTTGACACTACAGCCGCAGGGAAATTACGGTCGACAAGTACACCTATCTGTGCTGCTTTTGATCTAGCGAATCTCCGAAGTTGCACCCACAGACCTGCAGTGTACTAGAGGCAGTGACTCTACTACACAAAACGGCCTACACCCTTGAAGTTTGCTGTAGTCTTCGTCGCCAATTTATTATACTCACACCCTCGGCCCATCCCGAATACACGATGCTTGACTTTTATGGCGCTCCGCTCAAGTCTTACGGTACATACATTTGTGAACCCAGGGACATTTACTGATCCTTCTCACCCACTTGGCCCTTCTCACCCACTTGGCTCATGATCTTTGTTGCCATCCGGCTCTCCTTACTCTCCCTGTATGTTTGAAATTTCGCCACAGGCCGACGGCTCATCGCACAACCTTGAACACTTGACCTGACATCATCATCTGACTGTGCAGGGCTTTCTTTCCCTCAGTGCCCACGTGTACTCTGACCCTCATCAGTAACTTCATCCGTCCACACTTTCGATAAATTTCCACTCAGCGCCATCCGTTTCTGGCTTCGTGTAACTCTACGTTAAGGTATTTCCTATTTCCCCCTGCCTAATCATTCACTCGTCTTAATATCCGATCTTGTCCTCCAATCGTTAATATTCTACCCTATGAATTCAGTGAGAAAATAACTCGGGGTAATGTCAGGCTAATCCTCGTCTTTCCGCCATCCGCTCTCCGCCTACAGGCTCTTATCTAAAAAGTAGTACTCATCAGACATTCAGAAGCATGGGGAAGTGACGAATCCGACACATCCCCGCCACTTGATCCTTCATGTTGACGATCTGTTTGCAAAAGGCTGGATTGGCCAAATGCCTCAAAAATACAGCCAGCGTTTCTCATCGAACGAAACCGTTGTTCCGGTACCAAATACTGGATGGGAAGTACTCGCACACCTTATGAAAAACTCCGTCGTTAGTACATGCACATACTGCACACACTCTCGTAAGGTGGCGGTTTGAATTCAGTTTGCAGCCACACACTCTCATGCTTGACTCAAAGCTAACAAATTATATCATCTTGACATGTCTTACGGCAGGCTGGCAACCCTTCAAGGGTCTCCTTTAGTGCTATCTACCCAACAATCCGTCGCCTCAGGGTCGAAAAATCTCAACGTCTCTTGAACGTGCCGCGTTCCGTGATGTTTGTGTTCTTCTGGTATTACCATTAGCAGTAATCATACATGCACGTCAATATTTCAAACGCTTGTCCTCTCTGATGTCTAAATGTTTAACGGTCTAATCGATAGCTTGGACGCCATCGTACGCTGGCAAGCGAGTGCAAGCCTCAGCCCAGTCAATATTGCCAAACACCAACTCGGTGACGGTTGCAATCACGTCGTCGATAGAACCAATGCGTTGATCCATAGTGTCGCGTTCCCTGTTATCAAGGTTAGATAGCATTTTACACGAGGCAAGACACATGTACCGGAGCGTCATCGTCCGATTTTGGACAGCTGTTGAACATACATTAGAAACAAACAACCAAAACGGTTTCAATAACCAGAAGGAGGCGTGACGTACAAGCAAAGTCGAGGGTTACACCGAACGGTGTACCAAGTTCATCATTACGAGCATAGCGCTTCCCAATCGATGTATTCGAGTCATCTACGCGAGAGAAGACGCCTGCTTTGCGCAGTTTGGAAGCTGTACGCGCGGACGTAAAAGTGCGTTATCAGTTGTTGTTCTTGCGGTACGGAGATGCGGTCACATACAAACTTCTTGCACCAATGGGTTGAACTCGTCCCGGGCGCTCAAGGGTACGATGAGAACTTTCGTAGGGGCCACAAGGGGCGGGAGTGACAGAACCTACGTGACATCGATTCTGTAGTTAGCAGGGGGATAATGGTAAGGACAACGACAGATAAACGTACACCTCGTTCGACATCTTGCTCCCGACTCCAAAAGCTGTGCTCGAGCAAGGTGTACAATATACGACCGAGCCCAAACGACGGTTCGATGACGTTGGGTGTATATTCACGTACTAAGCGATAACGAAGGGTCAGAGTGATGGCGCCTCATTCCTTTCGAAGTTCACTTACTTGATTGCTTCAATGTTTTCCGTTCGACGGTCAAAACGTCAGGAGTTAATTGGAACTCCCTGCCATCCTCGGATTTGATAATAGCAGCGCTGCAAACACGAATGATGATAAGGGATAGATCGTAGGAGCTAAAGAAACTAATTAAAAACGTACCCCTGTGCGAGTTCCCCTTTAATTCTGAGCAATTCAGGCTCGTCCATGGATTCCACAAGGGATTGAATGAGGGCCGCGTCTTGTTTGAAAGTCTTACCTAAGTTCTTCTTGTTCCATTCTGAGACCTCTTTCTCCGTGAGGATGGGTTCCTTGAGAGCTTGTCGGACAACCAACGGATGCCCAGTTTTCGCCGAGTGCACGGAGAGATCGTACGCTGCACGATCTGCACATCCAACACACTCAGTCCAACCAGTCGCGTTGTGGATCTCGGCGTCCCAGCAGTCCGTAGCATAATGAGCCATCTCATTCCCCATGTGTTGCCTGAAACGAAGTCGCTCTGGATTGATGCCGATCTTAAGTAGGAAGAGGTATATCCTAGCAATGAAGTATCCTAGTGTCTCATTTGCGATGACACCCTTTTCCACTGCTTCACCAACTGTCAGCCTCGAAGTGGTGCTGCTACCAGCCTCTTGAACGTGTCGATCGAGAAGAACGAGCACGACGTCGCGGACTTCGTGAAATCGCTCGTGTCGTTTATCCTCTGGATCAACATAGTGCTCGATCTCAGCCATGGTAAATTCTCGAACGCGCAGGAGACCAGCTCTCGGTGAGATTTCATTACGGAATGAACGACCGATTTGAGCAGAGGCAAAAGGTACTTTGCCGTTATTGAATTCTAACAGACGCGAGAAGTTGAGGAAGTGGCCTTGGGCAGTCTCCGGACGAAGGTAACTACCGGGGGTCTTGATAAAATTACGCGACGCGATAAGAGAATGCTCACCCTGGGTGTTGGCCGGTCGGACCGATACTGCTCAAAAACATAAGATTGAACTGCTGAGGTTCGCCGACTTCGTTGCCAGTGTCTGGATTCGTCAACTTGTGCTTGCGGCAAAGCTCGCCTAGTTCGGGGCCTGAGAAGTTATCAAGCTACCCATGATGGATTAGCGGGTTTGAAGAGCACCCGAGAGCAAGGACACGACGAACCTGGGCCAAGATCGTCTCATATTCTTTCACAACTTCGTCAGACAACTGGACCGCTGCAGCCTTTGCTCCCTTCTTCTTTTTCTTTTTATCGTCCGTTACCGGTGCGGCCGCGAGCCCGCGCGCTTCCTTGTCTCCAGCCAGACGAGCCTCCAGGACGTTTTTCACAAGATGATCAGCGCGCAACACATCGCCAGTCTTCGTGTCCTTGACCATCCAGTCAGCGAACCGCGCGACGTGGCCCGATGTCTCAAAAACAGGGGCGGGGGTCATGATTGTGGTGTCGAGTTCCAGCATGTGCTCCTCAATGATGAAGTGCTTCCGCCATTCCGCGATAAGGTTGGCTTGAAGCGACGAACCAGGGGGGCCATAGTCATACAAGCCAGCAACGCCTGTCCTCAAAACGTTGAACTAAGCATCGTATGCGAGATGATAAACCTTGGAAATACCCACCTCCGTAGATCTCGAACGCTGGTGCATAGAAAAACCTACGGTTCAGCAGAGCGTCGAGGCGGACCTTGTCGAAGGCGTGGGCGGTCTTGTTCACCGTAGAAGACATGTTTGAAGAGAGGCGGCGATGAACAAGGGGATACGATCTTGCTGTGATATGGAGTGTAGAGCACAAACCCGAAAATGCAAGTCTCATGAAGTTTTTGGGCCAATAGGCCGAGTCATGTACCGGTTCTATTTCCGATCGTTGATCGAACGATCATTGATTAGATTAGAGAATGGACAATCGTGAAAGAGACATTGTGCGTATATTACGGTGGTCATGAATGAGCAGATAGCAAGGGGCGAGCATGAGTGTACCAAAAGCAAATGAATCAACAAATTATTTTGGTATCAACCATAAAACCCAAGTCCGATATTACCCACTTCAAAACCTGCTCAGTGATGCCTGCATCGCTGCCGCACCCTTAGACAGCCACTCATTGGGGGACATACGCTCCTCTATACTGTCAGAGAACAAAAGGTTGTTCTCTGGAACAAACGCCCAGTCCGCAGGATCAGGAGGTGGGGTCGAGGTGATCGCCTTCAGTTCGTTGCCTGTGGGTTTCAAGTCATGAGACGTGAACATGCGGTGGAACGGATGGAACTTACGAATAATGTTGTGTGTGAAGTGATCAAGATTCTGAGATGACGATCTTCAGTCAGGGAGGAACAAACAGAAGACGGGAGTGTCATTACTCACAAGATCATTCTTGTCGTACCCGAAAGGATCTAAGCATCGAAAGAAGATGAGCCGAGCTTCCAAGAGATCTTATACAGGGTAGACTGACTCACTTTCGATTTCTTCACCAGCGACCAAGAATCCAAAGAAAATGAAGCTCTATAGATATTGTCAAACAAGAAGATGCATTAGATCCGCAAGACGCGCACAGAAAGTATGGTAGCTGGTATGGTCCACCATTTCATTGACGCCCATATTTGCAAGGGCTATCGGCAAAGTCAGCAGGCAGTAAGGGCGACTGGCTGCCAGACACACCATTGCAAGACAGTAGAGAATGGTGACAACCCATAAGTGGATCGCGTACCTGAGTTCTTTAATGAGGTTTGGAAAAAATGAGAATCGAACCACAGTACGTACGAAAATGGGATGGGAGTAGTCAGGATACGCTCCAGACCGGTAAGACTGTCAACGAGTTGGTTGAGGGACATGATTAGGTTATCTGTCCGTACTCTTCAGTGGTCAAACAGAAAGCAAACAGGAAAGTAACGAACTGTTGGTGGGTACGTCGCAAAATTTATCATGTTGAATTTTTGCAACATAAGAACTCTGAAGAGTAGGGATCAGTGACGCTGGGAGGAAAGACAAATCCTTGCTTACGATATATAAAGATATCTCCAAGGGAAGATTATGGGACACGGCCTGGTTGCGCAGTCTCGCCCTCCACTTTGCGGCCTTCTTTCCACGGACGTCCTTACCTTTCTCAGTGAGGAACTTGACCAGGAGAGAGAATGGGAAGAGATCGAAATAGCTGTACTTGGGCGGCATGTAAGCAGGTAAGAGGTCGGACTCCTCCTCAGTCTTGTTCAGGATGAAACGATCTTTCTCGTAAACAGAACGGCGGCTTGGAATATATCTCGGGGACATTAGATTGGAAAAGCCGACATGTTTTCCTTCGTCTGGATTTATTGTTAAACCCCTGGGCGTGTTGGGTGAGACATCGTTGACATGCTGCGGCAAGATTGCTGGTGATGACGGGGTATTTCTGTGATGAAGACCGGAAGCTTGGGTGGCAAAGGATGGCCTGGGCCCTTCGGATGAGAGATCATTGCCATATTGCAAATCGCTTTCGAATGAGGCCTTAGAATTCAATTCCGCCTCTGATTGTAAAAGGTCCGCCGCGGAGGGCATGCCTGCGGGCAGCTGATAGGCAGGCAGGAATTTGACAAGGTAATAGAGATCTCTACGAAGTACGCGATTACGAGGGCTGACATTGATTGAAGGAGAACATACCTGTAGTAGATACCGTCTTCCCCTCGAAGATAATGTTTTACGGCGACGGCGTATGCTTCAAGAAGATTGATAACGGTTTTTTTCTCGACGAGCGACCGAGCCCTCCTCTCCTGTGTGAGAGGTTCCCCAGGCGGAGTGTCTGCAAAGGTTTGTTCAATCGCTGCGTTTCCGTCCAAATTGTGGCCTACCCGGTACATGGAACCAAACAGTTCGGGCAAACGTTCGATTTGCCAGAATAATCTGAGACCATAATCTCCTTCCTTCATTATATCGTTCGAAGGAAGATGTCGTCCTGTAAGAGATAATGAAACCCAACACAGTACCGATTCTGTGAGGACCTTTTGTCAGAGACCTAAAACAAGGAAAGGGAGTATGCATACACTGTAAGGAGCGTTGGGGCAACGGAGAGCTTGCCGTGGTGCTGATGGTTCAGGACGGTGATAAGAATAGCCCAACCAGAGAAGAAGATCAGAATGTGCCAACATCGGAAAAGAGCGGTGGCCAGTATGGCATGTACAAAAGATGCGCCAGGTCTCTGCCTTGGAGCAAAGCTGCACAGAAGGTTATGGAGGCTGAACATGGCATCGATGGGACTGCTTACGGGTCGGCGCCACGAAAACCATGATGCGGGAACGCCTCCGGTCTCTAAAGTAAATGAATGTCGTTTGCACAAAAATATTCTGGCCAACTGGTAGGAAGGGGCTTACTGAACCTGGAGAAGAGGGCCTATTCGCCGTGGACGACATGACTCTATGCAATTCAGGTTCGTTACCCTGTCCAAAGGGAGGGGTAAGAGATGGTTAAGTCGCTCTTCCTTGACAGCGCCAGAACGTACAGTTTCTGCTGGTGGTTGTTTATGAGAAGGCCGATTTCCCTCCATTGGCTTCGGACTCCTTGTAAGTCAATGGTAGGCGCCCAACGATGCCCTATTGCTGGCGGCTGATGGGAATCATTGCATCCGGCCGCAACGGTAGTACCGGCATCGCCGTTGGCTATGTGGACAGTGCTGAGACGTAGAAACCAAACTTCAGTGAAACTGCAATGGACAAGTGCAAAAGTAGTATTTATAGGCTGGTCCGGGAATCCGAGTAATCAGTGAAAAGGTAGGCGGGAACGATATGGCAGGATCTGAAGTCTATTATTGGATGTGACGCGGTTTCTCCAATCTTATCTTCCAAGCCACTTCAATCTATTGTCCAACAAAGCTCCCTCACAAGGCCCCAACTGCCGACCACTAACACTGCTTTGGAACGCTTTATCTCCCCCTGAATTCGCGCCATGCCATGCTTGAAGAATCCAAGTTGTGGATCCCCTTTGATTTTTGTAGCACCGTTCGTTGAATCAGTAGAATTCCTTGGCAAAGAGCATGTCGAAGCCCGAGGCTCGAGATTTTGATACATCGTCGTACTAAACCAAACTGCTCAGTGGAATCTAAAGCAATTTCGCGACGGGGAGATGCGAAACGGGCGATGTTGACCGCATCGATAGTCCCTTGGAAGCGCGAGGACTTGGCGAGGACACACCTTGGACACACCGCTCGCAAGCAGACAGATGTTTGATATAAGTTTTTTTTTTTTTTGATGAACTGCCTATGTACGTCAAAATTTAAAATCCTGCCCGCCAACGCTAACTACTATGGGCGTTTTGCAGCTGGAATCTTGCACAAGCTTTCTTAGAGCCCGAGATGCACGTTTTCCTCAAACTGCATACCCCACGCCGCGCGCTATCGATCTCCAGACCCAGGCTGTTCAGACGACCACTACAGAGCATGCCTGAAAAACGATCGTCCTTCCAACAGGATGTCAAGGCAATCGATCCCAAGGTCCTCGCCGCCGCGATGGGAGGAGACGTGCCCCCGGAGGAACCTCTGCTTTCGACTTTCGAGGAGGGCTTTGGATACTTCACCTGTGCTGCAGTTGAACGTTCGCTAGGACAGTATCAGTTCGTCCGCAAAGTGCGCTTGTTTGAGCTTCCCTCTGGCAACCCTGTTTTGATCATCAAGTTAGCTGGGTTGGGCTGCTAACTCCTCCGTGTGGCTGGCACTGTGAGTTGCTCGTAAATTCGTTTACTAGTCCCTGAAGCATCAACACAGAGACACATCGGCGGACACAAGAACCTTTGTTGCCTTGAAGATCTTGACGTCGCAAGCCACTGCACAAGTTGTCCGGGGTCTTTCACCAGAGTATGAAGTATTCCGGAAGATCGAGTCTGCCAATCCTAACAGCCCCTGATTCAACCACTACTTGACTCTCCGACATTGTTTTACTGCCCACAGCGCGGCCGACGGTCACATATGCTTCGTGACGGAGGCGTTGAGCTCGAGCCTAGCAGACTTTCGAGAGCCTGGGCTGCCCATTGCGAAGCGCATCACAAAACAGGTCCCTCTCGCTCTGGACTACCTTCATCGCGAATGCGGGTATATTCACACTGGTGGGTCTGTCCCTGCACTCATTCTTATCCATGCTGATGATCGTATGTGAAGATCTCAAACCCGACAACGTCCTTCTTTCAATACCTGAACCAAGGGCTTCTCGAATAAGCGAATACATCAAGTCGGACTCTGCATTGATTTATGGCCCTCCCCTAAACCTGAAATCATTGGATTTACCTCTTGTCTTTTCACGTCCACAGCCTCTACCGTATTTTAGCCTTTGTGGATCTCTTGAGAATATATCGGTGCGACTGATGGATTACAGCGAAGGTGAGCACATCTTGCCATTTACTTTTGCTTACTCTTACCGATGAGACATAAACAGCCACTCCCGTCGACGCGCCCGTGAGAGAGCATCTTCGTCAACCATCTATGATCTGCGTCCCCGAAGTCACCCCCAGATATCCTTGGACGTCTGCCATCGACATCTGGACTGTCGGTTGCCTTGTACGTTGGCTACCTATGTCGCTCCGCTGAGACTGAATGCATAATAGTTGTTTGAGCTTCTCACCAATTGGCACCTTCTCGGCCAGGACGACGCTCATAATTACTCGCATGAACTCCACTTGCAGCATATGGTAGAGTGTTTGGGGCCGTTCCCACTTGAATTTCTCAAACATTGTGAGGACCGGGAGAAATACTTGAGTGCAACCTCATCTAACCATGCTCTCCTCGATGATTAATGACTTTCTTCACTCAGGCACGCTGCTTCACACAAACAGCGATTTTGCCCCATCCTCCCTCGAAGACATTTTGCGAGGCCTTAACGTCGTTGATGAGAGCGAGATTCCAGGCATTGCTACTTTCTTGCGCAGATGCTTGACGTTAGGTCCGAAGGTGCGACCGAGTGCCCAAGAGCTACTAAAAGATGGTTGGCTATTGTAAATTTCGGCCCTGGAGAAGAGGGCGCCTAGCGACAAAGCATGATTGGTCACAGCTGGTGTATTGTGATACCACTCGAACCACCTTCCACAACCGTCGTCGGTAGGCGCCCAACGATGTCATATTGCTGGCTGATGAGAATCATTGCATCCGGCCGCAACGGTAGTACCGGCATCGCCATTGGCTGTGGACAGATAGAAACAAAACTTCAGTGAAACTGCAATGGACAAGTACAGATATAGGCTGGTCAGGCAATCTGAGCAATCAGTAAATTATGGGTGTTTTGCAGCTGGAATCAAGCACAAGCTTTAGAGCTGACTCATCGGATCTGATCTTATCTCCCATCCTCCATACCCCAACTATAACTGCCTCCTCGTTGTCATCAACAACTCCTCCCTTAAGTTGTGCTGTTCGGAAAGGAGAAAGGGTATTGTTCTCGTCAACATTTCATGTGTGCGCTCACACTGTTATAATTAGAGAGCTCGTGGGTTCAGCAAGTTCGGCGTGGTGTATAATTAGTAACGGACAACAATTGCACTTTTCACGGCTAAACAAAGCCAGTTCGAAAAAGTACTAACGGGATCCTGAAAACGGCAGCTTTGGACAATGACGCACAGTGTTGCTGTCAACCTGTCATCCTCACAACTATCATGGTTATCATCCGACGTCCGGCGGTGTGAAACACTTGATGTCCGAGTCGGTATCTTATTTTCGTTTTGTGGTCTCTCATATCAGGACTTTTCAGGACTACTGGCGTCAAATTACAATTTGTGATTCGGGAATTAACTCCCCTGCTTCGGGGACGGTGAATGGTACGGACATACAACAATCGCAAGTAATGTACGAATTTTCTCTCGAGCTCGCACTAAAGACCCATAGATGAAGGGAGAAAAGAAAAGGAAAGAAAAGATCGTCTATCAGCAAAAAATTGCTGGGCTGGAAATCCAATGAATGTTTGTTGAGTATCGCCGAAGACTCCTCCTTCAAAAGTTGAGTTTCCACTGGCTTGACACGGGCGATTGCATCCTCCTTCCATGTGCATCAGCATCGCTTTGCTCGCATCGTCTGCCAGACCGGATTGCCTCTCTGAGCTTGTTACCAATCCCTCTGGGCCTCGGCATCCCGCCTCCAGTCCCTCTGAGCCTCAGCATCACGCCTCCAGTCCCTCTGAGCCTCGGCATCCCGCCTCCAGTCCCTCTGAGCCTCCGCATCCCGCCTCCAGTCCCGTTGGGCCTCGGCTTCGCGCTTCCAGTCCCGTTGAGCTTCAGCGTCGCGCCTCCAGTCCCTTTGGGGTTCAGCTTCCCGCCTCCAATCACGTTGCGCTTCCGGCTCTGCAGCTCTCTGGAAGGGGGGATCGAAAAGATTAGGTTGAATAGAGATTAGGAAAAATAGCTGGACCCACGACGACTTCGATACCACGTGCTACCACTTCGTCATTCTGGGAATATAAGTCAATCAGGACGCGAAGATGAGACCAGGCCAACCACGTACGATAGGAGCAGCGCAAACGGCGCTGACAATGGATGCGATGATGAGGATGGTGCTGGCGATGCGCATCTTGCTGGGAGGAAGAATGTGGGACAGGCACGGCAGAGGTGGGAGGCTCTTTTATGGTCCAACCAACCCCTTGGCGATTGCTTCCGAATGCGGATGAGCCTGGATGAACCCTATCAAGCCGTCCAGCCTGTGCCTGACATTCAGATTTTGGAAAAAACAAGGCCCTGTTTGATGACACCTGTGGTTGTCCATTTTGCAAACAACGTTCGTCACCTGTCAGACTGTCATGCAGTTAACGCAAGGCCGGAGTCGTCTCCTAAACAATCCTCGTTGGTTTGTTCTAAGCAGACAGTGTGTTCCGCGTCGTCCAGTGCAGGTCCCGTCCGTTGGTGATCCTCCTAGAACACCACCGCACTGCTGACTAATCACCGTCTATCACTCTCATAATTCAGGGGTGGCCCTGCCAAGGGTTGTCATGAATGTCCCCACGAGCCCCCTCCAGGCCCCCACCGACGAAATAAAAACGGGATCTTCGTTTTCAATACCGGTTGTTTCTCCGCAAAATACGTACCCTAAATCCCAATGTGCATCCTTGTCTTTAGCCCCACAACCTTTGGAACGTTCGATTGCTTCGACGTTGCAATCTTAAGAGTTTATGTCGCAGAGTCAAGATTACACATGATTCAAAACGTCTGACACGCCCAGCACTTGGCACGTTCCTTTTTATCGGACCTCGCCGATGTGTTAAGATTCTCAGCAAGCTTGGGAGTCCTGGGACGATTGAGAGTTCCACAACGAGTTGCTGTTTTGTGCCGAATCTGGGAAGAGTTGAAAGTCAAATATTTCATGAATAGAGGAGGAATACAAATAGTGGATTTAGAGTAAGGCCTTTTCAGAGACAAATGCCATTCAGGTGTCGGCGACCCTCACTTGCGATATCGGAGATATCGCCGTGGGGTTGAGCGTTGAGCATTCGTAATAGAACTTTCGAAACCCACTAGTTCACTTCCTCAAAAACGATATTCAACGCCGTCTCAGCAATCTTTCAAGAAATCTCGAAACGCCAGTCTGGTTAACAATTAGCCTTTCGTATATGTGTGCATAGCTAGATCGCAACAATTGTAACATACCTCTTGGGGTTTGATAAACTCATCAGGCCATTCTGATGGTGCCGCAGTCATTCAAGATACCTTGGCAGTAGAGGAAATGGACAATAAAACACGGAGGTTTGAGGATCTGAAAGACACGGTATCACGAGGCTTTGGGGAAATTTGTTGAGGGGGTGAGACTCCTGAGAGAGACCCATAAAAGGTGGTCACTTTCCCATCTGCCACCAGAAAAAAACATTGCGACAAAATCTGACGATGGAGTTTACATTGGCTTTTTTTCTGGGAGCCTTCATTCGCCATACCACAATGACGCTCAGTCTTCGAGTGAAGAGTGAAGAGTGAATCCATCCGCACACATTGGAAGACCAGCCTTCGAGCCTCCTGGGGTGAGAGACAGCCAAAGGATCCACAAGTACACTCTGAACATCCAAAATCCGTTTCGGGGCTGGTATTGCGAAAGTCGGAGACAAGCTATCACCGCAGAGGTGGTGGGTGTCTGATACGCGGTCAGAGAACCCGAGAGGTGAGGGCGCAATGAGTGCATCCACCTGAACATCCAAAATCCGTTTCGGGGCTGGTACTGCGAGAGTCGGAGACAAGCTATCACCGCATAGGTATGGTGGGTGTCTGACACCCGGTCAGAGAGCCCGAGAGGTGAGGGCGCTTTGAGTGCACCCAGTGGTCCCATGATTTGCGTAAAATTTATCGCCGGTGCGAGCATGCCTGGAGTTTCAAGCTTAATTTACACCTGAAGACGGCAGCTCTTCAGCACTGGATCTTCCCAAAGGGAGTGGACTTCGTGTCAACTTTTAATATGCGGGCGACGCCATTATTTGAGAATAAGAATAATCTCAACTTGCGCAGAGCATTAAGTATGATCAGCACCAAACGGCGTCGGAGAATGGGCCGGGAATAAGGTGAGAATGAGCCTGGGATGGCTATAACTCCGTCAGATAAGTCAGCTTTGAAAAACGACGTCAAATGGCGAACCTGTGGCTAACTTACAACGTGACCCATAGTTGACAGTATCGAACCCACAGTAGCAAACCCACGACCAGATGGGGAATCCAGATAAGGGGGGTCTCCCTCATCTTTGGCTGAAAAAAATTGTTTTACATCACGAGATTGAGGGGCGAGTTTTGCGTCGACTTCTTTTTTCTAGAAACTTTTGGCACACACACCATTCACCTGGCTTCAAGGGGGACAAGTAAATCTGAGGACCATCCATATGCTGCGCAAGGCTCTCGGCCAGCCTCACAAGTCCCAAGGATGAGAGATGGCCCCACAGGAGAAACATTGGTCGTGATCCAGAGTCCGTGTCGGGGTCAAGGCTGCAGAAGTCGGGGACGACCTATCACCGCAGCTAAGGTGGCCTGAAGGGTGGTCAGAGCGCCAAGAGAGGTGAGAACGCCATGACGATACCCATGGCACCTCAACGGCATGAATGCCATTTGTCACTGGCACGACTCGGAGTACGCCATCTCAGACCGTTCTTGATGCAAGATAAGCTCCTTGAAGTCGCGGGTCCTTTCGAGTGAGGAACCCTGCTGGACGTCCGTATATAATTATAACGGGTTGAACGTCAAAGCACTATGACGAACTTTGAATGTCGAATTGACCTGGTGAGGAAGGAGTTCCGAACCCATATTAGGGGAATCGGGTATGATAGAGTAAAATCAGAGTCGCTACACAAGCTCAGTGAGTAAGTATCAACGAACGACATTGAAAAGACGGACCTGGGCTAAGTTATATGCCATCTGGCCAAGCGACATGCACATAGTTGGCAGTGGCAGAACGGCAATACCCAGCCATCACCGTCGCGTTACAACAATTGTGTCGTTTCTAAGTTGTTTCCAATTCCAACAGACAACAAACGACAATGGCAGTCAAGACACACACTTGGATTTCTCTTTGGTTTCTCATAACCGTTCCCGTTGTTGCCTGGGACGTGGGGTATTGCTTTATGCGGTGAGTTACTCCCGAGACGCGCCTTTTTTCTTGCTCAACTTGTGGGGGGACTCTTCAGGCCTCGTTCGATGAAGGTGGGCGGTCCACCAGATTTTCGAGCTTCAAAGGGTCCTAATTGCAGTAGGGTGGCGACCTTCATTGGATCTGGAAACCATACGCGCTTTATCAAGAGGTGCGTACTCGCGCTGTTCGCGGGCTGAAGTTTGTTATAATTTGATGCCTATCTCATATGTCGCCTCATCCATTAGATTGACTATGTGACTACCTCCCTATACCTGTTGCGGTTATCACCCCCGTCTCAAGATACTTTTTAAAAAGATCTATGGGCTGCCCGCCCTCAACTCAAAGAATGGATTCACGAACGCCCAAGGTACCCCTCTTCTCTGATGTCAGATACCCTTCCCTAACGAGCTCATACTATTAGCTTTGTTGAACGTCATTGAAACCTTCATGAACATAGCATATCTCTACCTGGCCCATGTGGCTGCTTGGCCGCCAGCAACCCTTATCGGTTTTGGTGCGGCTTTGATGACGCTCTCCAAGACGGTATTATATGGGGTGCAGGAGTATTATTGCGGTTATTGCGCGGTCGGGCATAACGATTTCAAGACGCTCTTCGTGTACTGGGTCATCCCCAATGGGTGCGCGGGACCTCTTCACTCTATATATCCTCTGTTGATATTGACTCTGGATGTCTATGTAGGCTCTGGATTGTGTTTCCTATCCTTATCGTCGCTCAATTGGGCAAGGACCTGGTAGATTCGCTGAATCTTGCGGCGAAGGCAGAAGAGAAGTTCGTATCCAAGAAAATCAAGTAAAAATTCCTTTGCCTTGACTTAGATAGATAATTGTGGATCTCAAAGAATATACCCCGTCGCCTCTGACTCACCCATATTATGATTAACAAACGCCAGCAAGAATGTCATTGGCCCACTTTATACATGCATGCAACTGTCCGATTTAACATAGACGATATAAGGGTACGAGGTGCAGATACTAGAAACAAGGAACGAACAACAAGTAAGCGTCGAGGTCAAGGTCGCGGCTGAAGTGACTATAGAGGGTGGCGATGGTGGTTGAGTGTTGAACTTTGGAGAGGTGGGCAAGGAGCTTCATATGTCTGGATCCTGTACTTCTCGAGACTTCGGACCATGAGTTTGGGGATGGTCATCGATTCATTATTGATTGAGTGCGAGCCTTCAAATTGGAAGGGTAAAAATGCCCCGGAATGAAGACCAAAGTCAACGTTGGATTACGGTAAAATACAAGGACAGTAGACACGACAGCTGGCAAGTAGCATATCAATCAACTGTCAAGTCAATGGGAATTGATTTAAACTACTCACAATCATCGAATGAAAACAAACCACCCCGGTTCTTCAGTAAACCCGTCCTTAGCCAGAATCTTCTTCAATTGCTCCAGTTGGTCACCATTTCGGATGAGACTACCGTCACGACGAAGGCACTTGCCAAAATGCAGAACGAACCTCCGCTTCTTGTTGAGATAAGCCGACGAGAAGTGTATATTGCGGTACCCTGGCCATATCTCCATGCATTGCGCTTCAAGGTAGCTTAACACGCCAATCATCCGACTAACTGCGAGTCTCTGACGTTCCTCTTCATTCGTATCAGGTGGAAGAGGTGAGGCCTTGTCTAAACAGTTGCATATCGCCGCTGGGTCGAGAGGGAATTCATACACGACAGGGTTGAGCTCGCGGGAAAGTCTTGCAACATGAGCACGCTGAACAGGCAAAAGTTTGTCCAAAGCCGCTGTGCGTTCGCCCGTTACAATGGGAATAACCAGTGGTACTTCATTCCGCTGCATTGAAAAGGAGAGGGGAGGACGAGAGGGAGAGCATGGGTGTTTGATGGGTGTGGCCAAGCACCTACAGCACGTGGCCAAACCCTTATTTACAAGAACTTGCATAAATAATTTCCTTTCTTTACATACTACAAGCTCCATACTATAAAGCATTCAAAAATAAAAGAATCTCGTCATGCCTCCCACTGTTGTTGGCGCTTGCGGGTCCAAGTTCTGTGCCGCAGGTATACTACCGTATCTCCTCACCGCCGGTCTCCACTTCGGGCTGGTCGTGAGCGGGATGTCCTCTCCAAAGTCATCTGCATTCCATCTGTTCTCAGGTATTCCGTATCTGTCATATGTGCTTGCGCCGTTGACCATGATATCCTCTTCTAGAGACATTTCTTCTTGTTCCCATTGGTCGAGCCTGCTGCCCTCCCGCCTAAATCGTAACCCGAAGTGATACAAAGAAGTAGGGGAAAATGCGCCAAGAAGCTTTTGTAAAGGCTCGAGGACAACGACAACCCGAGAAATCACTGGAGCATGCAGTCGTTCGTCGACCATATTCAGCGCCCATGGTGATACAGTGAGAACAGACGCGCAGATAATTACGAAACTTTCGCGAGGGACGATAAGCCTCCGTCAGCTGAATCATCTGGCTCACAGAAGGGCATGCTCACACGACTAGCAGGAAAACTGCGAAGGTCCACCCTCTGATTTTGTTTAGCCTGGGGTTAGGCTTCAACATTTCCTCGCCCTTCTTTTCCTCTTTCGCAGGCGGTGAGGTATCGTCAATGCCATCTTCTGCCGGCGACAACTGCAAAGCAGCTTTGGCGCTGCTTTTCTGCTCCACCGAACACACGTGCTGGGTGATCCATAAGAAGGAATGTACTCCCCCACGGTCCTCAACAAATCGAAGATCATCATCGCCTTCGAGGCTACATTGAAAAGCGATTCTAGCCGATTGCCACAGCATACTGTCGCCCACATCCCCTCTCAAGTGCAAGACAATTGGCGTTATTACTTTTGCTTGGCCTCTCAGCCGCTATCCATGTGGAATCGGTAGCAAACTCACAGCTATTGTCCCCCTTCCCTGTTGCAAGTGATGCAACAACCTCTACATCGGTTGTCACTACCCTCTTTCTCCCAATCGCGGTCAAAATCCAGCTTGGATCTTTGTTCTCGACTTCGTCTGAGGACCAATCGATAACGGCTGTATATATAGAGGCTATCCATTAGTGTCAAAAAATGAAGTGGTTAATAGGCACACCCGTCATGCAAACCCAAGTCCCTTCTGGACACTAGGGACCAACATTCCGAAGATATCGTCGATATTCCAGGATTCCAATGATGAAGCAGGGGACTCACCGATGGTTCCGAGTCAGTTGGCTCCCCGTCCACCCCACCGGCGAATACTAGTTCGTACGCAATTCTCCACCCCCATGCTTCTCTACGCACTACGCCCGCGTCTACGGACCTCCTCGCCCCGCCTCTCAACAACGGACAGAAATCATATCTTTGTCCGGAAAACTCGAACGCACAATCTTTACTTCGTAAGTCATTAACCGGTATCTTATGCGGTAGAGTACTCGCATGCGATTGGATGATCAGGAGGATCTATATGGCCAGGAATGCAAGCAACGAGGACGAGGCCAGCAACGACATGATGCGAGGCAGCTCGGTCGTAATGGTGGTTCACGGTATGATGGGGCTTGTAGCTGGAACTCCTGGTACCTACAAAGAGGAAGAATGGCAGCGAGCCTGATTATAGAATTGGTAACGGTAATTCAACCGCCATGTCCTCAATTGGCCACATGGGGTCGTCGGGGATGATCTCCTGACTTGAACTTGGCTATTTATTAAAGGGCCTCGTGAGCACCCAGCCTCCTATGTACCTAGCCTCCCCCGATGTGCACTGCTGCTAAGTAGAAGAATGAAGCCGGAAATCTAGGCGAGGATGTCCCTGACTTACATTAAAGTATGCCAGAAACCGGTTATTTGACTCTCGAGAGCGGTTCGATGCCTTCATTTTCTTGATTCAACAAATGCAAAGGAAAAGCTGAGAGTCGGATCATTTCCGTTGGCACATATGTGGGTAAAATACAAATTTTGATTGAGCGTGAGGCACTTGGTCGAGTTGTGGTTACAAGATTAAAGCAGGATGCGCCCAGAAAAGTCGCAAACATTTTTTCTGCAGTACTTAACTCTATACGGTCGGACCATGTTCTCTGCCTTCAGAACTTCCGGTTTTTCTCCACTAGCTTGAATGGTTTTATTTTGCATATTTACACACTTGTGATTTCAATCAGACGGAGCATCAGTAACGGAATGGAAACACACACCTTCTAGAGAACGGATGAGGGTTCCCAGTGTTCGTAGCTGGAGGTGCGTAGTCAACTTTTCTGTCAACCAGCGTTTCGATTGAAATTGCCAAGTTGGACGTGCGACGGCTCTAGAATATTGACCTTCAGAACGAGTTCACAAAAGCGATCACTGGGGTAACCTTTTCATTGACCGACGGCAGGTTACCCTCTATGTCAAACCTCCGGGTTTGTGAGATTTGAGATAGATGGATAGAGACTGGTGTGTCGTCACCCTTGTCTCGAAGATCTCTGCGAGCATTCAGGCTGTGATGAATTTAGTCTTTTTTTTTTTCGCGATTTTGTGGTTGATTGAACCTACGCTGCAAGGTATGAATTGAGGTATACTGTTAAGCCGATGGCGTTAATTCCCGTCACTTTCTCAATAAAGACATACTACTCACATTTGCTTAGGAGGAGGTAGATGCCTGAGTCAGAGCCGTAAGGAGCGAAAATTGAAATTTACATAGAAAGATAAAAAATACCAAGGAAGATGAGATTGTCAGGCATCAAGACATACATGATCATTCCGAGGCTTGCGTCAAGTCTAAATTTAGATCCAACGTCAGAAATAAACGAAAACAGCGTGATCCAGAAATACATACGCAACAATCATGCCAGTGTTGACAGTGTATAATATAAGCACTTTGATTAAAGAGTCTGTCCTTAACACGGAAATTCACTTCAATTGAGTTTCACAAAAAAAAAAACGGACACACTTTCGGAAGCCCGTCCGAGAGCGATGGAGCAGATAGCATAGCGCAAGAGCAAGACTAAGGTCACTTGTTGTACCCACTGCAAATGTCAGATACATCAAGAACTGGAGTACGAGAAGTAAAAACGGCGGTGAAAGGGTCCAAAGAACGCTGGGAATCGCACCGAAATTTTCTTCAGCTCTGGAAAAGAAGGAACTCCAAAGCTTTTGGAAATCGTAAATCTACCGTGCATTCGTAAGATAAAACACGTACGCTTTCACGGTAATAACTGAACAAAAATTCGGTGAAAATCGACAAAAAAAGTGTGGATGAAAGACATACCGAGGCCGACAACTAGAAGTATACGCAACGGTAAAACACAATTTATCTCAATTGGCGTTGAAGGTACTTGCCTAGATCCGTGGTTGATACGGCCATCTGTAAGCCATATTAGCAATTAGAATGGTCTTCAGCATTTTTGTACTTACAATCCAGCCTGTTAGCGGTCTATTTCCTTTGCTGACTGACAGAACATCACTATAGAGAAGCATTCGCAAAATACATCGCACTTACGCCGATATATACGAAGGGCAAACATCGTCCGAATGATGAAGTTGGAAAGCGACTGGAGGATACCCGGCTGTGTGAAAGACCCATAGTATTCCCAAGGACATGTAAGTGACTCACCGTAATGGTGACATGGATCTGCCAGAAGATTGTAACGAGAGCTTCAACTATGATAAGACGTTGCACTTACGATAATGCTCCTGCGAGAAGATGCAGCGATCATACGCAACTAGAAAAGATATGCACTTACCATACTGGCACCAAAAGTGCAAAAGGATTGACATAATTGGTGACCATGTAGTGATAAAGAATGTGGGTGTTCAACGCCGAGTCGAATGTATCCAAAATCCTGTTTTTATCCACTCATGGTCAGTTCCTAAAGCTCAGCGTCGTCTGACTAACAGAAGAAATGCGACCTAATGATATACAATAAGCATTTCTACTGTTCTGATGACAGGTAGAACACACCGTAAATTTAATGAAAGGACGATCTTTTGACGGACTGGTAAAATACGAGTAACTTTGAACGCAGGTCACGCCCCAGAGCCTGCCATAGAATAAACGAGTTGGCCTTTGATAATAGGTGAAGTAGAACATACGCCATGGCGACCATGCCACCAATGAGGAGCGCCCCAAGCGAATTGTCGAACTTGGGAAGTTTATTTCCTGGAAAAAGCGACATCGTGAGGCGACGAGGGAAGCAATCGGACAATCTGAGGGCTGAAGCCTTAATACTTTCTATGGCCAGGTACAAGGGCACCATGCGGGCTTAATCGAGAAAATCAAGTGGGATGCGACATCCTTTCCCTTGGTGTAACTTCCCTATCGCTGATAAATTTTAGGAGGGAGAATGGGGTTCGATTGTTGTCAACCCCAGGATCTGTAGGTTAACGTTATAGCCTAGTACATAAGCAAGAGATGTGCCTTTACTTATCTGGTCTCGGTAATGATAAAGGCTTGTGAACAGTGACATGAGAAAAAGGCGGGGAACCAGGACCCCCGAAAATCCTGCTAAATGATAGATACTGAAATTGCCGATTTCCAGATTCTTGTCCGTACCAATTTTGGCGAAGTCTGTCCGGATTTTATCTAGCCTAGACCAAAATTTCGAAAAGTTGTCCGAACTGCGTATCTAGCCCAAGTCAGGGCCAAATTTTTTTGTGCGGCAAAAGGTTCGAACCGCAGACCACACGTCAGGCTTCGTAAAGTACATACTTTTTTTCCGTTGAGCTACGCGACCATAGTTGTCCGGTTAGTATCTAGCCTCTGATTCTTCTCGCAAGCCTGTCCAGATTCTGTATCTAGCATTTTGCTGATTTTTTCGAAAACTTGTTCGGTTTGTATCTATCCTAGCGCCTCATTTTGAAAAATTCTGTCCGGATCGGTATCTACCATTTAGCAGGATTTTCGGGGGTCCTTCATCCACCCACCAATGATACGCCACCATCATTTGATACACTTTTGACCAACTAATATCTCACTCAATACTACATCAATTTTTGTGAAATAAATTGTAACGTGCACTACAAGTTCACATCTATCGTAGTACAAAATTTGGGAACAATTGAAGCAGTATTGGTGCTGCTGTGAAGTTTTCAAAACAGACTGTTTTTGGAAATTGCTGCAATACAGTCACACCACCCAATGATACACCCATAATTTTGACTTTTCTTCCTGACCTGTGGTTCAAACATTCTGAAATTTGGTAGGGTTATAGAATGTAATTTATCTCAAATAATTCATGTAGTTTTTATGGCTGAATGTTGTACTTCAAATTGTTGGATGCAATTTCTCAGTCAGCCGTGTGGTCGGTGGTTCGAACCTTGCGCTGCAGAAAAAAATTTGGCCCTGAATAGGCTTACGCCAGATAAAATCCGGACAGACTTCGCCAAAATTGGTACGGACAAGAATCTGAAAATCGTTGATTTTAGTATCTATCATTTGGCAGTATTTTCAGGGGTCCTGGGGAACTGACGGGTTACCGTGAGGCGGAAGGGGAAGCAGGACCCCCGAAAATCCTGCTAAATGGTAGATACGGATCCGGACAGAAATTTTGAAAATGGGGGTGCTAGGCTAGAGACAAACCGGACAGGTTTTCGACAAAATTAGCAAAATGCTAGATACAAAATCCGGACAGCTTTCCAAGGAGGTTGACAGGCTAGATACCTAACCGGACATGTCGCATAGTGCAGTGGATAACCGTAGGTGCATCAACCTATGGTTGAATCCATGTAGTCTGCTGTTCGAACCCTGTCGTCAACTTTTATTTTTGTTTTTTTCAACATGCGATCAGGTACCAAATGACATACTGAAAATAATGTGGCGTGAAATGTGCAGTAAAACCATGCATTCCAGTGTTATAGCCCTCGACACTGAAGGTGTTTTCAAAGAATCAGATTGGATTGGAGTCCAGAAAAACTACCGAGATGTCGCGGTGCCCAGTTCCGCTCCATTCCGGAGGTCACTGCATTGCTTCAATTATACCAATACGTCCTGCTGCCACCAACAAGTTTTCTGACGCTTCTGAATACCCAGCTGTTGAAAGTCAACAATAGTGGATTTGAGCTCTCTCCCGTCGATATGGTACTCTTCAATGACTTGAAAAGGGGGAAGGAACAGCTCAGAAAGGCAATGAAGGCCTTTAGGAAGCGCCAAAAGGCCGAGGACAGTGCGTAGTTTAGTAATTTAGCCAGATTTCCACTTTTCCTTCAAATTCCAGTCCTCTGGAGGCCAGATACTAGATTCCGGACAAACTTGGGCCCTAAATACGGCTAGATACGTAGTCCGGACAAAAATTTTATATTATGACTAGGCTAGATAAAATCCGGACAGAGTTCGCCAAAATTGGTACGGACAAGAATCTGAAAATCGGCCATTTTAGTATCTACCATTTAGCAGGATTTTCGGGGGTCCTGGGGAAGCTCCCTGGCAAAGATACCACCCTATGATCCGGGCGTTTACCGTTAACATAAGTATCGCGGGAGGAATACTTGCTTACCTTAGTAGGCTCGCTTGTTAGAGATATGGCGTTATTGCGCTAAATTCGCGGTGAACTACATTCACTGAGGATGCGAAGTCAGAGCTAGTGAGCGCTGGAATTGGCTTGCGTCTCGAATCAAATCACGAGCAAGTATAAGAGTTTGCAGCACTAGATTCGACGAGGTACAAAGACTCGGCGTAATCGGGTCTTGCAACTTGTGCACATGGTACATCTATGACAGTGTGAAAGATATGGGTTGTCTTCTAACAGAATTCCAAGTTCTCTGTTTGGTTTCGGGGGTCCTGGTCCAAAATGCGATTCGAATCCTCATACTGTCGCAAAATTTTCATTTTCAAGATGGACTGATTAAGCAATGACCAAAAATGTATAAGAAGATGAGACAAGGGATACGACACAACGCAGTCATAAACACGAGAAAATCATCCCCCAGTAATCAATCTCTGCCTCATTTCCCCTAGCCATCATCCACTGATTGTCAAGATGAAGTAGTGAATAAGAGGCATGTCCGCCGAATGCTAAGCGCTGGCACTCAAATGAAAATAGATCAGCATTATCTCCCAATGGATAAAGAGCTGCACCAGGTCGGTACTAGTGTTGAGAACGGCCATTCCGGGGATCAACAACACAATCGAGGGAATCGAGGACACCCTATTGATTTGACGTAACGGGCTCGCGGTCATCTTGCGACCACATATGAGATACAATCAAGGCCAGGTTGAAAGAAAACATCGTAGATGGGCAGATAATTCGCGCCTGAGGTTTCAAATCAAAGCTAGTGGTGTAGTCATATCAACCTACAACAAGGGCAGTGGCCTGTAAAAAAATTACTATTAGCAATGGAGAACATGGACAGGTCGGGTGAAAAGATGCGGTTCAGCTACATGAAAAAGTAGAAAAGTGAACGCATCGCGCAACGAGCGCTCATCGTCTAATTAAGGGGTAATCACAACCGGCGTGGAAGGAGGGCAAGAGAGTTTAAAAGGCGAACATGGGAGACTTACTAGGTACTACTCCGGTGCTGACCGACGAACCCTAAAACAGAGAGCCTTATTAAAGCCATGCTCCTTGAGGTGCTTCGAGACAGCGAGTCGAAGCTCGAAGTCTCCGGAAGGCGAAACACATTGTGGCAGGTAGAGGAAGAGAGCAAACGTTGAGGAAAATCTCAAGGAAAAAAAAGAGAATTTATACTCCGCGTGTTCTGGCACGTGTCGGAAACCAATCGGAAACTTCTCTGCTCTCAGCTCTGATCCTTTCTCCGTATAGTGCGCCGACAAGTAACCGACGACAATGCTTAGCCTCCCGCTTCCCGAATCTCGTGCAAGTATGGAGCACGATTTTGAGCTTCGGCTGCACTGCGCCGTTTCCTCGCAGCCTATTTTCAAGTTACTGTCAGCCACATTACTTTGGCTTGCTTCGAAATACTGTGCTATTTCGACCTTCCACTACGATGGTGGCATTCACAATACTTGCAGGTGGCTACGGCGCCTTCGTTGCGACGTACCTGTTTAATTCCTCAGACTCGACCTTGTCGCTCCTTGGTAAATCTCCGACTGGGCCCAACCCTTCTTGGATAACCACCCATCTCATGAACAAGTCCATCCTGTAGTAAGCTTCTACTCACCTTCGTGCATAAAGGACGACTGACCGACGTCATAACTTTTTCAGTGCTGTAAATGAAGCGTCTCAAGGCGCGCTTCAGACATTTGAGGTCTGCCCTGGCGGCGCGTTATCCCACCCCATTGATACAACCTCGTCGGGGGGCGACAGTCCGGCGTTTGTAGCCGCGCTCTCGACGGGGCAGGTCGCTGTCATGAATTACGGATCGGGGAATGGGCGAGTTATACAAACGATGGAGTCGGGACTTCATTTTGACCAAGACGAGGTCACTCCGATTGTTACGTTCCCCCGGTTACTTAGTGGTGCTTCGCACCCTCATATGGCGCTTGAACATGGGGACGAGATATTAGTCCCTGATCTAGTCAGTTCCCTTCAGTTGGCCTCGACCAATTTGCTGAAGATGCTTGTATTGTAGGGAGGTGATACTATCTGGCGACTCTCAAAAAGTGGATCGATTCAAGGATTCATTCCCCAGCCTAAAGGTAGTGGTCCGCGGCACATGGCTATCTATGGTATGTGCATAGACAAAATTTCTACAATATTTATGTTGATACATTTTTCAAGGTCAACATCTTTTCACCTTACATGAGCTTTCTTCAACCCTGACGGTCCAATTGATCCCTCCAGCGCCAAACGGCACTTCCCCGATCATATCCAGCGTGTCCATCATCCCTTCAAATCAACCCACAAATGCATCTTACGCCGCTGCCGAAATCCTCATTCCAACCCCCACAAAGGATTTTCCAGTGCCCTACATCTACGTCTCCAACCGCAACGTGGGTCTTCAGGATGCTCGCGGTGACTCGATTGCGATATTTGAGCATGTGAATGTGGGTACCCCAGAGGAAAGGTTGGTGCTTGTTAAACAGGTGTTCACGGGTTTGGACCAGATTAGGGGGATGCAGTTTGGGGAGGAGGTGGGAGGCGAGGCGTTTTTGGTGGCCGGAGGGGTGGCGGGTAATGCGGGGATCGTGGTGTTAAAGAGGGTGGGTCAGGGGAGAGATCTGGAGGTTGTTGCGAGGAATCTGGAGGTGCCCACCAGGACTACTTTTGTGTGGCTCTGAGGTACAAAATATTACAGCTTCATATTGTTCGAACATGACTTACTGGGGAGCGACTGGAATTAGGCGATCGTGAGCAACTCAGAATTTTTGAGCAGAACTAAACAACGCGTCGACAGTGGCAATCAACAGCAAAAGCGGATCTTCAATGTCGACCACCACCATTCAAACGTCCGAATCTATTCTTCATGTCTATGCGACACCTTATTCCAAACTTCCGCATAAAGGGTCCCGACGGCGCTGTGGATTGCTGGCGCATTTGGCGAACCGAGTCGGACACGAGGCATTTTAGTCCTGCCCATTTCAACATGTATAAGTTCTGTCGTACGGTGAGTCGTCCATTGATGTTGGTTGATAGCTCTTTCTTGACTTTTCTTTCCTATTCCAGAGTTGTTTGAAGTTGAGTGTTGAATATATCGTCTCGTTGGTCAAGATACGAGGAACAAAGCCTATAGATTCGACCCTGTGGCTACTCCGTAGTCCCCCGTCGAGGTAATCAGAATTTTCGTTTGACCCTTGCAGACAACTTGCATGCATTCACCACATGTTTATTGATATACTAGACATCTCGAGCTGGCGAGCTTTACTTTCATTCAGGTCTTTCATCGTAATTCACAATGACAGCTCATACATCCCTGCTGAAACGTGATACTGCGGCTTTGCCGTCTTGTATGAAGCTTTCATACATCGGCGCAATCGTGGTAGGAGAGCACTGCTGGCCTGTCTGCTATGCATTCACCGAATCTTTCTTTCCTTTAGGTCGAAGCCTTTTTATATGGTGCGAGTCTTGTGTTCCCAATATTCGACCGAATTATGTATACATGACAGGGGTGTATCTTGTCTTATTTTACAATTGCTCCTACGTTCTTTTTGTCCGCAGGCATCGGAAACGTCGATGGCATCATCAAATTCTCGCTACGGTTATGTTTGGACTCTCCACCGCGCACTTGGGTTTGAATATCAACTCGCTGTCCCACTGCGGTGGTCCGTATCTCTCCTTGGCAAGATTCCTGCTTTACATAACGAGCAAGTGAGCAAACACTTTATTGAAAATGCTCTGGTGAATGAATGTCTGAAGCGCCATTTTGTCTTCTTTCCTTGTAGCGCCTTTTCTGAGCGCGCAGGTGTATGACACTCACGAAAAACACAGATCTTCCGTTGCTCTTCTCTTTGGAGCAACACGTGGCGGGTTATCTTCGCCCCTTGCGTCTGTCTATTCTGTTCATCAGGTTTGTAGTTTGTTTCTGGATGAAACTATGGAACTATCTCATTTTGCGTTGCTTAGTCTATGGATACCTTTTTGCTGCTTCGGCTGTCACCAATTTGCCTGTGCGAGAGCCATTCCCTGTCTTTCTTTGGATGACATTCGGAATCAACGCATACGTCACCGTCTTGACTAGTAAATTCCAAAAAAATTCAGCATGAAATCCTGACTGACCATAACCATTATAGTGGGGCGTGTGTGGTGGATTACACTACATGCTGGCTTCATTTTGGGAACAAGGCTTCCAAGAAGGTACTATGCGGCCGTGTAAGGAGGAAATGTGTTGCCTGGCGTAAACTCACATTTCTCACAGGGTGGAGTCAGGAACTCCCTACACAACCTGTGTCCTATTGTATGCGATGTTCTCATCAGCAGCGCCTCACAGTGACAGTCAACACATCCTTCATGGAGCGTTGGTGCAAGTTTCGGTACGTTCCCTCCGGAATGTGTGAGCTTGATGGTTTATTATCATTGTAAAAGGGTATCGCTCACGCCCTTATCACTGTACACCTCTCCCTTGGTCACGGTGTCCAGGATGTTGAGACAATAGTGACGATGGCACAGGCTGAACAACTAGAAGGATCGAGCACACCGGTTCTTGATACAGTTTTCAGCACTGTTGGAAGTGGTCCTCCAATTTCTAATCAAACTTCACAGGCACCAGAGGACCGAGCTACACGAGATATTGAAAGTGTCCGAGTCGAGACTCGCGAAAAATCAGCCCAAGGAGAGGCGTTCGAGGTTTTGTAAAGTGTCTACTCTCATTGAGTGTCATGAATCTTAAAATTTAGCAAGGTGTCTATAACAACACAGACGTGACAATCTTCTTATTTTTCTATCTCTACAGGTATCGTTTGTTGGCAGCACAAGGTCACCCCCGTGTAATAGTTTTCTGCCTAACAAGTAATAGATGTCATCGATGAAAGATTGTGCCAGGCTTGCCGATGCAACTCCATTCAACGTACTAACTTGAATTTTTTTCAAGGGAAGAACTATAGCAGTCTTCTGCGCATAGACTTCAAGTTGGTATTTACTTCCTCCCTTTTAGGTCCTCGAAGTCTGACCGCACAAGTTCAACCAAATTTCGCTCCGTCAGTCACGACTTTCAATTACCGGGCCTTCTTGAAAACGTTCGAGAGCATCGGAATCGCGATATGTCCATCCTTGCTTTCAAGCGGTAGCTGCCTCTCAGGTGTCAAGGAAACCAGACCCATCTTGGGTTCGTCAATAACGTGTCCACCCAGCGCCAGGCGCTCATCCAAGACTCCAAAGTGAACCGCGGGAATGACCGAGGTGGTCCATGAATGCAGTCATGATATTGGCCCTTGCCTCCGAGGAAAAAAATGTCCCCATGCAAGTAATAACGGCTTGTTGATCCCAACTAAGGATGCACTGGATGATGCAGAAATGGGGTGGGTGTTTTGAAGTCGAGGGTTCCAGCTTGATGCTGGGTCTGTAGTCTTCTATGACTTGAAGGCATGCTTGAAGCATGGCAGCTACAAAGCGATTGAAATCGGGCCGATATCAGGTCAGCTGGCTGGTGGTTTCGCACAATCAGCGTATCATATAGACGCTTCGTGTAGATATGAACTTCTCGGCGCCATTTGCTGCCGAAATCGATTAATAGATTTCATGGTTGGCGCTTTTAGAGGTCTTTCAATACAACATGTCAAGCTATGGCTATGCAAGCGTCTTTCTGTGACATATCCCGTTTGGTTTGAATCTAAATATATGAATGGGTAGATAAGAACATAGGCAGAATGTGAAGAATAAAAGGGGACACCAACTTGTTGTGAAGGATTCCGGCGCCTCGCCATCTATCTGCAGCACCGACCACTGAAAGACCACTCAATGGCATCATCCCAATCGCCCGATGAAGCACGGCCTGAAACAGCAACGACAGAATCCAAAGAACAAGTGGTGGCACCCATATCGCCAGACGAAGCGCTCCCGGAAACGTTAACGGCAGAATCTAAATCGCTCGATGAAGCGCGCCCGGAAACATTGACAACAGAATCCAAAGAAGAAGCGACGACGTCCAAGTCGCTCGATGAAGCGCGCCCGAAAACATTGACAACAGAACCCAAAGAGCACGAGATAGCATCCACACCGCCGAACGAAGATGCTCAACCAGAAGAGATTGCGACCATTGAAGAGACCACCCCCAGCCGGCCGCACCTCTTCCACGGGACCCCAAGCCAGATGGAGACGCAGTACGTCAACATGCTGCTCGCAAAGGACAAAATCCACATGATCTACAACGCACTCGCGGGGTTTTTCACGTGGATCCTTCTTGCGGGATTCATCTTGTTCCCGGGCACCTTCACGAGTTTGCAGAGTGCCAATTTGGGGTCGACGGGAAAGGAGGTGTTGGATGCCATTAAGCATGTCCCTTTGTAAGTGTATACGGGCCTTAAATATAGATATGTAGACTGAGAGCCCTTTGCGTTTGCCCAGATACATCATTGGGTGGGCGTGCTGTGGAATTGGCGGTTTGGGGATGCTGTGGCTTTGGTGGAGGTGGAGGAACAACTACATCTGGCTGGTGGACAGGATCTTCTTGTGAGTGGCTTGCGTATCCAGCAGCGTGTGTGTTGCGTCGATCAATTCATGTTCTCCTCCTTCTCAGACCAGGCTTCCTTAACTCCCTCGCAGGTGTCATATCGACACTTACCAATACGTTAGGAGTGCAGCACAGAACGTTTTCGGCCAGTGCCAGGATAACGCTCATCATCACTTCCTCCGTAACAGTAGCATGCGGGATGTTGGTCGTTGCGTATAGCTTCTGGATGTTGAGACGGGTGAAGATAAAGCACGATAGGCACATTGGTACAATGAGAGTTGGAAGATACGGTGAAGGGAAAATTGAGCAGATGAATGTTCATGGTGAGCAGGGAGTATAGGTTGGGGACCATGGCAGCGAACGCCAAGTCGAATCATGGTTGTCACTATCGAAAGTTTATGTATGAGTTTGCGGACTTGAAATTGATTCATAAGGTACCACCGCCTTTGGTTCACCTCGCTGTACTGAAGGAAGGACGCTCATAAGTACTTGAGCTCAAAGACGCCAACTCTTGACGGACGGAGTCTCGTCGTTTTTCGATACACGAAAGCCCAGTGGGCCGTGGGCATCCATGATGCGATCTAACGACCCCGCAGTATATACCTATACCAGAGCCGACGCTGAAGGATTGTGGAGTTGGGATTCAGTCCTTAGTACTTACAAGCGATTGAGGTAGAAAGCGACTGCGGCCAATCAGTGCATGAGATGGTCCAGGTAACCGTCGGCGGCGCTGACCGGGTTTTTGCTCAATCGTTACGCCAATCTCAACTCTGCGCAGACTCTTTGTGGACACAAGCAACCCATCTTCGCGCGTACCTCGGTCGTGAATGTCCAGCTTGGGTGGTTCACGATTATCCAGCCTGTGACCCGTCGCCAAGTATGTGGTGGATGTGCAGCTTGGTGGGTCACTGATATCCAGTCCAGCATAATGTGTTGCGGGCATGCAGTATGGGAAAGTGTCGTGTCCAGGTACGCTGGTATTGAGATGAGATAGAAAGCGATTGCAGTCAACCCTCGAGATCAGTGTATGAGATGGTCCAGGTAACCGTCAGCGGCGCTGACTGGGCTTTCGCACAATCGTTACGCCAGTCTCGACTCTGCACGATGATGATACGAAAATGGCTCTTTGTGGACACAAGCGACCCATCTTCGTGCGCAAGGGTCGGTCATGAATGTCCGGCTTGGCTGGTTCACTGCTATCCAGCCGTAGGTCGTGGATGTCCAGGTGAGTCACTGATATCCAGTCCAGCAAAATGTGTTCCGGACATGCAGCAGGGGGAAAGTGTCTGTCCAGGTATGCTGGTATTGAGACTAGGCAGGGCAGCAAGCCCGGTTGAGGTAGAAAGTGACTGCAGTCAGGCCTCGAGATTCCAGACTCCAGGTAACCGTCAACGGCACTGACTGGGTTTTCGCACAATCGTTACACCAGTCTCAACTCTGCACGATGCTGATACGGAGATGGCGCTTGTTGACACGAGCAGCCCATCTTCCACCTTCCAACACCAAGGTTGACCATCAAGGCCGATCTTCGCGCGTACCAAGGGTCGGTGAATGTCCAGCTCACGATTATCCAACCTGTGACCCGTCGTCAAGTAGGTCTTGGATATCCAGCTTGGTGGATAACTGATATTCTAGTCCAGCATCATGTGTTGCGGACATGCAGTAGGGGAAAGTGTCGTGTCCAGGTATGCTGGTATCGAGACAAGGCAGGGCAGCAAGCCAGTGGGTGGCCTTTCGACCATTGATATTGCACCGTTATCAACGCCGACTATTCAATGCCATCCAATCCAATCGATAGCATTCATAGATAACTTTAGTGAATGTTGCTGATATACGGTCATCTTCCACCATGAATCGTGGGACCTGAAATCGTGATGCACGTTCAAGGCTTCCTCGGCCACGCGGTTGCGCTTGCAGGCGCATTGCGGGACACATGGCCTCTTGAAAAGGATATAAATGGGGCAGACGGAGGCAGAGGGGAGGGACAATAATGTTGGCTGGGAAATATCACATCATCATCTGGTCGTGAGGGTTCCTCGAATTCGCCAAGATCTCTATCATCTCTTCTAACCACCACTCAAACTTGAACTCCATCCTCTCGAAGACACAGAGGGAGGATGGCATCCAACGCAAAGACCTCTCCTTCCAAGCCCAAAACCACCACCTCCAACGACCGACCCCACCTAATCCACGCAACCCCAACGCAAATGGACACACAATACGTCAACATGCTCCTCGCACTCGACAGCATCCCACGACTCCACAACATCCTAGCCGGGTTCTTCACCTGGATCCTCTTGGCGGGGTTTGTGTTGTTTCCTGGTACGTTTACCAGTTTGCAGAATGCCAATGTAACGACGGCAGGGGGGGAGGTGGGGAAGAAGGTGTTGGGTGCCGTTGCGCATGTTCCGCTGTGAGTTTTTTTCTTTGGTTTGAGGTAGGAATAAGGATGGAGCTGATTATGGTTGAGGGCGCAGGTTCGTGATTGCGTGGATATGTTGTGGGATAGGGACGATTGGGATGATGTGGCTTTGGTGGAGGTGGAGTAATAATTATATCTGGATTCTGAACCGGATATTCCTGTGTGTCTTCGATGTGGTCTTTGCGCCATCCCATCTCTCCGACTGACGCGTTAATTAGCCCAGGCCTACTCAACTCTCTCGCAGGCATAATATCAACCCTCGCCAACGCGCTCGGTGCACAACACGGCACGTTTTCACGTACGGCGAGGGTGACCATCGCCGTAACCTCAGTCGTAGCCTTTGTATGTGGGGTATTGGTCCTGGTGTATAGTTTGTGGATCCTAAGGAGGGTCAAGGCGAAGCATGATAGGGAAGTTGGAATAGAGCGGGCTGGGAAACATGGTGAAGGGAGGGTGGAGAAAGTCTAACGAATTATTTGCCTATTTACTTACGCGACATACGGACTTTTAAAATTTCTATGCTACGTGACACGTGACACAACTACCTTTTCCTTTCGTTCTCGTCTCGCTGTCCTTCGTTGCACTTTCGCGTTAGGCGTACTCATAAAGATGCGCGACGGCGGGGTGTTTTCTATCCGTCGGGCTTTGCCTCGCATGGTACGTACGCATTGCCTTCCATCTTTCTCCACAATCCAGCTAACCTCTTTCCCCAGAGCTGGTCCCCGAAAAACCTATTCAACCTCTGGCACCGCACCATAGGACCCAAATCCGAAGAAATCACATTCAAACTCACAACCGGTGAAACCCTCTTCCAACAGCGGTGGAGGTCCAAAGCAGCTGTAAGAGCGTATCACGGGGACTACATCCCTGAAAAGGTGTTCAAGCGTTGGTACCTCCCCGAGACTATCCCAGACGTGCGGCCGCGTCGGAAGATTTTGTCCGGGGATGATAAGGCTTCTTTGGAAGAGTTTGCGAAGCGGAAGAAGAAGGAGAAGGATTTGGAGGAGGAGATGGAGAAGAAGGGGATGGCGCCTGTTGGGAGTTTGATGTTCTCTGAGGTGGAGAGACGGATCGACGTTTTTATTTTTCGGTGTTGCTTTGCGCATAGTATTTATGAGGCTAGGAGGTTGGTTATTCATGGGAATGTGTTGCTCAATGGGAAGAAGGTTCGTTTTTTTTTCCTTCACGTTGGAACTGAAGAATTCATTTTACTCTATTTTAGCACAGTAACGCAAACACACGCTTAGCACCAGGCGACATGGTCTCCGTCGACCCCTCCGCCATCCGCTTCTTCAAGCCCCCCCACGGCGAGTACGACGACGTCATTGGGACCGTCGCAGAAAGCAAAGCGAATGCGGGTTCTCCACCTGCAGAAGGGTCCCCAAAAGGAACCGCCGCAGAGCCGCCACAAGGGGACAGCAAACCCGTTGAGTCACTCACCCCATTCCACCTGCCCACCTACGCCTCGCCCTGGCTATTCATCCCCGCGTACATCGAACCCTCTTTCCCCACCTGTTCGGCCATATACGTCCGCCACCCCACCGCGCGCCCCGGGTACTCTGAGATCCCCACTCCGTATGACGCGGACGGAGCGTTGGTGCGATATGCATGGGAGTGGTACGTGCAGCGGAGACCACGACTGAGGACGGCGAGTCAGCTGGCGAGGATGCCGGAGGATAGGGCGTTAGCGATGAGGGAGGACGTTGAAGATGGACGCAGGCATTTGAAGTTGGATATTGGCCGGCTTGAGAGGGTTTCTAGGATGAAAACCAAATCCAAAAAGAAAGCGGCTGGTCCTAGATCTAGACGTGCGTAGTAGTGAATATAATTAGCCGTGAGAAATTTTGATCTTCGTTGAAGCATGATCGAAAAAAGCGGGTTGTTGTGACGAAACGCGCAGCGGGCCCAGGGCTAGCTTCAAGTTAAATACACATACCCTCAAAAAATAACCCCTACCCGGATACCAAAAACAATGTCGACTGTAACCGTCCCAGACTGCCTTCCAACTCCACGACCAGACCACCGCTCAACCAGGCGCCCCTCCTCCAAACTCGGCGTCTTTCTTTGGCGCAGGAGGATGTGGTTCGAGTCGACATTTGTTCTATCTATGTTAGAGCCATGGGAGAAGTTTTTAATGCGTTAGTTATCCCTTTCTAGCGCCTTCCGCCTCATAGTCAACGTTCGCTGACCCAATAACCCCCTTTCCAACAGTAACGATATTCACCGTCCTCTTCATCCTGGTCGTCACAGGCCTATTCAAATACCTTCCCCACCACCTCGTCATCATGCGCGGGAGGGCGATGTATTACCTATGGGGCCAAGAAGGCGACGAGCGTATCCTGTGGCAGTGGCTTGGCCTTGCTTCAGGGGATATGGGCAAAGATCTTTATACGGGTGGATTGTTGGGGGAGTTGTAGGCGCTGGTGAGTGTTTGCTCTCCTGCGTTGTATGTAGAGTCATTCTAATTGGCGAGCAATCGTTCCAGGTTGTAAAATTTAATTTTTAGGATGTTTTTGACGTTTCGTTTCTCATTTGCTTCCCCTTTGCATGGACATCGTATACTTACGCATACCCTCGTCAATAATAATAATATCATGTATGGCACTCCTCGATGTTGTGGCGGGCTCTCGCCCTATCATTGTGCTTCCCCCTGGGGCCTGGAGCTGAAGCGCTGCAGGCTTCATGGTTTGGTACTATCACGTACTAACATTCCCATTCAATGCATATTGTGTGGGGTTGTCCACTGGAAGTACAACATCACCGACATCTTTAGAAGCGACTCCCGTCTTGGGACAGCAATCATACAGCCGCGTCAAAAGAACTCAAGGAGTTTTGTGAAAAGATCTCGGTATCTAACGTGGAGGAGGATCGGCTGAAGATACCAGAAAGCAAGAGTGGTCTGCAGCCACATATGCTGATGCATGTGATATGCGTCACCTCAACCACCTCCCATCCATTCGTGATGAGCGAGGGGATTCTCCGTGGCGAAGACGAAGGCCAAACACCTTCCAGCTAACGAGGTATCAACAGACCAGATTCCAAAACACTCCGCTTAGTGATTTTATTTACTTTTGGAGCTCTACGGCCAGGCATTGCCTTCCCGCCCCTTCTCACTTGTTGCATATATAGTCATACTTTCTTTTTCATATCCTTTTATTCTTGTTCACCGCAGTACTATCTCTTACGAACACTCATTCCAGGGTGCCTCTCCACAAGTAAACAAAATCACTATGCGGAGCGTTTTGAAATTTGGTCTATCGATACCTCGTTAGCTGTCAGTTGCACCCATTTTTCTTCCTCCTATTTCTCATCTAATCCCACTCAGTTACACTTCAGTACCAGTTATAGAGCCACCACATAGTTTTAACAACACTCTGGATGTGTTCCACTGACTTAACTCGTCATAAGTTATCTTCGAGGTTGTAAACAGCTATTCGACGCATTCTAGCGGAGTTGATTTGAATTAGCCCATGCCGTAGCAATGCCGTTTCACCCATCCTGCTTTGCCCTGGTTGAATCTGACGTCCGCCATCGGTGGATCTGACACCTCTTGGTCAGGTGGGTCATGACAACATTTTAAGCTTATCTGTGGCAATCTGGGCCGTCTTCTTGTGCCATTCCAGCTAAACTCATATCGATAGACCCACTGCGCGAATATAGTGTTTAGCCGCTTTGTTTATGTTGGTGCCTGCACAAACAGGCTTTACCAAACCCGGAACCTGCTTATTCCAGGAAAATGTGAGATTTCACTGGGCTGAAGACAGGCAGACATGAATACAAATTGATATTCGATGTCAGCAATAATGCGTCGACGGTTTCCGATGGCTATGATAGAGGGAAACTAGCAGGACACGAGTTGAACAAATATTTAAGGTTGAACTTCCTCGGATTTATGACCACGTTTAGTTAGTTTTATTTGTTCGTATAAACAAGGTGGCTGAGCGCTGCATTTGCAAAGTGGGTCTATCGATGTGAGTTTAGCTGTCATGGATCCTACCCTGGATCAGCTGTTCGAAGTGTCAAACTTCTTTTCGACCTTACTCCCACTAGTATGTAAAGCCTGGTGCAATGAGCTACTCTGCGTATCTTCCCTTGCCCGCAGTGGATCCCGACACACCAGCGGATGCTGAGATGGATACCGTCACCAGCGTTGATCGAGTTCCTGGATCCCAAATCAACCGTGACGAAGACATAGACCAAAAATCGACTAACAGTATCGTTCGCGTGGATGACGCGGTGTCTGGCTTGGTCAGGTTCCGCGCTAGGTGAATATCTTGTTGAATCACTTCAAATTTGGCGTCTGCGTATTGAAATCTATCCCAGTTACCATGGCGCACTGTTCTTCAATCTGTCGGCGTTTCTTATCCCGGCTGTCTATGGCACACTCTCAAAGATGTGGATCGCCAACATTGATGCGTCACTGGTCTCTACAACAGATGCTTTTACTTGTAAGTTCAAGGTTTTTGGTTGTTCAGGCGTTGTGACTTGACCTATTTTCCGTTAGATTTTTCCTGCATTATCGAGGTTCTGAATGAAGGATTGCCCAGAGCTGCTTGGTGCGATATTATTTCAGTTGAAATGTATAAAATAATCATCCAATCCTCAAGGTCGACTATTGGGAGTGGAGATATGACGAAAGACACAGCCGAAGAGCTGTTACATCGCCTCTCTTTGACGTATACCCTCATTTCCATTCAATCTATCCTTGGCTTCCTCCTTTCCGTCATTTTTCTCTTCGCTGCTCCAGGTTTTGTCGGAGCCTTCGTGCCTGGCAAGGTCCGTGCAACGTCGGTCAAGTATATCCGAATCCTGGCCTTCGATTCACTGGCAAGCACTCTAAACACGGCTGTCAGTCTGGGCACACGAGCGCTTGACAAACCGGAGTAAGTCAAATTTCCTTTGAAATCATCATCCCCCTGGTGACCCGTTCTTGGTCCAGTGTACCGCTCTTGATGTCTTCCGTCCAAACTTTGATCCAGATTTTTCTCGAACTTGCGCTAGTCTCGACTGTACATGTCAAAGGGTTCACCCCCAGTATCCATACAGTCGCCACCATCAAACTTGTATGCGAGTACGCATTTTTATTGACTTCACACGTACGACATTCTTCACCACCTTTAATATCTTTTAGCTTCACTGGTGCAGTGGTCGGTCTGCTCTACTTCCTATACCTTTCCCGAAAGGCCACCGCCCATATGGACGCGAAGCGTCTCACCTGGTTCTCTTACGCGTCCCTTAAGGAGCTCATCTTGCCAGGACGATGGACGTTCACAGAAAGTGCAATTAGAAATGCGATATAGTGAGTGACTATTGCGCCTCGATTTCGTCACTTAAAATGATATCCGTAGCTTATGGCAAATCCACGGTGTCGTTTCGATGGGACAAGCTTACGCGACAGCGTGGGGTGTTTTCAACACAATTCGTTGGGGTCTCATCATGGTTCCTGTCAACGCCCTTGAAGCTACTTCAAATGCCTTCGTCGGCCACCGTTGGGGTATCTATCAGAGATCCAGACACACCCCGTCTTCGCGTGCTTCGTGGTCAGATATAAGATGTGAATATATTCCATATTATTTTTTGGCAGATGTTCCTCAATAGATTTTAATAGTTATCTCGGCTCCCGCCATTCGATCAGTCCTTATTGTTCTCCTCGTTGAGGGCCCGATGTGTGTTGCCCTTTCTGTCCACGGGGCTGGACCATTTGCCCGCTACCTCTCAAATTCGGATGAGGTCGCGGAAATTACAGCTATGATGTGGAGAAGCATCGACTGGTGCTACATCGCGTATGGGATATCAACTCAGCTTGCCACAGTTTTACTCGCCACAGAGACAAGATGGTATTTTGCTACTTTGTCGTCGTCTGACAGGCTCACAAATTTTTTTGTAATAGGTATCTGTATCAATCATTGGTCTCGAACATCTTCTATGCTCTTCCTTGGGCAATCGCACTGCCTAAAATCGGTATAACGCCCGATACAGCCTGGACATACCATAAATGGGTCTTGTGAGTGTCCAGCGTTTCGTGCTTCAACTCCAATTCACGCATTTCTTTGGTAGTGGTGGGAGCCTCGTTGTTAGTCTTGGAATCATAATTGTGGTGGATGGAATATGGGTGGTTCGGCTTCATGGATGGCGGTTCTTGAAGTCTAGCTCCCTCATATCAGCTGGAAGGCAGGGTTAGACGCGATATAACATACTCTTTACCCCTTTACCCGTTCCTTCTGCCCTGTTTCTCGTTGTACAACCTATTCCCTTCGCCTCTTGATTCTGAATCATCGTATAATGATCCATAAATTGGAGAAGTAACTTTTAGCCGATTTTTTTGGAGGCAATTTCTATCCAACAATAGTCCGGCGTGTAACAGGATCCTCATATCCTCAAATTCAGCAAAGTGGCAAAGCTTACACACAGTGCAGGCAGCGTCACTTCCCGGACCTGCGGTCTACTTCCCGTCTCTGTGGTCTCTCACGATTAGCGATTCATGGCTCGACAGGAAACACGCCGATTTCATCGCTTTAAAAGGCTGCCTGATCGAACGGTTTAAAAAGAAGGTGAAAATCCGCTCGCTGAAGCTTTATGACTGCTATTATCTGTCGAAAGAGTGCATCAAAGAGCTTGAGGAAATCGTCGTCAATGTTGCATACACCATAAGGCAATCAGATATTTCCGAGTACGAGTCGTCCTAGGTCCGTTTGGTAACTGCCAGTGCCTGTGACCAGTAGGAGAGACTAATACGTGGGTTATCATGTCGATATTTCAGCGGTCTATACTTACAAATATCTTGTTCCTACATAAGCTTTCTTCCATGGAGCCTTACTCAGGAAACATTCCCGGGAGAATCTGAAAATAAGATTCTGGTGAACGCTTTCGAGCATCTTCCTTTAGATCACATCACTGCACTTTATATACGCAAATTCGAAGCATCCAGGAAGCTGGGAACATATACATGATACCCAATTCCTACGATCAAGTACATGTACAACTACACACACAGTTGATTCTTCTGCTCTACATATGTACAAGTTAACGTACATATGTACAAGTTAACGTACATCTTGCCAATAACATACGTATACATAAGATCCACTACCACCCAAACACCCTATTCAAAAAGCGTCAGCTTAAACACTCACTGCAAGAAGAAAAACCCACTCTTCATGAACCTCAATCCCCCCAACCTGATCCCTCCTCGTCGGCTCAACACTCCCCACAGCCTTAACAACATCATCCGCAAGCTCCACAGGCCCACACACACCCACCACAAGCCCCATAATCCTCTCCTTATCCTTGATCCCGGACCCCAGACTAACAGCACGACACAACGTCGAATCAATCACCTTCGCAATTCTTGGCCGGCCAGGAGCAAGTGATATGCCCGGGTGATAAAAGTCAGGCGGGAACGGGAACTTACCCACCGCCGCGCGGGTGTAGTACACCGATATATGTAACGGCGTGAAGACGCTTTGTTGGACTAGGGTCGTGAATGTGGGGAGCAGGGGAACGAGGGACGCAGGATCTTGGACTACCCAGATGAGTTCGATGATTTTGAGCCTGCTTTGGCCTTTTAGGTCTTTCTGTACGAGGTCTTGCACTGTTGAGAGGGCGAATGTGATTCCGCTACCTCCAACTACGAACACTGCGCCTGAGAAGCTCGCGAAAATCGTGTGTCCAGGGCCGCCTAAAGAAAGAGAAACAATATGAATTTAGCCCAATCGCAGGACGCGGGGTCAACTCACCGTACGGCCCCTCAATCATAACCTTAATGTCCCTACCAACCCCTCCCTCAGTATACCCACCCTCTTTCGCAATTTCATAAAGCTTCTTCGTCCACGACCCCGTCTTCTTACACATCAACACGAGGCCTTCCTGGCCTCCACTCATACTCGCAATGGTGAACGGATGAATCTCAGTCCACCCCCACCACCCCATTCCCATGGAAAGCACGCGAAGCCGGACGTGCTGCCCCGCACGCCAGCCCGCGTTGATCCCGTGCACCTCGACGCGCGTGAGGTCCAATTGGGATATGGGCCGGATCGTGGCGGTGTGTATCCGTGATTTGACTAAGCGGAAGAGGAGGTCGAAGCCCATGATACCGGCACAGGTGAAGACGTAAGGTGCCATGGCTACTTTGTGGAGGTAAGCCTGTTTACGCGAGTTAATCAGAAGAGTTTGTGGATAAGAAGAAGGGGAGGCTTACTGCGGGAAGGATGAGGATGAATCCGATGATGTGAGTGACGAGAAAGATGTTGTAGGCTTTTTGTCTCCAAAAAGACGTCGAGAAAAAGAAGATCAGGTCGACGCAAATGAGGGTAATCAAGCCCCATATGCTAGATGGACGAAGGATATTTTGCTGGAAAGTACCCGTAAGAGACCACACGTAAACTGGAGGGTGATCAATTTATGCTTCCGTGAAGGGTATAACTGAAACTAACAATAATGGATGCTGTGGATGTTTGCAGCCAGCACAATCAATCTCCCTGCAAACCTGTGCAGAAAGTTGAACTTTTGGAATAGTCAATTCATAGTTGTTATATTGCACAAACAAAGGGAACTAACCTTCTCATACCCCAAACCCATTAACCAGCCCAGAAGATTATTCTTTTGGGAAAGGGCAAAAATAAAGGGGAGTTGCGCGATGGCGACCCAGCCAGTGCGGTCTGCTGCCAAAAAGAGATTCGACTTGTAAAAGGAAGCGTATATGAGGACCCAAAAGTATATCGTCATAATCAGAAACTGTGCGACCGAGTAACCTGGGACGATTCTAGCACGAAGAGGCGCAACGAGGGGCCGTACGAAGCGCATGCACGACGCGATGTGCGTCGGATAAATTGGCACGATCTGTGCACCATGCCTATCAAGACGCTTCATCTTGGATGAAGACCCAGACGTATGCGAGGAAGCCGACGAATGCGAGTCTTCCGACCACTGCCCCTTCAACGGCGGGGGATAGGCGTTCTTGAACCCTTGGACGATGGTCGTGGAACGACGGTAAGGAACGTGGCGAAGGAAATGACCATTGTACCAATCCGACGAGCTGAAGAGTGCGATCGCTTGAGGTAACCTCGAGACGACGACGCACGCTAGGAGAGCGACGAGGAATAGATCGACATGATAAACGAATGTAGCGTCGTTGACGGGGTCAGGGTCCGTGATCACTGGTAGGCCGCCAGCGGCCAGATTGTTGGCATCGGCGAGGGTGGACATCGTCGTCAAAGTGCAGCTCTCTCAAGGGCCTGACACCGACGCTTGTGCTCTGCGTGAGGGGATCGTGAAGGGAGAGGAAAAGAAGGGGAATTGGGTGGTTCTCGATTTTGCGCCGAGAGTGAAAATTGGTGGGTAAACGTAAAAAAAATAGTTCCGCACCTACGGCCTTCGAAGATGTAAGAGAGGGGCTTCGGTACTATAAGTACCGCCATTGTAGGGTTAGCGTGGGCATCGTGCGTCGCTGATTGTGCGTGCTGCGCGACTGGAACATGTTAGGCGCGAGGCAGCGGGGATGCATGATCTACGGTTGGCGAGCAGGGCCAGGTCTGTTTTGACGTCCAGAAGTTATATAACTTATAAGAAGCGATATTTTTATCTCTGGGGTCCATGTATCAAAGGCTGTGACATTCATCGTCACAATTAATATAGTTCTTTTTAATATAAACGATTTATTCCCGGACATCGCTGAGCGCTTCGAGCAGTAGATGTAGTTTTCGGTGTTCGCATATGTACGGTGCGCCAGGATTCACATTTCTCATGTGGGGATCCTGGTGAATTTGCCGTGCCGTCCACGTCGACATATTTTATTAATTTCTGTATCTCCTTATGTTTTCTCCTTATGTTTTTTCTGAAATACATGTTTTGCGCTTCCAGTGTTTTGATCTTTCTCACGGAGACAAACAAGAGACAAACCTAGTACCCGCTATTGGAGCACATCCACGAACTGGCAGCCCTGCATTTTCCGTTGCTTTTCCTCGCTGTGTTCAACGCGAGAGGGTACTAGGACTTGCGGGTTAGGACCATCTCTACCTCTTGCTTGCGTTGCCTTTTCCATGTGCTTCCTAGTGACACGTTTCACGATGGTGCGTTTCGCTAAAGCTTACCCATCTTCTCACCTTGCGCTGAGCTGGGGCGGGGAGGGAAGGTATACCTTGCGCTCTATGTACAGTGCCTATTCTTACACGCAATGCAGATGTACACTACAGACTCAGATGACATGGACGCACTCACCTTCAACGCGCCCACTGGCATCTTGTTCCGATATTTAACTTTCCCAGAGGCGAAGAAGCAGCCTATCAGCGAGATAAATCTTAAGGAGGCCTTTGAAGTGCTTGTCATGAACATGAGTCAAGTAGCTGCCTTTCTCTTCGTTTTCCTCCATATGCTAACCATCATTGCAAGTTGTTTGATCAATGTATCCCCCTTGGACGCGACTACCTCGAGCCCATCAAAGACGTCGGTCCGAAATTCGCACTCAAGCTGATACGTGAGTATGGAGCGTCGTGAAGCGCTTGAGAGAAAAGTGAGTTCTCGTTACCACGCACATGCCGTTACTGATTCTCTTCCAGATCCACCATACAAAAAGCAGCTCAGGCTACCGTCGACTCGGACGAAGAGTCCGAGCATGAAGAGGAAGACGAACCAGCGCCAACGAGCGTGGAAGCTCAAAGTCCTACACCTGATGACTCCAACGGGGGTAAAGTACAGAGGCCTTAAAGTCGAGGGTATCGAATGGATGCAGGAGAAACAGAGGATAGTCGAAGAGCGCCAAGTGCACTCGTCGTTGGGGGTGGTGCTTTGGGTATTCGTGAGTTTCCGCCATTCAACGCATGGACTATGGATGACGATGAAACAGCTGAAAACGAGAAATGCGGCCTATAAGCTCTACTCAACCCCTAGCTGCGCCCTTCCCACCGCCATGCCATCTCTCCCTCTCCACCACGAACATCGCACCGCGTATCGTCACCAGCGTCCACGTGTCTTCCTCCACAGGCGTCGACGCAGCATCCGCTTTCTTCGTCGGGACATACGGCCGTGCCCACTGCGAACTCCCCGTCGCACTAGGAACACACAGGACTAGCGAAGGCTACTGCTGCTGGGGAAGGGATGATGGGAGCAGCGGGGGCAGGCTTGGGTTTAGGCATACCGTTGGCAGCTGCTGCGTTTGCTGCGTTCATCCATGCATACTTTCCACCTAGGCCTGCTACTTGTGTTGCTACGGCATTGTACATTTTCTTGCACATATTATATTTCTAGGGATTACTTACGCTTTACTGCTACATACTAATGCTACCTGAAAAGTGTGACACATATGGTACATATATTCATTGTGAATACGTTGGAAGCGGTGACAAGGACCCCAGGCTCCTGTCAAATTTTTTCGGATCAGGCTCTATCAGGCTTCAAACAGACCTGACCCTGCTCGCCAACCGTAATGATCACTACTTGCTATTTTCGGAGCTGCGCTAGGATCGTCACATGATGTTCTCATGATCACCTTTGCCGCACCCTTTTTCCAAGGAGGGGTGACTTCTAAGTTCTAATACATGCTTGATCTGGGTTTCAAGGTCTTTACAGCGCTCCCACTGTGTACTGAGATTCCACATTTAGATTCTCATCTCTCTCAGGGGTACAATGGATGAGCGTGTCACAAAAAAGTAACTACACCATCTACATTGAGGTTTGAACGAAGACAAAAAACGTGCACATCTATGGGGAGGAATTATTAAATAATCAATCGTTGGATCGAGGACGATAAGTTTGAGCGTCCATGCCCATTGGACGAATTTGACCATCTCGAGACCGAAGGCCGGAGGCTGACCGTGTAGGAAGAGAACCATAGGACTCGGCAGCAGAAAGTCAATTTACTCCCGGGATACATCACTAAAAGTCCCAAACACCTATTAGCACAACACAGTAAGAGGATACGAGAAGAGAGCCCACCGTCCAAATAGCTTGACCTTCACCCAGTCAGTACCAACGAGCGTACGATTGCGAAGGGAGAAAAGTGTGCTGAGATACGCGCTTCTCCAGAAGAGGTAGGTGGCAACGCCTCCGCTAGCGATCTGGTTGAAGGTTCAAATGAACAACAGTTCAGGTATAAAGGAAGATAAGACTCACGTTTCCGTTCATGAAGGGTAAATCAGCAATCGCCTTCTCCGAGCCGATATACCTATACCACGCACACCCCCATCAGCCCCTTTACCAAGGGAGGAAACAAAAACCACTCACGCCAAAGATCCCTGATGCGAATAATGGAACGGCCTCAACTTAATCTTCGCCGATTGGTTCCTAACGCTCTCAATCTCCGCTACAGCAGCTTTCTTCTCCTCCTCTCCCTTAACCTGATCAATACTACTCTCGAGCTGATGCAACATATTTTTGAGGTTCTCCTTCTTCGCCAGGCTGCCTAGGACACGCGCGAGGTAGGCACCTTGTTGAGAAGCGACTTGGGCGGTGGGTGCGTAGGACGTGGCGGTGCAGTCGCCGATGGCGAAGATGCTGTCTTGGGCACCTTGCATTCTTAGGTAGTCTGCATGAAGAGAGAAGATATGTTGAATGAAAACATAGAAGTGAAGGGGGACGAACCGTCAACGAGGAGACCACGCCTGTTGGTTTGTGTTGTGGGGAGTTTAGCCATTAGGTCTTGAGTGAGCTTTCGGCCTTTGTTGCCCTGCATGACCGTATTATGATACCGTCGAGATTACACATAGTTGAGCACTTACAGCAGCCCAAACGACCATTCCACAAGGCATCTCCTGGATGCTTTTATCTGGCATCTGAAGGACCACACTTTTCTCCTTGACCTATCACACCATGTCAAATCAAGTCGCGTTGCGAAAAGACGCAAAACACTACTGACCTCTTTGACCATGGTCTTTGTCAGAATGTCAATCTTACTCTCCTTGAACGTGGATTCGGTGTAGTTGATGAGCTGTTTGCTGAAAGAGGGCAACACCGATGGGAGGGCTTCGACGAGGGTGATGCGGATTTTGCCAGCAAGTTCTGGATACCAGGATTTGAGATCATCCTACGATTTCAGTGTTAGTGCACGAAGACGAGAATGTATGATAAGATTGATTACCTCGAGGAAATCATGTAGCTCGCCGCTAAGTTGGTAACACAAAGTCAGGATGCATGTTTAGCGGGAAACACAAGTAAAGCACCTCAGTTCGACACCAGTCGGACCACCACCAACCACAACCTATGAACAAATGAGGACGCATCGCAACTCGAAGGACTTGTGAGCATACCATGTGAAGTAACCGGTCGACCTCTTCAGTCGCCTGACCAGGGAATGCGGCAGTCTCAACGCAGTCCATGAATCGCCGTTGCATCTGCAGATAACAGATCAACATAAGCAGCATGAATATGAGGGTGATTAGAACGGACGTTTTCGGCGTCATGTAATTCCTTCATAAAGCACGCATTTTCTTTCACGCCCGGGATGTTGAAGGTTTGCACCTCAGCTCCCACAGCGTAGACCAGGTAATCGTACGGTATTGTAGTTGTCGAGACTTGACCTTGGATTTCCGAGTTGTCTATGTATCAAAAATAGAGTTATTTTGAGTTCCTGTGTAGGAACGGAGTCACTTACCAGCGAAGGTGATAGTCTTGTTGATCGGCTGGAATACATAATTGGTGAGCTTGTCGCCGGCAGAAGGGGAAGCAAGAGACTTGCATCAATATCAGAGGCTTCGGCTTCAATCACGGAGACGGCGCGCTTTTTATGGCGAGTGACGTAACGCGTTGGTTGAATGATAGATCGCGGGTTCAGTGTGCCGACAGCAACGCTAGGCAGCAGAGGGGTGAACAGGAAGTAGTTTTTAGGGCTGATGACGACCTAACCACACGAAAGCAATGAGCTGTGAATCACGCGGTTGGTTAGGATAACACATACCACGTTGTAGTCCGCTGTGTCAAGGGTTTTGAGGAGGCTTGTTGCGCCCCAGCCGCTCCCTAGGACAACCAGCGTCTTCTTTTCGGGGTCGAATGGCATTTGTGCGCCAGGATGGCGCTCGCGCTGTGTGATATAGTAGAAAGCGCCGGTAGTACCGACAAGAGTGATAAGAGTTGTGCGACCAAGAATTTGCAGGAAGTTCCTCCATCTTGATTGAGGTGGGGGCGGGGGTGGTGTTGAAGGTCCCTGGTAAAATTTACGGCTCGTCAGTAAGGCAGTCGGTTGGACATTGGAAGGTCATACAGAAGCTTGTTGGGCGGAGGGAGCTTCACTGGTGGCCAAAGCGCGCCGGATCAGTCGTCCTTGGGCGTATACAGGACGCGTTAGGGCTCTAGACTGAGCGATTGACCTCGCCAAATTCGCTAGTGGGAACAATGAGCTCTTGAACGGCGTGGATCACGAAGAAAGTTAACCTCTGTTCCGTACGGCGTGCATGATAAGGGAAGAACAAGCAAACAAGGGCGGTGGTGGTGGTGGTGGTTACGTTGGAGGAGAAATAAAAGATAGATACGCCTGATAAGCTGTTCCAGGAGGACAGCGGCGTACTTGTTACCGCTTGGTACTCACAATTCCGATACAGTCATTGGTTCTACGAAAAGTTCAGTCTCCCACGCGACGGTTGGTCTAAATTTGGCGGTGCACCTCAAAAACCTGATATCGACTTCGGACAACCGTACGTCGCATTCCTGTGATTTTCGTCCAAAGGACGTCCTTTCCTCCTCGTATACTCTCTTGCCTTTTCTTGCACGAGCTCTTAGATTTCAGGGGCCACATTTTTCGGAATTATCGATCCGGACTTGCGCGCCTTCGCTCCGATAATTGTCGCAAAAGATCTACACAAAAATCTTAAATGCGCATAATTTCAGGCACCGGTATCTTTTCACCAATCGATATCATAGTATGTATATTCTTGGGTCAAGTGGTTCCGCCAGCGGATGAAACGATGATCCTGCTGTTGAGACTTTTCAGCATAGCTATGCTACTGCTATGCTTCGGGACGTTCGCCGCCCCCCCTTTGCGAGCATTTGCCTTGGTTTCGCCGCGCTGAGCATATCGCGCTCAAACATTGAGCGCTTGAGCTCGAAGCTTGGCTCAGTCTTTTGCTTTGTTCCCATTACGCCCTAGAATGTGTTCAGCTGAGTAAAATCCCTTTCACTGTAATTCATGTCACAATATTAAGATATATTCTGACGACGGACTCCCAAAGAATGCCCGTGTGTCAAAGAATGAATCAAACTAATGGAGCAGTACGCTCTGCATGCCCCTCCAACCCAAGACCTCCCACCTTCTATAAAATTCCTTACTGTCTATCTTCTAATCTGCCCCCCCCCATTTTCTCCTTCTTCTCTGCCTCTGTTGTCTGGTTTCACAGGCTCCACAAAGTTGGGATCCACCATTCAAGCAACAGCTCGTCGTAATTGCGCGATCGACCTTCCACTCCGCGTTTGACACCTTTAGTGTGGGCTTCGCAAGCAAGGGACCTAGAGGACGGAAGCCCTTTGTTGTTAATTACTCCACACTGCCTGTCGTAGTCGACTGGCCCCTTCATGCGGCTTTCACGCAGCTGCCTGACTTCATTAAGGACAAAGAACACCTCCCTCATCTTCCTTTAGCCGCGTTTCTTCACCTTGGTCTTCCCTCTCCCTTTTCTTGACCCCGCCGTGACACTCGACTCCTCGGTTCCACTCGACCCCTCGGTGCAGCTCGATCCCTCGGTGCCGCTCGACCCATCGGTGCCGCTCGACCCAACGGTGCCGCTCGACCTCTCGGTGCCACTTGACCCCGCGGTGCCGCTTGAAAGTTGAAGGTGGTCGTCAGCATCAACCATAACCATCTTCCCATCCGCTCCAATAACCGGCCTTCGCGGTGGGGTCGATGGGACCGGGGTCGTCTCCACCATCGTAGGTACCTAGGGAACCTGTCTCCAGGCGCCGATTGACCTCCCCCTCGCGGGTTTCCCATGTTATTATGGGGATCCTCTGAACGCCCTGAAATCATATTTGCTAGGGCCGAAATGTCTGAGGGAAAACATGAGACGAAACAGATAGGGAAAAGATTCAGTCTCGCACCTTGCCGACAAATGGGACATGAGCTAGAGTATTCCAGCAGCCAAGGGTCTACACATTGCTGATGAAAAAAATGTTTCCCTTCGCAAGGAAGTAATCGGATGATATCCCCTCCTTCAAAGTTCTCAATACAGATCAGGCAAGTCTCCTGACTGACTGAATCCACAACGACGACATCTCGGACAACCGGCTTCAAGGAACCCTCGGCATCGTGCTGTCCTGTCAACGTTAATTCTGTAGGCACTGATGGAATCGTGGAACCTCCTCCCGCTTTGCTCACGGGGGGTTCCGTCACTACGTTGGGTTGCAAGCTTTCAGAACTCGCTGCGGGTCCACATGAAACAGCCTCTGGAACTTCCTCCCTCATGCGGCCTTCCATGGCCTTTGTGGCAATGTCCTCTCTAAGGCGGTCGTTGGAGTCAATTTCCTGGTTATCGCCGTAGTTGATAGGATATCTGGGACTCTGGCGCAGAGGTATGCTTCTATATCCTTCTTTGGCTACATTTTGACACTCACCTGACAGCGACCGCATACAAATTTGTGTTTCTCGGCGTCGAAAAAACCTACACAGGGCCGATGATGCCATTCTGAGCAGGTAGAACACTGGACAGTAGGCATGGATTCGTTGTCTGTGGGAGTATTCAACTTTGGAAAACAAGAAGACAGGCATGGTACACCAACCATAGTTTCCACATGTACAGTTAAAAACTTCCGCTTCTCTAACGACTTCTTTACAAACTGGGCATATCTCGCCTGGAGTTGGGCTGGAATGGGAAACAATAGCACTGCGGCTAATGTCCGGGGTCAAAGTAATCTCAATTCGATTATAGCCTGGGCAGCGATGCGAAGTTCTGGCCATATAGCGGCCGCGACGACGATTCAGGATGGGTTCTGAGGACGGGGGATGGGAGTATAGGAAGTCTTGGAACTGGAGGGATATGTCATCAAGAGTCACTCTCACTCCTGTCGCGGATTTCCAAATCAATTCTTGGCGACGTCCATCTGGCTGTCGGGGTGACGCTGCAAGCAGTGCTCTTCCCCTCGTCATTGAAGGTGAGGCATGGGCATTTGACGAGGATAAGTTATCGTCCAGTTTCTCAAAGCGATTCCCGGGTAGATCTTCGTCAAACTCGTCGATATGAGCACGTTGAATTTGCTGACCTAAAAATTTGTCATGATATGATTTTTTCATGACCAATTCATGACGAGAGATTGGGCCCACCTCCATAGTGAGCTTTGCACGCCTCGTCAAAAGTCTGATATGAATAGTAAGTTGGATTCCCAGTTCCGATAACACAGAAGATTCACCTTTTCGCAAAGTTCGTGGAAAAGGATCAGTGCTCGATCTGCACTGGCTGATAGACTGGTTTCCTCACTTGATTGCTCGATCTGACAAACGCCTTCCACATCGAAGCTGATTACTACCTTTCCTTTACAGCTCATAACGACAAAATGCTACCAGGACCTTCAGGAAATGTTTCGTAACTGAGTGCCTTGACCAACTCACATCCGACCCCACGGGTACAAAAGGGTATTTAAGACCTTGAAGGTAATCTAGACCTGACTATAAAATAAAAAATGTCAGTTGCGTATATCAGTGTTAATGGGGGATTTGTCATTACAGAGAGGCCGGCGACCTTGGGTGAAGTGAGAATAACCATAAACCGCCCAGGAGAAAGCCAACGCACTGTCCGTAGTCCCAAGATCAGACTCTGCTTGAGGTCCTTCTTCAGAGCCTGACTGAGCATACGATCGACGGTGCCTTCGTATTCTATTCCAGATTATGCTTTAAATCGGCCACATTGAGATCATGGAGGTACGAACCATCATCAAAAACAAGAAAAGACATCTCGGATTCGAAAGCAGAGACAGCTATCATATGAGGGATGTTTGGATGCCTACTTTGGGTGCTCAGACCAAGTTATAGAGAACTATGGAAACATTGTACATCACCCTCTGTTCCACCATGAACTTGGCGGCTTCCAGGCAGCGCTTCAATAAAATGGTTAGACGGGATCTTGATTCCTTCATTTGGAACTTACCTCCCTAGCCCGACTACCTTCGTAGACCTTAATCGATACAACCCTGCCAGATTGATGATTTAGAGCAGAATACATTCGATATCCATGACCTTTGTAAATTGGTCGATCAAGCGACAAATCTTCGTTTTCAAGCTGCACCATTGTCAGAGAAGCAGTGAAGTCTAAGACAGGAACATACTGCACGCCGGCCTTGAACAATACCCTTCGAAGTTTGACTGCTACTAGGATGATCTTCACCGAAGAAAGGCTTTGATCTTGAATAGAAGCCAGAAATTTTGAAGATACGCCACTCACCTTCATTGCTTGCCCTGACTATGTAATTGCCCTGAATATTGTTATATATTGCCCCATTGGAGACGAAGTGATGAGCGCCGGCGAGAGCACTGCAACGCGTCAGCTAGCCAAAAAAACAAGGCAAAAGGACTGCCAAGACCTGAACTGGGTTTTACATGTATGTAGAAGATTCGGATTTGGTTCCTAGGTCGGACATGGCTCAAGTCAGATCAGAGGAGTTTTCACTGCAGAAGCTCACAAGATAAGTAGGGGCCACCTGCCCAGTGGTGGGCGAGAATCCGTCCTCGGATAGGCTATGTCGTATAACCCGCTAAATATCGACCAGTTACAAAACTTCAAGCTGGTCGATAACATTTATCTTGCCTTGACCCGTATTGTTGGTCTAGAATTTTCAGTTCTGGTGGAGTGCTCGTGGTTGTCGGGTGCTTTCCGCTTATTGCCTCTTCCTACGGTTCCGATAGTGTCGCCGTTGTTAGAAGTCTTATTCATGGAAGGTAAACCACAGGTCAGCGGAGAGGGGTGTATAAGTATGTGCTTAGCCTCTCTTGTAGTGGGGAGGTAGGATAAGGTTGTCCGTCAGCGCTCGTCAGCGGGCGTTAAAGTTTATGGACCTGCCGAAACTCGAGTAATTATAAGTGGGCAGGTTGTGTGGAAGCCATGACATTGATCATGATAAGTACATGATAAGTAGTAACTGTGACATGATGTGTGACGTCACGTGTCTAACTAAACATGAATGGGCCCAAAAAGGAAAGTAGTGTGTTGATGTCTGTTGACGCGGACAGAGCTGCAACAAACTTGAGCGTGCAACATTACCATGGATCCATATACCCCTCGAACCCGACCAGGAGGACGCAAAAAGACCTTGGGATTGTCAGCGAAGGAGTACACAAAAGTAAAGCATCGAAACCTCATCAAGCCAATCTAAACATTACCTTAGATCACAGGTACCATCGCGTCGGTGCGACGACAGAACAGGCTACCCGGCGATGATATCGACGATGAACCTGCATCGTCACACATTTCACGCGAAGGACGTTCAAGAGGTGCGCCCTTCTTTCTTCCTCCAGTTGTCGTCACGCAGGCTGAAGCTGTTTGACAGACCAGGCAAACGAATCCTCCTTCATCGCCGAAACTTCCTTCGTTCGCGCCCCATTGAACTCGCGCGTCGTTTCCACCAGCAGTGCACCCAAGAAAAAAGGGAAAGAGAAACTGGAGCCGCTTGATCGTGTGCCGTTGGAGATTCAGGAAGCGATGATATTGGAGGACCTGTTGTATGTGCTTATGGTGCGTCTGATCTGGTCAATGGGTTTTTTCGTCCGTTAAGAGTTGAAGGATATGTTAGGGCATCGAAGGCGCATACGTGACGTTCCATCCCGATTATTCTCCTGAAGACGATGATCCTTTACAAGGGATTCGGTTCGTGGTATCTCCATCCCTAGGTTGGCGCCCCACTGGTACTTATGCGCCGGCTTAACTAAATCCTAACAGACTCCTCACTGCGTGATTTGGTGGAACGAGTTTTACCACTTGGAATGTACTATACCGCCATCTTCGCGTTTGTTGAACACCGAAGCCACCTTGACTATGGGCTGGTGAATCACGCGTTATGTGCCGCAATCAGAGACATGCTGAAGGTACGCCATTTGTCTATTTCGCGCTCGTTGCAGTCTAACTGATGTCGATGAAATAGGACTACCAAACTCTGCTGTCACAGCTCGAACATGCATTCAATACCTCACCCCAATTTTCGCTCCAAAAGCTCTGGTTTTACGTTCACCCCACAATCCATACCCTATCCCTAATTTATCATCTCATTCTGGAACTAGCAACAGCCGACGACCCAGCTGCAGACGGGTCATCATCATCTTCAAGTTCAGATGACGAGGAAGAAGCAGCACGCAACGAAGCGCTCGGGCTTGGTGGCGCGAAGCTCAAAGCCGTCTTATCCGAGATCAACAAGAAAGACACGGATGTCACCGGCAGCAGCGGGATCTCTGTCAAGGGTGGAGAGGTATTGACGATCATCTATGAAAGGATGCAGAACATGTCGGGGGATCCGACGGCGAATATGCTTTATGGGACGTTATTGAAGGCGGCGGGGAAGCCGTATGTGTCGATGTTGAGGATGTGGGTTACGATGGGGAAGTTGTTGGACCCGCATGAGGAGCTGTTGGTGAAGGAGAGCAAGTTTATCGATAGAGGGAATTTAGAGATGGATTATACGGATGAATATTGGGAACGGAGGTATACAGTTCGTGTTTCTTTCTTCGGGAAGCGTTGCTATTGGCTGATGGGTTGTGTAGCTCAGAGACGGTTCGACGTCTTCGTCTTCCAAACGACATCATGCTGGGGTACCGCCGCCTCGCTCTGTGGGCGGGCGATTACCTGGAGGAGCATGTGTACCGCCGCTTCTGGAGGGCTGGAAACACAAGATCTTGTTGGCGGGCAAGTACCTTAACGTGATAAGGGAATGCGGGATGGAGGTCAGTCGGGACAAGGGGACGGAAGATGAAGATCTATCAATGGACGACGAAAGGTTCGTTTCCTTATTTGAGCTGAAAAACATGGCTCACCGCATGTATAGATTCTACCAGTTCGTCGAAGACGCTTACTCACACGCTAACAAAACTCTCCTCGAACTCCTACTCAAGGATCAACAGCTCATTCCGCGTCTTCGGTCCCTCAAGCGATATTTCTTCCTCTCTCAGGCATCATTCCTGACCCATCTCCTTGATCTGTCTGCCACTGAGCTACGCAAAGCCTCAAAATCAGCCTCCATCGTCAAGCTGCAAAGCTTGCTTGATCTGGCGCTGAATGCGGATGCACATGGGGAGGACCTGCTGTTTAGGGAAGATGTCAAGGTCACGATGTCCGAGACTGGTTTGTATGACTTTTTGTTGAAGGTTGTCAATGTTAGTGGGGTTATTGGGGGTGAAGAGGGCGGGGATGGGGAGGCTAAGCAAGCTCATGAGGAGCAGAAGAAGGAAGAGAAGAAATCGATGTTGGGTATGTTTTGTCAACGTCCTCTTAGAACTATATTCTGATAATCTTACAGCAATCGACGCTTTGACGTTGGATTACACCGTTAAATTCCCCTTATCCCTCGTCATATCGCGCAAGACAATCCTCCGATATCAACTCCTCTTCCGCTTCCTCCTACACCTCAAACACGTCGAACAGTCCCTCTCCTCCATGTGGATCGAACAAAAGACGTCGGCATGGCGCCGTCCCATGCCTAACCATCCTGAATTTGCGGCCTGGCGAATGCGCGTTTGTTTGTTAAGATCCCGCATGCTCGCGTTTGTGCAGCAGATACTTGCGTTTGCCACATTTGAGGTCCTTGAACCGAATTGGCGCGCGCTGGAAGCCAAGTTGGAGAAGGTTACGACGGTCGATCAGTTGCTGAGAGATCATGTGGATTTTTTGGATACGTGTTTGAAGGAGTGTATGTTGACGAGTGAGAAGCTTTTGAAGGTGAGTTCGCCTCCTCGTGTTGCTTTTTGTTGGTGGAGGGATGGCTGATTTGATATTGATGATAGGCATACTCGAAATTGATCGTGACATGCTCAACGTTTGGGTTGTACAATTCATCATTGACAAAGTCTGCGAGCCACGCGGCTGCTGGGGGATCTGCGGCGGAGGATACGGGTATGGCGAAGCGGTCGGATGTACTGAGCAAGTTTGAGACGAATTTCAATCATTGGTTGGTGATATTGGGTTGTTGGGTTTATTGTCTTGCTGATGCGTTCCTTCCTCCATAGGTTCCAGGTGGATATCTTATGCGTGAAACTGCTCTATTTGACTAATTCGTTTTCTTAGATTCACTTGGATTGCGTACAGTTTTACGCGTCGAGTGAAAATGTGTCGCTGCTCCCTCTTGTCGTGAGGCTCAACAGTGTCAAAGCTACTGTTTGATATATTACCTGAATCTATAATTTATGGCTTAAGTCGACAATGCGCAGGTTGTTGTTAACATTGAAAATAATGTTCAGCTTGAACGCAGCACGGTATGGACAGATCCATGGGTATAGTGGCTCAGACCAGCCCTAGTCATCATGATCAGGCTCAAGTAACCAATTTGAGTCTGGATACCATGGCAGAGGGCGTAACTTACCCCTAGCGATTGCCGTGATAATGTCCGCAACATCGAATGGGCGGTCGCGAAGAATTATATATTTACAAACAACTGGATTGGACCGGACGTTGCGCGGAGTGTAATATTTGTGCACATACATCATGAAACGTACCCAGACAGGTATGGTGGGGACGTTGCATCCCACCACGTGCAATTCCTGGTTGCAACATATTAAGCTACCACCAGAAGGATGGTTGACGAGCCAGGCTGGACTAGGCACACGTCTGTCTGCGCTAATTGTTTTGGATCGCCATTGATCAGTAGCGGAATGGCGTAACGAGATCGGAGAAGGAGGCCGGCGCGCTTTTCGTATCCAAGCGTACGCAAGATCTCCCTTGCGAAGTCGAGTCTTGGCCTGAATTCGCCCTCGACGCCAGATCTATGTATTGCAACTTGAGACGGTAAATTAAGTGGGCATTCAAGGGAACATAGTTTGATGTTGTAGGCCTGCAGGTCATTCGTGGTCCAATCGTTGCCAGATTTAGCAGATCGGATAAGGTTAGCCATGGGTTAAGCGTATAGTCGATATGATTCTGGTAATTACCTGGATCAACTTGAGTCTTGCTTGAGTCAGGTTTTTGTTTTAAGGAGTGAGATCGGTCGGCACCTCGTCCAAATATAGCGTTTTAAAACGGGTATCAACGGCCTCGGACCATCTGTTACCGACATTTGGCCGACATGTTTTCTTTGTGTTTTCTTCACGACTGATGGGTATCATCGTCCCTGGACGCTGTCCAGTCTGTTTCGATGAGGGGCAGGGCAGTTAGCCCTTCTCTTCTTCCTGGGACTTTAATTCTTGATGGCGGCCGTCATCCTTGACGACGTTTTGCCCGCCTTCACTTATGGAGGCGGAAGCTGGTCCACTACCAGGAGCTCGACGAGATACGGAGGTAGCGCGACACTATGTCCTATTACTTCTCCCACTGGTGAGATGAAGCCGCCGGGTACGATTTCGTTGATGTTTGAGGGTGAGTTTTCAGCAATTTAGAACGCGCTATTACATTCTCATGTGAGATTCGCTGCTTGCGCAGGTACCTCTGTGGCATTCTTCGGAATCACCCCTCCCGTGTTCACGGACTCCCAAATTGTAACCGTATCCATCGACGGCGGTACGCCCTACAACTCGACCTACGACGACTCCAACCCCCAATCTTACCGGCAGTGGTATCAATCTCCAATACTCCCAGACGGGCAGCACAATATATCTTTAACACACGTCGAAGGCACCGAGTTGGATTTCGCGGTTGTTACTGTGCCGAAGGGAAGAGTCGCGTCGCTTGTGGACCAGCAGGTTATCGTGGATGATACGGATGGCGCGTTCACTTACAAAGGCGCTTGGAAGGTGAATACGACGCAGTTCGCGGCGGGGACTATTCCTGGGGGCTTGCCGTATGGGAATAGTACGCATAGGACGACGACGGTTGGGGATACGTTTACTTTTCAGTTTTCTGGTGGGTTTTTTGGTCTTGGTACCCGCGTTCGAGGTGTTGGCTAATGCAATAATAAATTTGAAGGCACCAGTGTCTCTGTCTACGGAGTATGGAACTGGGGAAACCTCGATGGGAACCTCTCAGCGACATATACCATCGACGGGAGTTCTTCTTACTCCCAATCGTACACCGCTTCAGCATCACCAGCCTTGCAAAACGGTGACTTGCCCAATTTCCTGCTGTTCAACAGCGGTACTTTGTCAAGTGGCAATCATACACTTGTGGCGAACCTTACGAGTTGCGTTAAGCAAGCGTGGATGATAGATTATGTCACCTATTCCCCTTCGGCGTCGACGACAACTTCAACGACGAATGCAACTTCGACGTCTTCAAGTCACCCTGCGACTGCTGCTAAGAAAGCTACACCCATTGGTGCTATTGCCGGTGGTGTGGTTGGGGGTGTAGTGCTTTTACTTGTGATTGTCGGCTTCTCCTGGTTTCGAAGTCGAAAATCCAAGAAGCAGGACCAAAACACGGATTCTACGATTGGTTCGCCTTTTCTGTGATTATGCTTACGTTCATTAACCCTGTGATAGATACGCAGCAGGCTGTCCTGACGTTGGACACTCCCAGTACACCCACCACTTCGAGGTTCACTGGTAGCAGCATTATATCACCATTCTTGAATGCCCTAGCAGCTCGATCGGAGTCTCGGCGAGAAGCTGAAATTAACCGGAAACGCCAAACATCAAGTACTATACCGCAGGATCCGTCAGTCCATAAACCGGGATATAGGCCTCCAGGAGTCACTGGGGAGAGTCCTACAGATACCACTGCTGGCGAAGTTGGGGGTGTGGAAATTGGAGGTGTTCCTCCACCTGCGTACGAGGGTTAATGGTAATCGTACTCCTGTCTACATACCCCTGTCCTTTGTTCAATGCACGGAAATTTGCCTCAAAGGCACCTCAGAGAATCAACTGCCATCAGGCAATATTTACGTGTGTTATGCACCGCCGTCTCGAGTTTGAAAGGCAAGTTTCGTCATAACCACCCTTGCTTTTCAATAGTCCAAGTAACTACTTACTACCTTCACCGATCTTTTTTTCTTTCTTTTTTCTTATTCTTCCTCACCTTTCGAGCTCCGAGCAAACAATGGGAGAAGTCGTGAATGTCCTAGTCGCCTTTGCGGTCATCGTCTTTCTGTTCCGCTGGGTCACTTCCAGTTTGTGTTTTCGCGTGCATATGTATGTACTTACTGACCGGCGATCTCAATTTTCTATAGGCAGCGAGTCTGGCGAGAGGTCGCCTGCGGATACGCTTGGGTTTAGACCGAAGAATATTACGCAGGACATGGTATGTATCCCCCTCCCCTCCTCGCCTCCGTTTCTGGGAATGCGCAACCGCGTATATCCGTTACTGATAACTCGTCTCGCAGATCAACACGATATCCAACATGTTCCCAGACATACCGACGTCATTCTCTCCCCTTCAACCGGACTTCCTGACACTAACACGGAATATTCGGCATGTAGGGATAACGTCCGATACGACCTCTTACGCACAGGAAGCGTCGAGCTCACGACTAACAAGATCCTCGAACGCGGGTTCCTAGACGCAGTGCGTCCTTCCACTTGCCTCAGAATCTCGTTACGTTCTGACGCTCCATACTTTCAGCCTCCACCAGCATACTACACACTCTACCCGCGCGAACCTACCTCATCCTCAACCACCCACCGCTCTTCCAACAACGCCAACACCAACGGGGGTCCAACACCAAAGGCACCGCAAGAAACGTTGATAACCCGGTATCACCTCGAAGACCGCGTGTTGAATGCCGAGCCGGCCGTTGAGGAAAGTGTGGTGGGGGGCAAGGCGGTGTGGGAGGAGAGTTCGGAGAAGAGGGAGGCGAGTTTGAGGGAACGGAAGGCTCAGATGATATTGGCTGCGCGACAGTATGTGGTTTTTCTTTTTTTTTTTTGGAATTGGTGATGATGAGTTGATTTTTCATGATAGGCGGATGTTGGCGCAGCAAGAGGCAAAGTCGTAATTTTGATGTTTTTACTCTAGAAAGGGTGTGGGGGGGGTTGTTAATGAATGATTTATTGGATGATTTTTCTTCTATGTCTCCCTTCCTAATCCATTGTTCGCCTCTCAACGTGAGTGCTCAGTTGAACGATTTCATTCACGTCCGTGATCTTCAGGACAAGCCTACTGACCAGATTTCATACTCCGTACTAACTCCAACGTCTCCTCAAAGCCCCCCTCATCACTCCGCTTAATATCCGTCGCCCACGGCGTGAAGTTCCTTATCTCCAACCCAAGATTCTCAATCGGCAGCTCCATATCAAGGATAACAGGCATAGGGAACCCATCAGCCTCACCACCACCCCCTTCGACGCTCTTCACAACCGCACCCCAATCTGCCTTGCCATTCACCGACTCTTGGTCTAAAAGCGAAAAAGCGTGTAGACCCGGCTTGGTGAACCCTTTTAAGTCCCCGTCGATGGCGAAGCGCCGAATGACGGGCACGGGGATGTGTTGAAACCATTCTGGGGGCTCGGTGGTGCCGTTGAGTTGGACGAGGTCGAGGTGGGCGGAGGAGATGGTGGAGAGGATGGTGGGGAGGGATTGGTTCTTGAATATACCGACCAATAAAGGTCGGCGATGGGGTGTTGTGATGAGATGTACCATTTGGAGTGTGAAGTATGGGCCGAAGATGGGGGTTCCTGATGAAGAGTCGGGGGCAGTGGATTTTTTGGAGGGTTTTGATGCGAGTTGTGCTTCGCGGATGACGGCTGAGATTTCTCTTGCTGTTTCCGGGGAGACGTGGTGCGCGTCTGTAGTGTCGAATATGACGCTGATCATATCAGCGCCAGCTGCGATACATTTCTTGGCCTCTTCTTTCGTTTGAACGCCGGTGACTTTGACCCACGGCATCGGGCTCGTCTGTGTTTTCCCAGCGAAAAGGGTCTGTTGAGGCCAGCTTAGCAACTCACGGATGAACTGCCTGGTATCCTTTGCACGCATGAGCGATTCGCCCACAAGGACGGCGCGGACGCCTTGTTCCTTGTACGTGTTCACGTCCTTTGCGCTCGAAATCCCACTCAACGCACACAGCACCACGTCCATCTCCCTTACGAGCTCAACAAGTCGGCTGGTGGTGCCCATGTCGACTTGGAAGTCGTGCAAGTTCCGATTGTTCACGCCTATGACTTTTGCTCCTAGCTCCAACGCCACCTTCATCTCTTTCGCGTTGTTCACTTCCACTAGGGGCTCCATACCCAAGGAGAGCGAGTACGCGTAGAGGGCTTTAAGTCTGTCCAATGAAAGCATGGCAACGATGAGGAGGACGGTGTCCGCCCCATGTAAACGCGCCTCGTCGATCTGGTACTCGTCAAAGATAAAGTCTTTGCGCAGGATGGCGGGACGATCGGGTAAACTGTCCACCGCTTCGCGGGCCAAGCGCATATCTAAAAGACTGCCCTTGAACCATGTCGGCTCGGTGAGCACGGAGATGACGGACGCGCCGGATAGAGCGTAGGTTTGTGCTTGCTTTGCTGGGTTCACGGATAGGGCGATGGGACCTTTGGATGGGCTGGCGCGTTTTATTTCGGCCATTAAGGAGGGGGAGGGAGAGGAGGTGGATGAGGATGGGTTTCGTTTGAGGCGGGGGACGAGTGGGATGAGGGAGGGTGCGAGGTGCATCGCGAGCAGGTTTTTGAGGTCTGCAGGCGTAGTGCCTGGTGTAGACTTTGCAAGTCTGACATCTTTAGCTCGTTGTGCGTAGATCTCTTCGAGGATGGTGGGCATCGTGGTAGCCTGGGTTTCGCTTAGATTAGATAAGAGCCATCAGAATACGATCATTACAAAGGCGTCGTGCATCGACTTGAAACTATATTGGAGATGCTATGGACAGTTGCAAATGGGTAGGCAGGTATGGCGAGATAAGTAATCGTGGGTGGGGGGGTTGGGATTGGGTATGCTAATAACAACTAAGTAATGGGGGGGGGCGAAAATAGAAAAGAGGCACACACACAAAAGACAGAAAGGGAGATAACGAGGGTGTAAATCGGGTGGATGAAAAAAGGAAGAAAAAAAAAGTCAAGAAACAGTCCATGCATGACCAGAAGGGGAGGTGTGTCGTTCTTGCAAAGAAGGAGGTACTTAGCAATATGTATAATGTCATCGCGAGGAGTCGGGGCATTATTGACATTGTTCGGACGGAGTGTGATCTTCTTCCGACTCTGTGGGTTTTATCTCTGTCGCAGACGCTTGAGGCGATCCCTCAACCAAGCTCGCTGGAGTGCACTCCTCGTGTGTGGCAGCGGCGACAACAGCATTTTCCTTCCCAAGGACACTCTCCACATTCACATTCTCCACACTACCCCTCTTCGCCCGACTCACATTGCCCAATTCCGACAAGGAAGGGAACGTAAACTCGGTGTGTTGTTCCTCATTCTCAACAGGCGACGCCCTCTCCTTTCCTTCCCTAGCATTATTACCCCCTTTCTTCCGTACCCGGATGCTTCCAGGCCTTTTGAGTATCGCGTCCGCCAAGAGCTCATTAAAGTCATCGTCCCCATCACCCCCGTCATCATCATGTCCTTGTCCTCCTTCTTCATCTCCCTCCAGACCCCGCATATCCTTATCTTCCTCCCCCATTCCAATCCACCCATCGTTATCCACGCCCTCCCACGTATTCCCCAGTCCCCCAATACGCCCATTAGCAGTCTGCGTCCGCGTACGCGCGCGTATCATCCCTCTATCAAGCATAGTCGGCGTCGGGCTCGGAGATCCATTTAAATCAGGCGACGCAGATCCCACAGATGACGATCCAGCAGCACTCGAAGGGCCACTCCCACCCGCAACCGACGGACGGAAAAACGTAGAAAACAAGTTGGCCTGGTGCGGAGATGGATGGCTTTGGGACTGGGACTGAGGTGGAGGCTGGGGTGTATGTGAATGCATGGGGTGAGGGAAGAAAGGTGAGGGTTGGCCACCACCAGAGTGTGGTGTCCCTGGAGAGACCAACGTCGCTGGAGATTGGTTGCCGTTCACGGGAAACATGTGCATTGAAGATAACATCTGTAGATGAAGCGGTGGTGGAGGATGCAGTGGTGAATTTTGTGCTGGGAATCCATTTGGAGTAGATCCATTGCCTCCTCCATTGGAGGTGGTTCCGCTTCCTGTAGGACTTTGCATCTGTGTTGGCTGGGGTGGCATTGATGCGAAGAGTGCAGCATAGGCTTGTAGCTGATTCATTAAATAATGCACCTGTGTTTGAAGCTATAAGACGGGTCAAACAATATCCATTAACAAAAAGAAAGAAAAAATCGTACTTCGGCTTCCCTACGTCTGCACGTCACGTTCTCCCAACGAAGAACCTCCATTTCCTTCAAGTACCGTTCTATATCCGACTTGGACTTCTCTTCCCTCAACCGCGCAGCTTCTAGTGCACCTCTCAATGATGCCAGCTGCGTCTGGGCGGTCAAGGAAGGTGGAGGCGTGTTTGTTCCTGAAGACGGTGTTGGCGGTCGCCTGGGCGTAGGCGCACGCCGCGTAGGTGTGCCTGTATTGCCGTAACCAGTCCCATTACTCGTGCTCGCCCCAGCAGCACTGTTGATATCTGCAGCAGAATTACGTTTGCGATTTGGATTAGGGGACATGGGGTGCGATGGATTAAATGTGGATGGATTCAACGTAGGGAAAGTGAGTGGGGTGGGTTCCTCTACAGAGGGCTCTTCCAGGACAACTGGAGGTGTAGATCGAGAGGAGGCAACGACGGCCGAGTAGGGTGAAATTAGTGTGGGATGCGATGCTGAGCCTGGAACCCCCGAAGAAGGGGATGCGGGGGGAGAGGAAATAGACAGAGGCGTAGGCGTTCCAGCACCTCGAGATTTTCCCTGAAACCGCGGTGGCTTGCGATAGGATGTTTCGGGGGGTGTGGGAGCGGCCCAATCCCAAGGATCAGAAGCTTTTGCGAGCTGGCGGGAAGATACTTGAGATTTAGCTTTTGGAATCGGGGAAAGGTCGGCTGGGAGGGAGACAGAAGGGTGCACAAGAGTCGGGGTTGAGATGTCCTCATTCAATGAGATGGTCGGTGAGGTGTCTGGTGTTATTACAGAAGATGATGTTGCAGATGAGCTGGAGTGAGAAGTAGGTGAGGAGGACAATGCTTGAGGCAAGGAGTCCGACGCCTGAGTCGCCAAGATTTCTCTTGGCTCTAAAGGCTTCGCAGGCAAGTCTGAATTCTGTGATTCGGGCGTGTCCAGCCCGTCGAGGGACAAGGACAGCTCCTCGAGCTCTGAGACAACAGAAGGGGTGGTGAAGCCACAGGAAAAGTCGTCTGTGCCCGACCCCTGACCACTCTGTGAAATTTCGTGGGAGTGGTTCGATGTTGCGCTCCCATGTATCCTATGGCTAGAAGCAGCGGACACGGACAGGGATCGCGTAGTGGAGTCTGTTGGAATTTTTCGAGAACGCGGGGATGGGGTGGATTCTGGTATAGGCATCACGTCCGTCTTTTCAGCAACATCGCCCGCCTTGCCCAAAAAAGCCTTTGCTTTCTTCCCGCTTTTCAGGATTTCCTTCAGCGGGTCCTTGCCCCTCCTCCGTCTATCCTTCGTACGCGTGCTCTTCGAATCCTTGGACTCCACTTCCTGCGAAAGTGGTGTGACTTCGTCAAGCACCTTGTTTCGCGTGTCTTTTGAAGGCCCGTCTGCTGGACTCTTCTCCTCTGAGGCCGAGGGAGGCTCAGAGCGCACTATAGCGTCAGGGTCCGTTAAGCCACTCTCGTTCCGATTGTTCTCGGTGATTGCAAGCCTGGGAGACATTATGGAGGAACGCCAAAGGGCCGAACCAGCAAGGAAGAGGGTTGCTACGGTGGCGGCGGCAACGAGATAGCGGGGGTCGCCGTTGAGGGAGATTCGCAAACCCTCTTGCTCGCCGTCTTCCATGGGGAAGAGAGATGAAATTTATGAGGCGCACCTTGTTGAAATCTGGAGAGGCCAGGCTCGGCGATTTCAAACTCCGCACGTCGGCTTCCCCCTAAAATTTGGATTATACAGTTATGATTGGGCACAAGTAGCGCATACGATCTAGGATTACGGAGAATGAGTAGATGGGAGAGAAGAGGGGGAGAGAATTTTAATATCAAGTTCCGAGATTGTGTTGCCACGGGCCATTTATATCGACATCTGGACACGCGGTGTGCTGTCCTTGTGCTTGCATTGTGCTCATCTCGTCCATTTCGTTGCCCAAGTATAGAGATACCGTAGAATAGACCACCTGATCAAGCGTAAGCCGCATTTCCACAGTGACGTCGACTTCTTACCCGATGTCGGGAACACGCATATCGCTCGCCCTACTCATCTGCGGCAGCCTCACAGGCAAGCTCTACGCTGACCACGGCGACTACTCTGCCGTCTTTACCAGGTTCTTTCAAAGCTCTCTTCCCAACGGATCTGATGCCCACTTCATCCTTGATCCATATGATGTTCAGAAACTGCAGTACCCAAGTGACGATCAAGTAGATACATACGATGCTATTGTCCTGACGGGGTCAGGTACGCACCCTTCGTGAGTCTAAAAGACAACGTTAAAGGTGCCTCGCACCAGCTGCCTCCGCATATGAGAACGTGGAATGGGTCAACAAGCTCATTGCGTACATCAGCCATATCGCAGAATCAAAACCACATGTCAAGCTGATAGGTGAAGTGATCTTTGTGGCAATCTGACCCTACCGAAATCTAAAACAGAAGCCACAGGGATATGCTTTGGTCATCAGATCATCGGCCGCGCATTGGGAGGCGAATGTGTCCCCAATGGCGGCAGGTGGGAGGTCGGTCCCATGCCTCTGGATCTGACTGACCTGGGAAAGCAAGTATTCGGCGTAGAATCTCTGGTACGCATGAGGTTACCCCACACCCCAGCCTCCCTTATCCAAACTTGCTTTCATAGAACGTTCAAGAGATGCATAGAGATCACGTCCCCGCTGTTCCACCGACATTCCACCTCCTTGGTTCAACGCCTCTATCATTGAATCAAGGCATGGTCCGGTTCTCACCCTCATTTGACAAGCATCCTCTGGAGGCGACATTGAAAGATATACACATCTTCGCCGTCCAAGGTCATCCCGAGTTTACGCAACCAATCGTGGATGGACTTGTCGAACAGAGGGCGAGTTCGGGAGTTATCGACGCTGAAGCCGCAGCCGATGCGAAGAGGAGGCAATTTTGGCAGAATGATGGCGTCCCAGTTGTCGGAAAGGCTATCTGGGGGATATTAGGCGTTCCTACGTAAGATTTCAGTCGGTGAAGAATGAACGGGCGGATTGCAATTGTTCAATAGCTAGCAATATTAACAGAGTATGACAGATGCTAGATGCGAGTGAAGAGCAAGACGATGTATAATTACATAAATATATTCCAGAGAGTCGTATAGTGAGGGATATCCAAAAGGCGGGCGTAACGGAGGCCGGCATATCATGTCTTGAACACGATGATGAGTATGAGAAGGAGGAGGATGAGCACCGCAATGGTAACAGCCGAGCCTGAAACGACGCGAATCAGCGAGAACCAAGAAAAGCCCGGGGAACGAAGCACGAACCATTCTCTTTGGCGCCTTTCGCGACCCGCTCTAACCGCTGTCGCGCACCACCTAACCGGCTCGCCGTCCGGTCCAAGTCCGTGTCCAATTCCTCCAAAAGCCCATGATGAACATCCAGCTCATCGTTAATCTGCAAAGATATATGATGTTGCCTGTTAATAGAGTGGGATAATTGGTCCAAATGTTGGTCTTGTTCTAATTAAAATTAGCCTTGTATTCGTGTCATTGGCATGCCCAGGACAAACCGTTCATCAGGTGTCGTTGCGTCTGTAGCATGATGCCTGGGTCAGGCCCGAGCTCGGGGTCATCCGCGTATGGTGCGTATATGGGTTCTTTCACTTCTCTCGTAGCGGGAGGTGGCGGAAAGAGGTTGGGAGGAGACACGGGTGAAGGTGATGCCACGGTCGAAGATAACGTGGGCTCTTCTTTGTCCAAGCTGTTATCATTCATTCATTCAATCTGCGTTCTAAAGAGAGGTCAAGGAATCAACAGACCTAGAAACATGGACATCTCCCAGCATGTCCCGCATTCGATCATACTGATTTCGTAGCAGACCAACCGCCTCCGAAGGCCCCTCTTTCGCCTCGAGGTCAAGTATGCCCGTTCGCAGTTGGGTGAGGTTCCTCTTTATCTGAGCAAGATGTAACGTGTTGGTTTTTGGTGGCTGGTCTTGAGGTGACGAGAACGAGGGTAATGTCTGGAGTCGTTGTCGCTCGAGTAGTAGAGACAGGGTTTTCGTAGATACTGAAGTGAGTTTCGCGAGGGACATCGTGGGGGGAGGTTAGAGAATAACTGCTGTATGTAGTGGGCGCAATTAAAGAGCGCGCGCGCGCAGCAGCCAAGGTCGCAGTCAAAGAAGAAAAGTGAGCACAAGGGCAATCAACTGAGTCCGGCACAGTTGTGCGCTCACGTGACTTGGATGCGAGAAGCACATTGGACAAATCGAAAATTACTATTAGCCCAGAATGACGACAAAGAATGTGGCTGCTACTGATAACTATCTGCTACGAACTGCGACAATGAAATCAGATAAGACGAACAAAATCTATAAAAAAATCTAAGAGACAAATGAGCGAATCAAAGGCCAACATTGACGGGGCTGCAACCAAGAACAACGAGTCCATCTATGGAAGAGTCAAGTTAGCAATTTTTTCTATGAAATTTAAACTAATGAGAGGGATGTTGCGTACTGAAGTTGTTACCGCTGCAGCAAACGGGCTGCGAAGAGCTGTTGAAGACGCGTTAGAGTTCCAGAAGCGAATCGATAGAGCGGCGCACGACCCACCAAGAGGTTCCACCAACAACAGAAATACCGCACTGGAGTCCGATAAGTCCAGTCAAAGTTGCAGGGTTGACACCGAGGATTCCCAAGAGGCCGCTGATGGAGCCGCTGATGTTGCTGGCGCTCTCCGTGCTATTGCAGCACTGGAGAGTTCCACCTGAGGCGTTGCACGAGGAGCCTCCGGTGGAGGTAGGAGCGGCGACGGCGGCGAGGGCGCAGGCAGAAGTGACGATGAGAGCGAGTTTAGAGAACATAGCGAGGGTGAATGGAGAGCGAGTGAGTGAGGGTGAATTGTTGTGGTGAGGATTTGAACGACTGTGAAAACTCAGTTGGAACTGGGATAAGTTGAAGCGAGACCAACTGAGGTTTTTATACCTTTTTTCGACGAGCCCCAAAAAATCTCTGTCGCAGGGCTGTATTACTCAAGTTGGAGTCCAGTTCCCAGTCGAAGTCTGTGGCGGTAATCGAGACAACGAGATATGCTCAAAATCTCGTAATCGGTGACCTTTTTTCAAAATTTAATCACACGGATAATTCAACGGACGTCAAGGCCTCTCCAACATACTTGGTACACCCCGGCGCGATCGCGGATAGACCCAAAGTGAAGAACGCGGTGACATAACGCGATGAGTTTCTTTTTGGTAAGATTCACGTCCAATGGATTCTCCTCTGCGGAAGAGATAAACTTTTCGTAGTTCTTTCCCTCCACTTTAACAAGAGAAACTCACGAATTTAAAATTGCGAGCACGTGCTGGATGAGAGGTCGGTGGCGCTTAGGCTCATATGTGGAGGCGGCAAGCAGACCAAGCCCGTCCCCGTCAACTTAAGCTGACCTGTGCCATTGACGCCGCGGAAAGCAAAGAAGATTTTGAATCTGGACGGTGTCGCGATCGCGAGTCGTTAACGCGCCGCTGCCGTAGCACTGTCATGGTCCTGAGAGACATTTCCGTCCTTTCCATCGATAGAATACCAATTCCAGAACTTCATAATACGGCATGTGGATTAAATCGAATCGAGCTCTTTACTCCCCTCCCAACGACTCGGGTCCAGGCTGGGTCCTTCAACATCGTGGACTTCGTAAGAAGAGAATAAACGAACACGAGTGAAAAAAAGCTAAACTTCTGTCTGATACGCTCCAAGGGTGCGAGATTTTTTTTATTTCGACTTCCTTTGTAGCATTTATCGGTACCCGACCGAGGTTGTAAGTAGGTTAAGCCGATAGCGGCTGGAGGGGAGAGGCCAGTGCTTCCGGATAATTTCAGCGCGACGTATTCCACAAATTACTGTCACAGACAGTGAAAGCGAGCGTACGGGATGCCGCCTCCAACCCTGGATGAAGTGTTTCCTTGACTTGACGACCTGAGATTACGACCTAGGCAGCCCCAGATATCGCCCAGAAGTACCTTCTTCCAGAACATTTACGCGTTCACGGACAATCTCTGAAACGCATGAGTCAATCACTTTCTCGTCTTCAGTTCTTTGAATTCGATTTCGTACCTTCGATCGACGAAAAGATTGGTCTTGGAGAATTTCCATCTAGACCGCGCTAGAGCCGGATTCGAAGTGAGTGGTGGAGGAGAGCCAACTTGTCATATTTACTGGCAGTGGGCTTCCCTCGCACGCTATTCACTGCTTGCCCACGCCTGATATCAACATTAATGCTTGAACCCCCAAGTGAACGCACTACCACGACGCGTCGCCCCTTCAATCTTGTTCGCAATTTCGATGCCGGAGTCGATATATGTGCAGCAGAGAAATCGCCCACGTCAGGTGTGATGAGTCGAGTGTGCATTGTGAGAGCTTCCACAATGGCAGCAGGTTGGACGTGGGCTTGGGAGTCAGTGCCAAGCCTCTTTGGCATTTGTGCAAACGCGGGCCTGTACGTTCTTCAGTGTCGTTGAACCCACGTTGAACCCGCCGTTCACCGATTGGAGAAATTTTTCTAGAGGCTCTGCAAAGTGTTAAAAACATAAGTTTAGGGTCACTAATTGTCAGTGGCTTTGAACCCACGAAGTTCGAACCTTGTACGGCCCTTATGTATAAGTGAATAAGTAGAGCACACTTGAAAAAAAAAAAAAAGACGGCCTAGAGCCAAAGAGCACTCACTAGCCGACTGCTGTGCAGCAGTGGAAAACGAACATCGGCTCACTGTATTGCATTAAGAGGGAATCGAACCCCCGGCGGGTCGAGCATGACACTCAATGGCAACGACCCAGGTTACCACTACCCCATTAATGCTTGTATCCATTTGCACAACGGAATATAATAATAGACTCAGACAGGAAGTCCAGCCCTTCACAGCCCTTCAAGTTCCAACCTCGGAGAAGCTGGCCAGACGCGACTAACCTCAAAGAGCTAACATCAACGACAGTGAACGTTTCGACGAGTAGCTTGCCAATGGCAATTGCTACACTTGAGCAAAGACAGCAATCACTTTTTCTTGGTTTCACTTGCGAGGGGCTTTCGAATTTTCAACCCTGGCAGCCTTGTGGCAGCCGGATTTCCAATTGGCTGTAACGGGGCAGTAATCTAAGGCGGGCTCTATGGGCTCAGATGAGCTCTTGACGTCACCATCCTTTTTATTCTTGCTAATGGCGAGACTGCTACTCCTCGTCAAGTTGCGGATTCTTGGGGCTTTCGTTGCCTTGATTCATCTGCTCGGTCTAACGCGTGCGCCAGCTGGATTTCCCCACTCCGGAAATGGTTTATGGTATAACAAGCCTGGTACCCTCTGGTCGAGAGAGCTCCTTCCTGTTGGGAACGGATACCAAGCGGGTAAGAGCTTTTCTGCTACCCTCGGCATGCGCTAAACACTCTTCATGACAGCTATGATACCTGGTGGCACGATGCAGGAAGCCACCCAGTTGAACATAGAATCGCTCTGGTCCGGCGGTCCATTCGCAGACCAGGTATGGCTGGTTCCTGCAGCGCGTCGGCATCGAAGTAATTGACAGTTGTTCAGGCATACAACGGTGGCAATAAGCTACCACGCGAACAAACTGCAATGGCTGAAGCTATGCAAAGTATTCGTCAAACAATATTTAACGATCCAACTGGCGACATAGACAGTAATTATATGTCTTTATTTACTTCGTCTGTCTTGCTATCTATGATGTATAGCCATCGAGGTCCTGGCCACGGATCCTGGGCAATACGGTACGTTCTTTTCCAGATTTATCCCGAGATGCCTATCACTGAGGATGTGTGTGCAGGGTCATATGCTGGTGCTGGGTATCTTCTCTCCAATATTAATAGTACAGGGCCTGTGACGGGTTATTCCCGTTGGCTTGACCTCGACGAAGGCGTCGCACGCACGACTTGGACACAAGCAGGGGCCAAATATCTCCGGTAAGGCACTACACCCACTTCGCCTTCTCTGATCTCATTCGCTCTCAAGCACGACGTTCTGTTCACATCCCACCCAAGCGTGTACTCAACACATTACGACAACAACGCCGTCAGCCTCGCTCCCTTCTCTTTCATACACATTTTCCCCAGGGTTGGAGCATAACTTGCCAGCTCCAAACGTAACATGTCTCAACTCTTCCTCCCTTCTTGTGCGCGGGTTCGTCTCCGTTGCGCCAAGCCCCCCAAGTATGCTCTATTCTTTCATCTTCCGAGTCTCTGCCTCCACGGCGTCCTCCTCCGTACGATGCATTCAGTTCCCCGTCCCATCTGGGTCTCCTCCGAACGCCACCATCGAGGTTACTGGCACCGACAATTCAGCTGGTTTGCAAGAGGCACACGTCACTTGGGTAGGCAGCACGGATTACTCAATGGACGCCGGAGACGCAGCACACAATTTTACATTCCGCGGTGCCGATCCGCATTCATCGTTACTGGCGCTTCTCTTGTTATCTCCAGCGACTTTCTCTGTTCAGTCGCTTTTGGACCAGCATATTCAAGACTACAAAGCCACACTGACGACGCCATTTTGCCTGTCATTTTCTAGTTCGACTTGGTCTATCCGCAATCTCGTTGACATCCCCACTGATATTCTCCTTTCTCAGTATGCGATTGATGCTGGAGGGAAAGCAAACGTCTACCTCGAGTGGGTGATGTTCAATTATGGTCGATATTTGTTGGCGAGTAGCGCGCGGGGGTTATTGCCCGCCAATCTGCAGGGAAAGTGGGCGAATGGAATTGGCAATGCATGGTCTGCTGGTGCGCATCCATGCTTTCAACTTTGAAATTTAGTTTGTATGACGTTTATTATTCTATCATAAGATTACCGTAACTATTTCCTTTGAAAATCCATTCAGACTCCTGATGAAATTTTAGATTCAAATATCAATATACAAATGAATTACTGGATTGCAGAGACCACAAATTTGGATGTTACGCAATCCTTGTTTGACTTTCTTCAGGTGTCTTCGGATCTTACATTTATCGTGTTCTCCTGCTGACGACAAGCGTACCAGAAAACGTTGGCTCCTCGAGGAGCAGAGACAGCTAAAGTGTTGTATAACATCACTCGGGGATGGGTAACGCATAATGAGGTTTTTGCTTTTTAATTTTGATTGATTGTATTGTCCTGACATATTTTCATCTCTATATGAACGTGTGTCCAACCATTACATGGTGCTCATGTTTAGGCATAACCGCGATATTCCAGATTTTTGGACATACGGGAATGAAACTTGGGGGCGGGACTTTCGCTCAATGGGCAAATTACCCCGGTTGGTCATTTATCGCCTCAATTTTCACAATTTTAACTTGGTCATTCGTATCAGAGTCTGCTGTGTGGATGGTAATAAAACCCTAAATCCACTATCGGATCATCTAAAGTTGGCCCTTAGATGATTCATGTTTGGGACCACTTTGACCACACTAACGACGTCACCTGGTGGAAATGCCAAGGCTGGCCTCTCATCAAGGTATTAAATTTCACCAATATCCAGTTTTGAAAAATGTTCATAGGTAAGTTGGTTTTATAGGGTGTCGCAAGCTTTCACCTTGATAAACTTATCCCTGATCTCTACTTCAATGACTCAACGCTTGTCGTCACCCCATGCAATTCACCCGAACAAACGCCCATCACATTCGGTAGATCAACTCACATCGTTACGTATCTTGCAGCCTGAACGCTCATCTTTTCTGTAAGGCTGTGCACATGCCCAACAATTGATTTGGCAGCTTTTAAACGCTGTAGAAAAGGGATTCGCTGCATCTGGGGACACAGATGTAGTTTTTCTCGACGGTGCGTTTCTATGCCGAATGAAAAAGTAATAACTGCATTTGAAATTCGACAGAGGTTCGAGCCAAACGCGATAAAATGGACAAGGGGCTGCACATTGGCTCTTTGGGGCAACTTCAAGGTTTGCCCGTATGTCCCGTTCACGACGAAACCGCGCCCTGAAAATACCTAAAAATCAGAATGGAAAGTCGAAAAAGATTCACTAACAGACACTCACCGTCATCTTTCGCACTTGATTGGTCTATATCCTGGATATGCTATCATTTCATACGATGAATCCCTACAAGGTGGCGGCAAGCAAACCACGTACACCAAGGACGAAGTGGTGTCTGGTGCTTTGATCAGCCTCCTTCATCGAGGGAACGGAACCGGTCCAGATGCTGATTCCGGCTGGGAAAAAGTTTGGCGTGCGGCTGCGTGGGCACAACTGGGAGACCGTGATAGATTTTATCATGAACTTTCGGTATGGCGTATAAGTTCATGACTGCATTTTTTCCTGAAAGAACGACACAGTTCGCCGTCTCTGAAAACTTTGGGGAAAATTTATTTAGTCTGTACGACCCATCCGACTCAGAAGCTATTTTCCAGATCGACGGGAACCTGGGATATTCCGCTGCTGTAATGGTGAGTGTACGGCTTTTGTGTACGTGACTATCTCACACCACGACCCGGCGAAAATAAAGAACGCAATAATTCAAGCACCTGACGTGCCAACTCTTGCGACGCCCCTGATCATCACACTCCTCCCCGCTCTTCCAAAACAATGGGACACTGGGTCTATCAAAGGTGTGCGTGTGCGGGGAGGTATCAGCATCAATCTTTGTTGGACTGAAGGGAAACTAAAACAAGCCTCCTTCTCGGTCGATGCCCTTATAATTTCGAGGCCGGTGAAAGTGGTTTATGCTGGCAAGGTCCTCCGTTCTTTCATAACGTCGCCAGGCTCGAGGGAAGATATCACAGGTTTATGAGAACAGAACGTTTCTTATCTTGTCGTCGTAAGATTCGCAGTGTTCATTTAAGTTAATTCAATTTGTCAGGGCGACACTGCTCGCTCGTTTTTTTTAATTTCCAAAATAAATTGTGGATCTAAAATTGTTTCGTTTACCTTGAAGAGCCGAAAAATGTTGTTCAATCGTCGCTCAGCATTTCACGGGGAGGGATTTTCGTCAAATTTTCGTTGTGGTTATCAGGTGAAGGTAAACAAATGTAAACAACTCCCACCAACTTGTTCGCAACTTCAAGTTCTCATCGGATTCGCCACTTCCTGCCACTATTACAATCGATGATGTCGCACTATCCAAACATCACGTTTTCCAACCTATCACCATCAGATGTTGAAGCTGCTCTTATCATTGAGCAGGAAGGTTGGCATTTCGCTGCCGCATGTCTTCGACGGTGTTTGACCCTAGGACAGGTTATCCACCGGATGAAGCGGCCAGTCTACAGGCATTTCGGTATACTCAAGTCCTGCTATCTACTACATGAATCCAACACTTATTTAGTTTTCGGCAATCGCAAGCTGGGGACCTTTTCTTAGGCGCTTATGTCGACAGCAATGTCACTCGTCAGCTCGTGGGTTATGTGTCCTCAACCCTTTCTCCTGCGGAGACCTTGACACATGAGTCGATGTCAACTCATGTGCCAAACTCTTCATCTGTCTGCATTCACTCGGTCTGCGTCTCAGCTACGCATCGGAAACAGGGGACTGGCCTGCGTCTTCTAAAAGAATACATAAGCCGTTTGCAAAATGCACGAAAAGCTGGCCAACCTTACCAACGGGTGCTTCTCATCACGCACGAAGAGCTCCGTTCTTTCTATGAGAAGGCTGGATTTGAGTGGTTGGGGGCTAGCAGTGTTGTACATGGCACAAAGCCATGGTATGATATGCAATTGAACCTCACGGATGAACCCACGCAAGGCGAAATCTCCACTTCTATGCCACCTACACAGGTCGACGGCCAACATATACCACCTGGACTATGGGAAGCACTACAACGACGAACTGGAGATCGCCCAACGACGAGGCTTATCTCTGATTTCCATCACGGCATTAAGGACCTCATCACTCTTAATCCGAGGGAGCAAGGCCTGTCGGTGAATAAATTTGACCTTCTCTGCCCTCGCAATGGTTGCGGTAGCGTCATCCTGAAGAGTGGGGCAGGGTCGTGGGTCGAACGTGCCAGTGTACAGGTGACCTCAGAATGACTGTAAGATGGTGCTACCCTAATGCACGACAAACAGCTGGATATTCAAGATAACCCCTTTCTCCAGGCGCTCCCAACGCCACCTTCAACGGCACAATGGTGGCTGGTTACGCCATCACCCATGACTTTCGAGAACATTGGATTCTCGCGCCCAGTCGCTCCCCAAATCCCATCAGGTAAGTTCATTGACAGGTGTTGTTCTTGGCCAAAACAAACTGTTTTTTAGGCCCTCGACTGAAACTTTTGATTTGCGCTGAATGCGATCTTGGGCCCCTCGGATGGTGCGAAGAAGGTGGCTCTGAATTTTGGTTGGCCTGCTCAAGAGTTGGTTATCGGGGATGATACGCTCTGGAAATTGCGTTTATATCATGACGAACTCTTTCAACCTGTAAATCCACCAAATTACTCCCGTATGGCAAAAAAGGCTCATCTCAAATTATTTTCAACGTTCTGCTCAAGTCTTACTCAAATATCACCTAGTCCGAAACGACTAGAAATATTCGCTCAATGTCCCATCCAATCGGCGCATTCGGGATTACATAATAATAGGCTGCGCTATTTCCGCGAAGACATTACTCCAGCGAATGTCCCTCATAGGACAATGCCAGCCAAGCGCTGGTGTGCAACGCCGTGATTCATATATAGCTGAATACATTTCGTTTTCGCCCAAGCTCAAACTTGACGGTTCCGCCCTTTCCAATGCAATCCCCAGCTTCAGATCTCGAATCCCAGAAGGAGCCTCCCGAGAACCCTGATATCTTTCTTGAGGGTCTACCAAACGGGCTCGACACTGATGCCAACATTCAATCCACTCATCCCCGATTTGAAGGTGGTCGTGACGCAGGGCACCGATTGCCGATCGAGTTTCGAACTTTAAGCATACATGTCGACACTCGCGCAACCATCGGGGGAGACAAGGACAAGCCGCGCGCAGCTGCTGTTAAAGGTGGACTTTGACACACTTCGTCTTCTAAATTTACTGACCCCAGCATTTCAGAGCTTGTGTCATTGGACTGGCACAAAATTTCGACAGAAGAGGCACTACGGCGCTTAGGAGTATCTCCTGTGACTGGTTTGGATACGACTCAAGCACAACGCCGGCTCAAGACTGGTGGAAAGAATGTCATCTCGCCTCCCAAAAACAACTACTTCCGCAAGGTTCTTGAATGGGTTCTCGGCGGATTCGGAAGTCTTCTTCTGGTGGCTAGCATTGTCTGTTTTATCGCTTGGTTAGTAGTCTTATATGTCATCATGATAACACTCTAATCCGCTCGCTAGGAAACCACTTGGTAAACCAAAACCTGAAGTATCTAACCTCGCACTGGCCGTCGTACTTTTACTGGTTCTGGTTATACAAGCTTTTTTCAACGCCTGGCAAGACTTTTCTACCTCCCGAGTCATGTCATCTATCAAGGGCATGCTTCCGTCAGACGTCATGGCACTTCGCAACGCCGTACAAGAGAAAATACCAGCGAGTGAATTGGTAACTGGGGATTTAGTGTACATTTCTATGGGCGAGAAGGTTCCGGCCGATCTGAGGTTAATCGAGGTCAGTATGGATTTGCAATTCGATAGAAGCATCTTGACGGGAGAAGTACGTTCATATCCGTCTTGGATATACCATCTTTCCTGATCGATTTCTTCCAGAGCGAAGCTGTTTCTGGAAGAGTTGATATGACTGAAGAGAACTTCCTCGAGGTACGCGCGGTCCAGAGTCGTCGTTTGAGCCTTCTGACGCTTTACTGTAGACCAAGAACGTCGCTCTTCAGGGTACTCACTGCGTCAATGGCTCTGGCTTGGGTGTCGTCATACAAACTGGCGACAGAACAGTTTTGTTCGTCTGCACGTCACTCTGTGTTCGCTTGCAATCTGACGTATCTTAACGCCAGCGGTCTTATTGCAAAGCTTTCGTCCGTGGAAACAAAGGGGTTAACTACTTTGCAGCGCGAGCTCTTTCGGTTTGTTGGAATTATTGCTGGTATGGCCACTATCGTCGCTGCTATTATCGTGATTCTCTGGGCTGCATGGTGTGTTAAGCATTCCTTCACCGCCGTCTATGTTTATTCTTAGCAGTTCTCGTCAGGCTTCGAAGGTCATTCCCATCATACATCAATGTTTCAAACCTCTTGATAGATGTCGTATCCGTGATGGGTATGTTGCTCTTATCATTACCAGTGCAGTTTATTCACTGTAGCTTTTTTCAGTGGCGTTCATACCCGAAGGATTACCCGTGGCTGTTACACTCTCCCTGGCCAAGGTCGCTAGTAGGTTAGGCAAACACAAGGTCCTATGCAAGTCTCTATCGATTGTTGAAACACTGGGTTCAGTGAATGTCTTGTGCTCCGTACGTTGCGCAACCTTCACTTCCCTGTCTTAAGATTTAAGGCCATCCAGGACAAGACCGGCACCCTTACACAGAATATAATGCACGTTGAGAACGTGGCAGTCCTTGACGTGGTGTTTGACAGCAAAGACTATCCGAGCACCGTTTCGAGTTCGAGCTCAGATGTAGCTGCGAACCTGTCCCAAATCGTTGCAGCTGCATCTATCTGCAACACTGCGGTCTTCGATGCAGGTACAGGGTCAACCGACGAGAAGAAAGAGAGGGTTATTGTCGGTAACGCCACAGGTGAGAATCCTGTTCGCATAACGTCGACATCGTCTAATTTTTGTGCAGATGTGGCAATTTTTAAATTCGCCGATTCCGTCGCTTCTGTGGATGACACTCGTCGTAGATGGGAGGAGGTTTTTAGAATGAATTTCAATTCCAAAGTACGTCATTATCTTTCTACGTTCTTTTGCTTCCTCAACGTTTCTTCAACAGACAAAGTTTATGCTCATACTGTCCAAGCTTGCACCCTCAGTCTCGCTTGACGATGGTTTAGTCGCTCCTTTGGCTCCTTGGGATGAATTCACGCCTACTAGTTTCCTCCTCACGTCTAAAGGCGCCCCCGAGATCCTCTTGCCTCGATGTTCATTTGTATTGGACCCTGAGGGGGGTGCGCCCATTCCCATAAATACTTCGATCTGCGAAAAGATATGTGCGATTCAAGAACGATGGGCTGAAAATGGTCAACGTGTCCTTCTCCTCGCTCGCAGGATCATCAAAGGCGAATGTCTTACCCACGTCGATCCCCACTCTGAAGAGTTTTCAGCATTAATCGAGGAGTACCACCGGGATCTTGTTATTGTTGGACTTGTCGGCTTGATTGACCCTCTCAAACCAGACATTAAGGACACAGTCAAGTGAGTTTTTTGTCCCATACATATTCTTCGATCTTTTTGATCTGGGCTTCCAGGATCTGTCGGCGTGCGGGCATTCGTTTCTTCATCATCACGGGTGCGTTGCCTTGATTGACTCAGAAACCAAGTCTCAATCTTGTCCTGTAGGTGATCATCCAACCACAGCAGTTTCAATTGCTGGCCAAGCGGGAATTATCACGGATACCTCTACGGTTCATCATGCCTCCGACCTGGTCGCCCCTCTTGATAGCAAGATGCTGTCATACGATCCAGATTTGGATGATCGTCGCTTGAAAGGCATTGTCGTCACTGGGCCCGAGCTACAGACGCTCAAACCGGCGCAAGTCGAGCAGCTCTGCCAATATGAGGAAATTGTTTTTGCCCGAACCACACCTGAACAGAAATTGCGCATCGTCAATGACTTCAAGAGTCGCGGGAATGTTGTCGCGGTGACTGGCGATGGTGTTAATGATGCGCCGTCGTTGAAGGCAGCTGATTGTGGAATAGCAATGGGCCAAGGTTCTGACGTCGCGAGGGAGGCCGCCGATTTGGTCTTACTGGGCGATTTTTCTTCTATAGTAATAGCTATCGAATTTGGTCAGTCCGGTATCATGTCTCTGGTTTAATTGCTTCTCATAGTTTGTTTGTCAGGTCGGCTTGTCTTTGATAACCTCAAGAAGACCGTCTTGTATCTTCTACCTGCTGGAAGGTATGTTGTCACGTGGCATTCACTTTTATTGTTCTGACGCTAACCTCCTTCAGCTTCTCGGAGTTGATGCCTATTTTATTCAATATCCTATTCGGTCTCCCTCAACTGCTCAGCAATATACAGTGTGTCCAGATCTTACTCTTCTTGTATGGTATAACGGCTTACTTGACTGAGTCGATAGGATGATCGTCATTTGTGTTGCCGTACGTTAACACTCTTACACTTGCCATTCGTTTCCCTAATCGCACTCATAGACCGACGTCCTTCCAGCTTTAAGCATGTGCTTAGAGAAACCTGAAACAGGGCTGTTACAGCGCAAACCGAGAAACGTCAAGAAAGATAGGCTCGTAAACTGGAAGTTGCTTCTACAGGCATATGGTTTCTTGGGCATGTCGGAAACATTGTGTGCGATGTCTATGTAAAGCCCGTCTTGACGCTCGACGTGCCTTTATTGATTGTTTCCATCCAGGTCCTTCTGGTACCTCAAGCGACATGGTGTCCCATTCTCGGCCCTGTTCCTCGGTTTTGGGAACTGGCCTGGGCTTACGGACGAGCTTCTTTTCACTGCGCAGAGTGTTTACTTCTTCACTCTGGTTATTATGCAATGGGGGTGAGCTTTGGCGCTAACAGCTTGCGGCATGCATATTTACATTCCGCCTCTGCAAGGAACTTGTTTGCGACTCGCGGCCGACGTCTCAGTATCTTCCAGCATACACCTGCCTCTAACTGGTATGTGTTCCCGGCGGCCGACATGGCTCTTGTCCTCGCCATCTTCTTCTCCTATGTCCCCTGGTTGTAAGTTGCTCCTTGCTTTCCTCGGGAAAGAATCATTAACTCATTACCACCAATTCCGCAGTCAAAAGGTGTTTCAAACACGCCCCATCCCTGTGGAGTTCTTCTTTATCCCCATCACCTTTGGCTTGGGCCTCCTATTGTAAGCTCGTTTTTTCGCAAGACGGTTGGTTCCTAATGATACTTTGTTGCTACAGCCTTGACGAAATGCGAAAATACCTCGTTCGAGCATACCCCGGTAGTTTTATTGATCGCATGGCATGGTAGATTTCGATTCCTCTCCACGCACTCTTTACGACACAGCCTTTTTATCTTTCAAACTCTTTTGGTGGCATTGTAGTCCTTATTACATAAATGAGGTGGAAATTAGTTTTGGTAGAATTAGCAGATAAGAAAGAATTGAGTGGGAAAAACCGAAAATTGGACACCATAAGACATACTCGCAATCAGCGGTTGAGTGGATAATATAGCAGCGATGTTTGTGGCGATGGATATGTCTGTGAGAAAGCCATGGATGATACTGGCTGATCTAGAGAGCTAGCGGGGCGTGTTGAGGAGGACGAGTGAAGACTATACGGGGAGGATGGAGAGGGATGGAAATGGTATGCTTCTAAATATACCTCAGAATAATGTGTTGCATATCAGGCTGTAGGTGAACTTTGAGCCTTGCCGAATGTTTGTTCCCTGTGTATGATTGGGCGTCTGTGTGAGTAGGACGTCCGGAGGGTCGGGATATAATGTGGCTGGTGCAAAAGAATGACACTGAATGAGGGTGAGATTAGGAATTCTATACAAAACAAGGAAAAACCCAACGAAGATTCGGTCACGATAGCTCAGTTCACCTGGAGGGGGGGAATACGGCACACTGACTCTGTCAAGTTCGCCATTTCATTGTAGGTTCAAGCGTCAGTTTCCACATTAAAAAGTCGAGTGATGAATATGGCGAATTACATGTGGGGCGTGCTATTTCATGTATAAAACTTGCGATTCTCATTAATACCGAAGAGGTCCTTTCTAATCTCGGGTAACATCTGCGCACGGATGTGAAGTGATCAGGTTCAGGTGAAAGCTGCTCAAAGGATGGACGTACCCTATCTTCCAATAACCTCAGTCTCTCATCCAGCGTATTGTCGAGCGTTATCCGTCTCGAACCGCTAATGAGTCTAACACCACCAGCACTGAAAGGTGATCCCATCTGATTAGGGAAGGCAATAACGGAACAAGAATAGGGAACTTGCCCATCATCACTCAAGCTAGCATCTACTTCGTAAGCAATATTCCGCCCACTGATCTCCTTGAACGACTTGGAAGCTGCTTCCGAAGCTTGCGTAGCCACAGCAAGGTCTGATTTCCGGACGAGGACGGTGACGCTCGGTTCCATGATCTGCAAGAACGCCTGCAGGATGACGCCCTCTTGGAACTGCACATATCGGCTTTGTTCGATGGCTAGGGTTGTGATGGAGCTGCGGGTGGTGGAGAAGAGGTCTTGGAGGTGCTCTTCTCGTCGGTGGAGAAGCTTTAGTCGGGATTTGTTGGTGAGCGTGGATTGGGCACTGTGTATTAAATCGTTGATGAGTTCGGTGTGGGGGAGGTCAGTAGACGAAGCGGAAAACTGACATCTTCTGGGCTACCTCAGACCCTTTGCGTTTCTTTTCGTACTGAGCGTCGATTGCTTGTTGTTCTTGCTTCACGAGTTTGGCCTTGGGTAAGTGTTAGTTAGCGGGGCATTCATTCTTGTTGAAGTTGGCTACTAGTACATACCTTCTCGATGGCGAACTCTTCGTCGGCTTTCACCCGGATCTCGCGAGCTTTCTCGAGAGCCTCTTGTTTGATAAAGGATACCTGACGGAGCGCCTTAGCTCGGAGGTCTATGTGAAGGACAATTGTCAACTCACCATCTTGTTCATTTCGCTGAGTACCTCGTCGTCGTTGAGTGGGCGGGACGCCATGTTGAACGACGATAGTCAGAGCACGCGTGAGGGTAGTGGTTCGAGGCTTTGAGCAAAGTGACTGATTAGATGTCGCTCAGTAGAAGCAGGCTCGGATGCAATTCCACCTCCGGTCCCCTGGCCTTAGCGCCCATCGACGACAACCCCAGACACTCTGTCCATCTCCCACATGTTACAATAGCTCTGGCTAGGGATACAAGTGCTACAGCTTATGATAAAACTGGCCACGGGAATGGAACCTGTATACTTCTCGATGCCAATTGTACTGGGTCCATGACACTGTGATGATAGTTATCTAAACACCTCGTCGTGAAGCGCTACGTTTTTGTGCGGCGTCCAGCCACGGAAAACAATGAGTAAGTGTAATGGGATCCGTTGCGAAGCATCTTCAAGTTCAGTTGTAAAGATCGACGATATCGTGGGGACACTCGAAATATACCCCACTTTTTTGTAAGTTTTTAGGCTTGTGTCTCTGAGGCCTTCAGAGGCGCTGCGAGATTGTGAATTGGAATTTTAAGATAAGAATTGAAGTCCAGCAAGGTAGGTTGTACATGTGTCCAATGTGATGTTTAGTAGTCCTCGGTTTGCTGGGTCTCTTCATTACGCTTTCGAACATCATCCCATCGTACGTGAGCAGGTACTCCTTCCTGAAAATGTTTCACTGCTAATATCATTTGCTGCGCCGACCTCTTCAAAGATATACCCCCTTGATCAGTCCCTAATCCAGTCATTAAGACGGTGTGAATAGTGTTGGCTTCGTCACCATGATGAGCTGTATTCCAATGGTCAAGTTCAACGAGGAACGTCCACATGGTGTTGTAAACAAGGTCCTTATGCCAGCTGACGTCCTCTGGTGTGCGCATCGTCGGAAGAATTGCCATTGCGAAAGAATTCCACTTGTTCCCGGAACGCGCGACAGATTGAGGCAAGGGAATAATAGTACATGAACCGGGAGGTGCATAACCATGCCACTTCTTCAAAATGTAGTCTTGGCAGTAATCCGTAAGGCTCCAGAGATTGCCGCTGGGTCCCTTGAACTGTTTACTCAATTCTAGGTCAAACCTAGAAACTCAGATGATAGTGAGGGCATGTGGGTGTGTTAATATAATTTTATTCAGTACCCGCCATCCGTGATTCCGTAGGAGTTCGCAGGGGAAACTATGCAGTCACAGCACAGCCGACTTGATTCGATATCTTGAAATTTCCCCTCGATAACTTCAAATGGGGATCCGGAATGAGCATAGCAGTCCTCATTAGCTTGTATCCATGCGGCGCATAAGGAAGGAGGAGCAGGCCCTTGTTTTCTAGGTCGGGGTGGAGGGGCTATGAGACGAACTTCATACAAAATTTCGAACTCCGCTTATCCAGTAAGGCAACCTAAGGCAACTCCAAGGCAACTCTCCCAAAAATTGTGGTGTAGGAAAGCACATCATGATCACCTGTCCGTTCGAGTCTAGTAGAATACAGTTGGGAACGAATGTGGAAGAAAATTGAAATCCATGGCCATCGATTAGAATAAGTATGCATGAAGGAATTGAACCCCCCGACAGGTCGTGCAATTTGTCTACATGTGCAACGACCCAGATTACCACTACCCATTAATGCATGGTTGAAACATGCAGACGATAATTGTTTAGCAGCTTTGGAAGTAGCACAACCTGCAAGCCCGCAGAATACCACATTTTTGGCGTAGGTAAGTATGTCGTGTATATAATATTGTGCGCGTATGATATCTATCGTCAGAATACTACTTGTGCAATAGTCCGGAGTGTATATCGTCAAAGTCGTGGGCTTGGTACTAATTACTAGTCCATGGACCATCATCTAAGTACTATATCGAGGATAACATTGAAAACAAGAAAAAGCATATCGTATCACAGCAGTTCGAGTGCAAACAAGATCATTGGCGAGATAAGGTAGAACAGCACATCCTTGAGGAATTGAGATTGGAGTCAGCCCCTCAACACTTTTGCCACATTTTAACATAATCACTACCCCACGTTTAGCGCCCACTCCATGACAACACAAAAAGAACTCACATTCTAAAAGCCCTATCATCTGGATTACTGGGCCACGTAGCAGACCACGTATCCTGCGCCAACGCAAAGTCGCGCATCGCGGCTAAAATTGCGCCCAATAAAAGTCAGCACAAGAAAGGAAGAGGGTGGAGAGGGTAAGAACGTACTGAGGGAAGCGTCGATCCATGGTTTCCCACCGACGTTGTCGGGGAACCATCCTGATGTGCCGCCTGCTGAGAGGTTGATGATCAGGTAGAACGCTACGTAAGTCAGGAGTTTTAGTAGGTGGAGGAGGGGATGACAGCAAGAAAGAAGGAAAGTACCCTGATTGAACGGAGCAGACTTCCCCTGCCCAGCGTAAGGATTATTGACTACGACTTTTCCGGTCCCGTTTTGTGCTGTTTCCGGGAACCTGTTTGAGGAGTTTCGTCAGAACATTGGAAGATGGAAGAGACTTGAAAACAACATACCCAGCACGTTCCCAGAACCCCCCTTTTTTACCCGTAGTCTGCACGTCAAGCATCGCGTGTAACCTTGAGTCCGTATAGAAGCGCATAAACTGGTCGTCCCACTCCATAGCGTATGTGTGGAATCCTTTATCAAACGATGCACGTTTTACAGAGTACCTACGTCCCATTTCATCAGTTAGCAATCAGATATGAGGAAGAAGAAAACAAGTGGAAGGAAAGTGGGAAATTAACAAACCATCCGTAAATACGATTAAACACCGTCGGCAGCGGTCCATAATTCAACGTCGACCGAACGAAGTTGGTTCCTTGGGCGGGATACGCAGGTCCGTTGCCGCGCGCTTCGAGAATGTCAATCTCGCCTGATAATGGCCAGGCGCCATAGGCATTGGTTTCAGGAAGCATCCACACGGCGGGCCAGAGCCAGTCACTTTAGGGAAAGTCGTAAGTAGGTTATGCAGAACAAGGATATACAAACGTACCCCCTCGGGAGCTTTGCCCGAAACTCAACCTTACCGTACGTGATGTTCACCTTCCCTTGTGTGTTGATACGGGCGCTCATCACGGGATTAATGACTGCTCCTAGTTGTGCATTCGACACGACCGTGCATGCAGAATTGTTGCCTTGGTCCGTACATCCCGACAGCGTATAATTCCCCCCATCCAGGACATTGCTCACCGTGTCGGTGGTCAACGTCGGATAGATGTACAATTGGTCATTGTTGAGATAAAGGTTATCAGAAGAGCTCGTCGTCATTTCAAACTCGCCGTTCCCGAAGCCGCCAAGGGAGACGTCTTGAGACCATGTGGACGAGTCAAGGGAGCCGCTGGTGAATTGTTCGTCTAGGACGATGCATAGCTGGGATGGGGATAGTAGATGCACGGATTTTACGCCCACGAAACAGATGTAGCCTGCCGCTCCGATACCGATGATGATAAAGAGGAGGGTGAGGAAGTAGGATGTGCACGCGCGGGGTTCACGTTTTGCCAGCCATGGTTTTTCTGATTTTTGTAGTGGAACGTGCAAGCGGGTGGAGGGCAGGGGTGGCTTGGCTTTCGATGCCTCAAGGGGCAGTGCAGGTGAGGATGGGTCAAAGTTTGATGGAGAGGTGAATTGGGTCGGGTATGCTGGCGGAGACCATAAGGAGGATGTGGGACGGGATGTGGGGGAGAGGAAGGGAGCGCGGAAGGAGTGGGTGGAGGAAATACGTGGGAGTGGACCGCCGATACCTGGGGAGTCCGTGATTTGGCCTGCTGGGCTGTTTTTGTAAAACGAGTTTGTAGAAGGGGAGTGGGAGAGGGTGGCGTTGCCGCCCATGAAGGGAGCGTAGGGTTTACGGAGGTCTTGCAGGGAGCCTGAACGTGGGCCAGGGCCAAAGGCCTCGTCGTTCAAGTCGCTGGTGGGTGGTGCGGCGGTGGAATCGAGGGAGGAGCGACGGCGAGATATGCCTGGAATGGAGAGGCCTGGGTCAGGATTGCCTGGATAAGCTTGGAAGGGGAAAGCAAAGGAAGAGGGAGGAGGACGGAGAGAGGGAGTGGATGTAGGAGACCAGAGTTCGTCTGGACTGGGTGCGTCTATCGGGGTGTAGCTAGATGACGCCATGGATGAACGGCGTCTATGGTGCCGCGGAGGAGGATTGTGATGTATAGGACGAGGAGAAACGCGGGCAGGCAAGTTGACAGCTGCGTTCGCTTCACTTTCAGCGTTTGCCTCCTTGTCGGAGTCTGACGCTGGCTCTTGGGTGGTCTCTGTGTTGGCAGAAGATCTATCTGAGGCGCTGCCTGCAAGGAAGAAGGGGCGGGGTGGGGCAAGGGAGGAGTACGCAGAGCTCTTATCGACATCGACATCGTCCTCTGATTTGCTTCTGGCGAGGGTTGTGCGACGTGGATAAGCCATGGGAGGCGACAAGTAGGCGATGTCAAGCCTGTTTGTCAATTTGTTGAATGACTGCTAAATAGCCCCACCTCCGGTCGCCGGTGCCTATTCCAGAAATAAAATACCCTTTCTGGGATACAGCAGCAACCAGGAACTCGTTCCGAGTGTCGATATGATCCTCCTTTTCTGCTCCATGGCGTTTCCTGGCATCCCCTTCAAGTCCAAGGGCTTGTTACAATCTCCACGTCTTTTTGTCTTCATACGTACACTGCCGGCGCGAAAGAACTAACGCTCTTCATTGACTTTATCTTGACGTCAATTCTTATCGCAAGCCGCTGAAAGACCCCAAACACCGAGTTAACCGTAACGTTAGATCGGGCAAAGATCTACGTGTTGTCCAGGGAGGAAGAAAAATGAGTCCAGCTAAAAAAGATCGTCGTTCGTCCCTTCTCCTCCCACCAGTGGAGGCCACTCCTTTCCTTCCCCAATGGACTACGACCGCAACGACGCACTCCTTCATTGGCTCTTCCGCCAAACACAGGGTGATGCTTGGTTCCGCCCAAACGAGGAAAATATATCGTCTGGTGTTGCCTTGAGAGTGGCATCCGATGGTCAGTCCATCTGCTTTGCTACTCGCGTATACGCTGCTGCAAGTGATAACACCTCCCCCTTCTTGATTTAGCTGCACACACAGGCGCACCAGAGTTTCGCGTCTTCCCCTACGAAAACGCAAACCTCGAACCATTCGAGACGGCTGTGTCTGCGCTCAATCCCGTTGTTGCCGTTAAAGTCAGATCAGCGGCGGTCCATGCTGCTTTGGGCGAGGTGTGAGTTTCTTTCTCTTGTCTTGGTTTAGAACATTTCATCTTCTTCGGATGGACCGCCTTGCGTCCCGATTGCGTCCGCCATCTTGAGTGGCGGATTGATCCTGCTACATGAGGACGGCCTCGAGGATCCTAGTCTGTGATGGTGGCGAAGCGCTGACGAAGGACGCTCAATCCTCATGTGCGAGTTCGGCCGCGATTCCTGGATTTCTGGCGCACCCCTTTACTTTGCGCGTCTTCTTTCATTAAACATTCCTCCTGCCCGTCGTTCTGCCTTTCCTTGTTATCTCCATCCTGCAGGTGGTCCTTGCGACCACCGTCGTCCCTGTGTCGGCCACAGCGATTGTGCCTTGCGTTTTCTCACTCCATGTTGCAACCTTGTTGTGGACGTCACTGTTGTCGTCAGATTTGCGTTTTGATGAGTTCCAACTCCTGAGGCTGCCGATCCTATTTTTATCTTCACACGTTCTATTTTACGACCACGTGACCTCTTGTCATTTACTGATCGAATCTTACAGCGCGGCAGATGAGAAGAGCATCTACGTCGATGCTGAGACCCGCATCCAAATCCTGGAGACGATGCTCATGCTTCCGCAGGCGGATAAAGAGCAGTGCGCGGCGTTCATCGTGTGTACTATTCTCCCTCATTGACTTCCACTAACCCTTGCTTGTTATGTAGAGAGACGAACGTGTACTGGTAATCTGGTCCGAGTCCCTCGACCACATCATCCCCATTTGCCATGACTTTGAAGAACGCCTCATCAAGCTCCTATGGCGCAGTCGCCCGCTCGCCGCGGCTCCCTCTTCGAGCTACAACACCACGAACGTGTCTTCCGCCGGGAGCGCGGTGGACGTGTCGGGGAGCAACGAGGCGTTTGCAAGAGGGTCAATTGCACGGTATTCCCGGCCCCCTAGTGTTCTTGCTGCTCGTGCTGGGGCAGGTGGAACTGTGCTGAAGGGGTTGTATGGCGAACAGGGAAGGGATGGGGATGAGGAGGAGGAGAAGGTAGCTGCAGAGAAGAGTGAGGGTGGAGATGTGGAGGCTCCAGAGAGGAGGAGGAGGACAACGAGGACGTGGTATGGGAGGAAGATAGTTATTGATGATGATGATGGGCTAGAGGATGCGGAAGGGTTCAGGGGGGAGGAAAGGCGGAAGATTAAGCTTTACTCGCCTTTATATAGTGGGTTGGCAGCTGGGGCCGCTGTTGGTGAGTTTGTCTCCTTTTTTTGGTGTGGTATAGGCAGGAATTGACTTCATGTTTGTAGTTTTCGTTGGGAATGGTGTCCGTAAGTCTTTATTTTATTGTTTAGTGACCGACAGCTAATTGGTGGTTTATTAGGAACTCTGCTGGTAGAATGGACTCTTGACGGAGATTTTATCCGCTTCGCACTGCTCGCTGCCGTTCCCCTCCTCTACTGTGTCTCCCTGGTATGTCTAAATCTTCTCAGAGTCCTCCCATACTCACCATCTATCACTACAGTTCTTCGCCCTCCAAATCATCCAGAACTTAACCATGGCGTACGTACCCACTCTCCCCTCTTCCCACTCACTACCAATCTCACCTTGTACTCAAAGCATCGGCCCGATCGCGCACTACCACGAGAACTCGAAATATTACTCTGCGATCAAGCCTCGACCCGATAAAGAGCTGGACAATAACCTTCCGCATATTACTATTCAGATGCCGGTATATAAGGAAAGTTTGGATGCTGTTTTGTGAGTCTCTATCTTTTTTAGGGGCGCTCAACTAATGAATAACGCAGGGCGCCGTCAATTAAGTCGTTGAAGAAGGCCATGCACACGTATGCGAGGCAGGGAGGAACGTCGACTATTTTTATCAATGACGATGGTCTTAGGGTGATTTTGCCCATTTTCTCGCTTGTTTGTATCTAAACCCCGTTCATTAGCTGCTCCCTGCGCATCAACGCGACGAACGTCTAGCATTCTACGCAAACCACAACATCGGATGGGTTGCTCGGCCAAAACACGATGCTACTCCAGGCGGTTTCAAGCGCGCTGGTCGGTTCAAGAAAGCGTCCAATATGAATTACGGTGCGTCTTTTCTTTGACATCCATTGTAAGCGTATGGGGCTGAAGATGCCCTCCCTTCAATTAGGCTTGGCACTTTCGTTGAAGGCTGAGAAACACCTGGAAACGCTACTTGCCAACTCTCCTAATCGGATATCCACCTCTTCAAACACGCACAATCGGAGCCTGAGTCAATCTGGAAACGAGCCTACGCAGTATGGGATCCAGTACCAAAACCGGGACGGGGATGAGAACGTTGCGTGGGGCAACGCAGGTTCCGGATCTGGAGCTACGGGTAATGACAATGGTAATGGTAATGGCACTGGGGTTAGTACCCCTCCCGCTGGTGTGCCGCTAGATCACGACCTGGAAGAGAGGGCTTTAGGAATGGCGATCGAGGAGACGTGGGAGGAGAGTGGGCGGCGATGGCGTCCGTGGGCTGCGAATGGGCGTGCGACGCGGATTGGCGAGATTTTGTTGCTTGTGGATTCGGATACGGTTGTTCCGGAGGATTGCTTGAGGGATGCGGCGAGGGAGATGAAAGCCTGTCCTACTGTTGCTATTATTCAGCATGAGTCTGGTGTGTGTTTCTCCATATTCTTATTGTGTTGGGTGTTGAAGGGTCCTACAGATGTCATGCAGGTTGCGCATCATTATTTCGAGAATGGTATCGCCTATTTTACGAAGAGGATCAATAGGTGTATCTCGATGGGTATGTTTTTGGTGTATCTGAACTTACAACAACTGCTTTGCTGATGTTATACTGATTGTAGCATGCGCGAATGGTGAAGTTGCTCCTTTCATGGGTCATAACGCGTACGCATCCTCCAGGTGCTTTGAACAGGACCTCATGGCTGACCTTCGAATTCTCAATAGATTTTTGCGATGGAAGGCGATTCAAGACGCTCTCTTTGTGGACCCTGTCGATGGCAAGGAAAAGATCTGGTCAGAGTCCAACGTTTCCGAGGACTTTGACATGGCTCTCCGTCTCATGCTAAAAGGCTATATCATCCGGTCCGTTTAGATTTCTGTCTTCTCATCCATACGCCTCTTACTCGTTTACCATTACAGATGGGCGACGTATTCCAAAGGAGCGTTCAAAGAAGGTGTATCCTTGAGCGTCGATGACGAATTTAATCGATGGCAGAAGTATGCCTATGGATGCAATGAGTGAGTCTGTCGTGTCGCTCGGAATTCTTTTCGCGTGCTGATGATAACTTGGCAGGATGCTCTTCAATCCTATCATCCAATGGTGGCGCAAGGGTCCCATTTCGCGCCAAATTCATCGGTTCTTGTGGAGCAAGGCCCCTATTCACTACAAGATTTCGATGTTAGCATGTAAGTTTTGTTCTATCAGAGTTATCTTTTTAATATTGATGAGGCGCCTCTCTAGACATGTTCTCGTACTGTGCGTTATCTATCTCTCTCCTATCCCTATCCTCGTATCGTTTTGACACTTTTGACAGATGGACTTGCTGGCTCGATAACAATCTCCATTATCAATTATGTTCTACTGGGCTTCCAGTTCCCCGTGGACGGCTTCTTCATGCACAGTTTCGAGATCTGGCTGGCAACTACGGCTGTCTTCTGGGGCTCTGGGACTATCGGATACACGCTTCTGGAATATAGGCTTGGTCACAAAAAGCTGGTGAGTTCTTCGGGGACCCCGCACACTCTTCAACCTCTACTACCCCACGTTTTACTAACATCGGCTCCACCGTAGCTTTACGCCCTCTTTGAGAATTTGATGTGGATTCCATTCTTGTACGTCATTTCTGTTTATCCTCGTGTTATACTTCAATACGTGCCGACGCCGACTATTCCATTTTGCAGCTTCTTTTTCTTTGCAGGTTTATCGATACCCATCTCGCAAGCTATCTTGGCCCACTTGTTTTCATACAATATCCAATGGTCGGCGACGATCAAAGAAGTTCAGCTGTCCAATTTTTTCATAGAAATTCCGAAGATCGCTAGGAGGTACGTTTTGAAAATTTCACGATGTAGATCAATTCAAGTTTAAGATGGCGTTGTTGATTTATAGATTTTGGTTCCCTTTCTTGCTATCCATCGCAATCATTGCTGGTATGATTATTTTGGCCACGCCCTTAGTGCCTTTAGACTGGCGGGTAGGAGCGTCTGGCTGGGCTGTGATATTCCCCCTCGCGTGAGCTTTCCTTTCCACCGCCTTTTCCCGCACATTTTGATTTTTTCTCAGTCTCTCTGCTGGCTGTCATATCTTGTTCCCAGTGAGTTCCTACTCGTCTTTATGAGGTTATATTCCTGACCATAGTTGAAAGATTGTGTTGAATCCGTGGCTCATGGTGTTCTCATACTGACACTGGACATGTCGGACTTTTCAACAACTTGCGCATTATCCCTCCCATCTTTTATTGATTCACCTCAGGACTGATGTACTTTTCCCCCGTTATCGTCCCTGGCTGAACTACTAGACACTCTGTATGTTCATTCATTCTACATACTTTACGCATTGACTTTACGTACTTTACCCATCCATTTGCACGATACCTACTTACAGCGGACACTATACAACTCCGGACTTTTTTGTTTAGTACAGTTAAACTTGCCAAAACTTTTAGAGTTGTGGTTCTCAGATGCAATGATTCCGAATCTTCGAAAGGCTCACTGATGATTTTGAAGGGGGACAACTGTTCTGGCTGTCGACAGGGTAGAAAAGACTGGGTAAGATATATTCAAAGGTATATACGTTACAAGTGGTATAGTGCATATGGTATCAAGCAATGATGATGACAGGGACAACTGGCTGAGCAACGCAAGAATTCTAGAATCAAAAGCGGATAGATAGCGAACGTCCAAGGAGTTGCGCAAAAGGGTGGAGCACACCCTTCCCGAATGCCTAAAGGAAGGTTCAGTACTGCATCACCGCAAAAGCACCTACCTTTCGCCTACCTTATCTCCCCCCTGGCAACTCACAACCACCGTTCATACTTAGTTTAAACGCATCTTCTTCGCCTTTCGTCTATTCTGATCCGCCCAAAACTTCTCTTGGTTCGCCTCCAAACGCTTCAGCACATGGTACTGATCATCGGACAGTTTGATCATCCAGTACCGATAATCCCGAGTGGGGAAGGCGGCGACGAGGAGAGACCGAAGGAACGGCTTGAGTGAGTGGAAGTAAGGGTCCATTTTGTTGAGAATAGCATTGTCAAAGTCATGAAAATGACCCATCTTACTGCGCGCCACATATCTCAAGCTTTGTTGAATCCTCTTGTAATCAAACCATTCGAAGACAGAGGGGCTGCTCCGCGATAAGTCGTAATCCTGCTGGACACGGAGATTGCGTGGGCCTTTGAAGACGGCCAGCACGTAGATCAAGGTGTAGAGGATGGACTCCAAGTCATGTTTCCCTTGGTAGCAATGCGGCATTGGCAATGAAAGGGGTCGTTCCCTGGGTTGGAGCAACATCAGTATCATCTTATGATCCATTGAAAAAGAACTTACCGCTATAGCTCGCTCATCACTTTTCTACTTCCACTTCGCCATCCTTCGACTTTTCCGAAATGGGGTCGATTTTATACACGTTGATACAGTCCAGGTGCAAGTGGTCAAAATACAGTGGCTGAGCAGAATAGAAGCCTTGAGAGGGAAACATGATCTTTGCGAGCCCTTCATATTCTTACGAGTACTCTCGAGGGAGCTCTATCAACAAATTGAAATTCATGTCTCGATAGACAATCTTGGGCGCTATCTGTGACTTATGACCACCATCGCGGCTCAAGAAGCGAGTGGCGGATTGAGCCACTAGTTGGGAATCGTCAGAACTAGTGAGAACTAGTGAAATCAAAGGACGATGCGGATGGATCATTTGAGGGAAAGGACACTTGGGTACTTTCGTGAGAGTAGACCTGGCCGAGCCAGTGAGAAGAACTCAAGCTTCGATCCATAGACCCATGCCAATCTTCAAGGGTGGAAAAGGCGGCGGCGGCGCGAGCTCGATATCGACATAGGTGTTCGTCATTCTTGGTGAGGTTCAACAAATTCGCGGAACCAAATACCTACATAACCAAGATTATAGTCGCCCGTCTTTTTTGAACACTTCCCTCTACCTCTCTGATTGCCAGTGATTTCCTTTCATCTGGCTTACTACACACATTCAGACCGTTCCACCTCTCAGCGCTAATAGGCTTGTGCCATGCTAGATCTAAATTTGGTTGAACGACATTCCTTTCACTGATATTGAATGGCCTTCTCTACACCGCCAAATGGTTTCAATCTCTTTTCTCTTCGTGACTTGTGGAGACCATGAATTAATATCTCCTCCGTGATCAGGATAAGACATGGCCAATCCTCCTATTTTTTATCGGGTGTATGATCCATCCTAGACTCAGTCCAAATCGAAATCTCCTCAGTCTTTTATGGCACTGCAATCGGAATTGACAACCTGCTTCGACCACCATCATCACTACCAAGTGCAAAAATGGAGACGGAAACTACAGCAAGCAAACACAACAATTCATGGTCCTGGTTCAAGGTCCTCTTTGTCGTATCACAATTTATCGTCAACCTCTTCTACATGGCTGCGGCTTTCCTGGTGGCTCCTTTCTACATCAATGCCCTCCCGTCAAGGCATTTGGTCACAGCCATCTGGATGTTGTACCAGCCATTATGCCATACAATCTGGATCTTCTTCAGTCCACGATGCATACCACTGTTGTGCCGGACCTTTGTGGCGCACACGATTTTACTCTGTTCTTGGGTTTGGACCATTGCTTTGGTCAAAGAACCATTAGGGCTCAATGGTAGGCAAGGTCATACAATTGAGATACCCCTTTTTCTAACAGACATCAGGCCCCGGCACTCTCATTGTGGGCGTTTCGGGATATGTTGGCATCATCGATCCTATGTTCCAAATCGTTCTCATAATGTCTGAGGTGAATCGGTGCTTGACGGAATGGTCAATCTTTCAGGTTGTGCACTCAAACCTGTCAGCTCGCTTCACTGGACAGGCATCTCTGCCAGGCTCCATGATGGAGAAGGACACTCTGCAGTTAGAAGATGGCTTGTTGGATGTAGAGGGTTCTAAAATTCCCTCACCGTATCTAGTGAGTGGCGCTTTCCCTACCGCTGTGTTAGGCAATTAGCTGATGGAGCCCTTGGTTTATGCTGCAGTACAAATATTCACCGTCATTTTCGAAGGCTTGATTAGGAATATGGACCTGCTTTCATTATCATTTGTACTTCTTACTAGTCTACTTATCCTTGTATCTAATTGCATTCTACTGATGTTGGCTTCCAGGCCTGGTAAATGTCGAACATGTAGGGTAGCCGTTCTCCATTGTTTCTTTTTGAATCATAACCTGATTGCCGGCATCTTTATGAGGCGAGATATATTTGGTGGCAGATGGGCATCTTCAGCTTTGCGGAGGTTGTGCGGAGGTGTAACTTGGCTTGTACGCATTAAAACGAAATCATTGATCAAGAAAAACTAACGGGCAAATGGTGTCTTTGCAGATACGGCCAGGATCTCGGAATCATGAGCAATCTTCAAAAGCAAGGGGGTGCCAGCCTGGGAATCCCGTACCGGGACCCGGTTAGTTAGTCCAGCCACAGGCTGTGAAAAAAAAAAAAGGACGCCTCGGGCAGATGGCCTTAAATCATCAAATTGAGTACCGATGGAGTACTGTGGGGAGCGGCAACTGTGCCAATAAAATTGTGCTGTTTGGTTCTGTTTGTTTCGCGCCAAATAGTCGAATTCAGTGGTCGACAACTGTTATTTCACTTCAATCGATACGTAGGGACCAATTTACAAGTCTATGTTGTTTGTGGTGATATATAATATATTATTATGATTGAATTTAGTAGCCAAGTTCTATATCTGTGTCACTATACATGTCAGATGCATTTTCCTCTGGAATGTAGCCTTCCTATTCACTCCTCACGTCGAGTTGAGCTTCAAGCTCCTGCTGGTTTTGAGCTTTAGACATTCATATTGTGTTCCGGTCTGTTCTCCAAGTTGTCGGAGTGAATGTTGCAAAGGTTTGTCATTGACTGGGAAGTTTGCAATGTCGATCTTGACTTCTGGCCCAGTTTCCAAGTGTCTTTGCCCATGATATAATATACTTGTGGTTAACAAGTCAATATACGCAGAGGTAATGATGATAACGCGTTGCTGACGCCGATAGTCGTGCTTTGGTCGCGCTTCAGTTACTTTCTTTATTGCAACACGTGATCATCGACGTGTCTTACCATGCCATTCCCCCATCATGGATTGCTACCTCATCTGTAGAGGTATTCTTTCAAATTTTTGCAGGCACAAACTCATGGAGCGTAGGATGGATTTGTTCAGGACAGAATTTTATAAAGGGGTTTGGAAGGCTCAAAGTAAGATATTAACTGACAGAATATTTGTATTTTTGTGCTAAATTGTATACAAGCACCTTTACTTATGCTCCACCTACATATATCCACACTTAAAGTGGCAATCTACTGATAGGATAACTTTAGCGTCCTATGAATAAGGAAAGGGAAGAAGAATATTTAGATAAATATCTAGATGCAAGAAATCTGCAGACACAGACAACTTGTTTTTGCATAGGACTTGCCTGGCTCACGCAATTCGGATTTTTGATAGTAAATTAGTAATAATAATTAAATCCGAGAAGACAGACAAGACCTGAGCGTCTGGAGGGCTTGTTTGGTAGAGTAACCAACCAGCTATACCAGCCAGAGTGTAAGCTCACAACAAGCAGGTTGGTTCAGCATGGAACTACCCAAATTGAGCAGCACTCTGGAGAAATTTTCGTTTGCAAATATAAGTACAAGTAGATAATATAAACAAGTTACAGAGTCAGGTTCCCATCGGACGCAGCAATCAGCGCCGATGGGATTTTATTTTGGATACGGAAAAGTTCAAATATTGCAGCCAATGAGTCGATGTGCGACTTGTTGTATGCTTTTGATGTACTCATTGGAAGAATTTCTTCCATGCGGCGCCAGTAGAGCAGAAAGGCGAGAGAGGTCCAGCCGCCTGTTGCGGCAACAATCTCAGGTGGGACGCCGGCGAGAAGGAGTTCAACAGCACCTCCTATACGGAAACTATGACCGAGGATATGCGCGAGCATAGCTGATGACCAAATATTGTTGCAGAACTTGAGAAATTCATGCTTGAGAAGAATCTTCGGTTGGGAAGAGGCAGTGGTGTATGCGAAAAGGGAGGTAGAGTGATTGGAAGATGAGTTGACTGCAAGATGGTTCTGCAGGGCGGCAACAGGGCATAGAGTATCGTTGCGTGCAGTCAAAATCACAGAGGCACCGAGTTCTTTCGTCGTTTTCGTCCAGGGAATGTGGAAACTTGCAGAAGATGAACCATCACGTAACTTGCGAAAAGTAATCCTGAAAGGAGATGAGAGAGATTAAAGGAAGGAGGGAATGGCATACATGACAGAGCGAAGAACATTATAATTCTCATTAAAGGCAGCAGCAGTAGTAACTGTCAACTCGCCCAGTCGACGACAGCCGAAGAAGGCATATAAGGCAAGAGCCCATACAGCTGCATGGAAAGGAGTAGAGATATTTAGGGCACGACGGAGAGCCAGTAAATGTTCGATGGAGACAGGAGCACGAAGGGGCCGTTTGTGTTTAGAACCTTCTTTATTCGCCGAAATACGGGCAAGTTGAACCCATTCATCATCACCAAACCAGGGCGCATGATTTATAGTATGCCATGCGCGGATGCCAGACAACCAGGAACGAATGGTGTTCCCGGATTGCCTGCCTTTGTGCTCTCCAATAAATGCACAAAGGAGGGGGTAAGAGGCAGGCATTCGCGCTTCTTCATTGATGCCCCACGTGTCACAGAACTGTGTAAACCGTAGAGTGCCAGCGGCGTATGTACTTTTTGTGTTTGGCGCATAAGCGCCACAAATTGACATCATTGCACTGTCAACCAAATTTGAAGGGAGAGAAGCAATTAATTGTTGTCTGTGACGAGCGGCGTATGGTGTATCCCAAGTGAATAGACGGTCAGTTGCTGGGACATGAGGGCGTAAAGTGTTGTGAGTAATCTGATGTCCTGCCCGTGGTTTTCTTGCTTTGATAGTACGAGCGGGGAAAGTCACTCCGAGAGTGCGAGAGGATGGGATGCAGATTTCAGGAGGAGATTGTTGCATGGGAACGAGCGTGTCAGATGGGAAAGATGTTGGAGTCAATGAGGGAAGAGAAGTTGTTGAGAATCGATTCTTGAAAGGATGGAGAAAGTTTTGACAGTGTGCAGGGCGCGGAGGAACAGAGGATGTACCACCTACAGTCGTCTCGACAACACGTGTTGCCGGTTTGAAAGGATAATCTAACCTAGAGACAGATAAGATATCAGAGTAACGATAGAGGCAGATAATCTAACCTAGGCATGAATAAAGCATGAGGATAGCTCATCAGGGAGCTTAAAGGATGGGAACATCTGCTTCCCAGCAGGTCCTGGTTCTCCGCGTGAGATAGGATCAGCTGGGTTGGCATGAGACTCAATGTAGATTGTTTTTAAAATGATAGATACAGCCATGAGAGCGAGGTGTGTGCGACGGACTGCGAGGTTCAAATGAATATTGCCGCTGCGGCCTTTATCAAGGGCGCCGATGGTACCTTGATTGTCGGAGTGTACAAGGAGATGTGCGTCACGGATACCTCTTGCTTCAAGAAACTGTACAAGAAGCTCAATAGCTACCGTTTCGAGCCAGCAGATATCCCGGCCCTCAATCTTCCAGGAAGGCGAGAGCTGGAAAGCAGCCCACTCCTCACCAATGATGATCCCGATGCCCCATGATGTGGAAGCATCGACATACAGTCCGAGATCTGATAAAGGCCCAAGAGGGCGAAGAGATTGAGAGATCCCGCGCAAAGTAAGCTTGACGAGCCACCATTTGAGATCAGTGATCAATGAATGTGGAGGGTACTTTGTAAGAAACTCATCACTATGGAAGGCAGACGCGAAGTTAGATAGAGAAGGTAGGTGAGAACGGCCATCGAGGTAGATGAAAGCAATATGACAAAGGGACCCATGAATCTTCTCTACGTCGCGTAAATGACAAGGTCGTCCTTCGAAGTCCATGAGAAATTGAAGGATGCGCTGATGGAACTTATTTCTTTTCCCTTCAGGTAAGCTGACCAGTTTCTTGGGAATGTCCCAGAGAAATCCAATGAAGGTCGTCACAAATGAGAAACGTTCATCACCCTTCTCATCGTGCCATGGAATACCCAGAGAAGAGATGTGGCGGAGCATCTCAGACCGGTCATAATCATAACGGAAGTTGCCGTCGATGAACAAACCAGATTCCAAAGGGAATCGAAAGATCTTCAAGTCGTCTTCATATTTTGGAACTGGAAAGACCCCTTCAGCTCTCCAAATATCGACGACAGCATTCGCAATCATACCAGCATTGCTGCTGGCGCAGGCAGCCCCGAATGGGTGATCATGATTAATAAAGAAATCGTCCAATGTTCCTTGGATGACGAGCCAGGGTTTATGAGAAGGAAGAACTGGGCATGTACAATGAAATTTCTTGATATCAAGGGTACATGCCTGCGTTCCAGGAGGCGCATGAGAGATCTGCATGAACAGGAGTGTAAGCAAGAGATGCAGGAAAAGATTATATACAGAGAAAGAGGAGCATGACATGTAACATTAAAAAGAAAGGCAATATACACCACTCATGATAATCAAAGAATCATCATGCACAATGCATGGAAGATGAATCATCATGCTCGGCACATGGAACAGGAGTCATCATGCTTGGCGCATGGAAGATAAATCATCGTGCGCAATGCACAGGAGATGATCATCATGCTCGATGCATGGGAGATGAATCATCGTGCTAATAGCACGGAACAGGAAGATGATAAGGACGATGATAGAGACAATGTCCTGGGTAACTTAAAATACCGCAACGCACGGGAGATGATCATCATGCTCGATGCATGGGAGATGAATCATCGTGCTAATAGCACGGAACAGGAAGATGATAAGGACGATGATAGAGACAATGTCCTGGGTAACTTAAAATACCCAAAGAGCCACTGGGCACAAGACCAGGGCTAGCCGGCGAAAATGTCTCTACGCACAAAATGCAAAGGAGACATGTAATAAAGAAAGAAAGAAAGAAGGGGTGGGAAATAGACAGAATAGGTGGTGACTCACAATGTCAGCGACTTTTGATGCGGTGTCAAACTGCGTAGGGAATTCATCCTTGCGGATGTGCGAATTGACGGATGCGTGGACTTTTGTCGTTTTGGAGAGGTGTTGGCACACCTGCAGCTTGTCGGGCACTCCAGGATTTTGAGGTTGCATGGAGACGATGAGGGAGGATGATTGGAAGGGGCCACGTAAGATTTGTTCAGTGACCTCCCAAGAGAAAGGACCTGACAATCTGCCTGCGGCAAGTTCGTTGTGTGGCCAGTCGGAGACGGTGTCGGGATAAGACAAGATCGAGGGGTTGTTAGGCATGATAATAGTCTGGGAGAGCAGAGGCATATGACTGATAGGGAAGCCGAGGCGCAGATTAGAAGGAAGAAGGGAATAGTTATCAAAAAGGTGGTGCTTGCGCAATAACAACTCAAAAGCGTCAGCATTGTAAGGGTGTAGAATGTGATTGAATAAAAGAGTCTCTGCAGGAGAAGTGTTGAATAAAGGAGGTCGAGTAATGATTGAAGAGGAGAAATCTGAGTAGGAAAGGGGAAGAGACGACGATGCTTGCACAAATGCGTCAATTTGCAGGTCGCGAACGGCAAATCCATGCGAAGGCGTTGTGGTTTTTGCTCCCACAGAAGGAGCAGACGTGGACATGTTCGTCTTTGTGGGAACAGGGGTGTCCACGGTCGCCTCTGAGGTTCCAGCTAATGCATATGATACGGTTGTCGGGGCTGAGGAGATTGCGGTCGGTATACTTCGCCCATACCAACTTGCCGTCACTTTTGAACTTGATGGGTGTGGTGCTGTCTGCGTGTTGGGTCGCGTCGTGACCTCGCTCGGCACAGATGAGGCAGTCGGGCGTCGAGGAGGAAGATCGACTGCTGCCTGATTGAAAGGGCTGGGAGGGACATGACTGGGAGGAGCGAGGGGTGAGTTTCGGGATGAGCTTGTTGGCAATACTGCTGAAAGAGGATTTTGTGGGCACTGATGACGAGATCATGCCATGGATGTCAACCATCATTTCTTGCTGCTTCTCGGATAATTTGTAAGCCTGATAATAGCGGGCTGCATCAAATTCTCCATATTTGGCCCAGTGTTCCTGACGGAATTTTAATTCATCAGCTTTCCATGCATCATAAAGCTCGTCCTTGGTGTCCTGAGAAGTATAGAAACAAAAGTGATCATTGTACCAAGCACTGTGTGCTTCACATGTGCCCTCTTCATCCCGCTCCTTTTGAAAAAGGTACATGTTACCTGCCGCTTCGGTCCACTGGCTACAAGACAAAGATAGTTCCTTGCCGAAACGCGTTGACAGTTTTTCAATATCCAAAATGACGTTACCTTTTGTCTCGCCAGGATTCGGATTAGTCTTCGTCGTAGCTAGAGTAGACGCCTCAACATTTAAGATATTCAGGTTTTTGTTGAGGAAAAAAGGAAGTGGAATGGCAATGCAGAGTTCGGTGTCGAAGAGGTTTTGTGGGAATGTAGCTTGCCATGGGACTCCCACAACCCAGGGAACCATCTTCTTCCCGTTCATGCAATGTCGCTTTGCAATCCTAGCATCTTCTGCTGAGAGTTTCTGTTCGTCAGCAGGTTTCTGTTTCAGCTTTGATTTGATATCTTCATCCGCAATCCATTTAGCTAGTTTGGAGTAGATCAGACCAGGAAAGGAAGCCGCGAAAGAAGGGACACGGAAGCGGTTAAGGTCTATTTCGTCGAGAGAGATAAGAGAAGCCTGTTCAGAACCGGGTTCCTTGTGAACAGTAGGATTAGACGCGTGATTGAAAGATTTCTGAGATCTTTCAGCATTCTCTTCTTCAATTTCTTTATTCATCTGGAGTATGGAGATCAACGGCAAGTTTTTTAGCATTTGAATGATAGCTGGTGATGTGTGAGTGCGAGGGAGACGAGGAGCAGCGGCGAAAGAGTCAGAAGCAGGTGTAGCCGTGGTTTGAGAGCTTTCAGTGGAGCTTTCAGCACTGGAAGCCGTTGTCAGAGGAATGTCGGTCATTGTAATGGTCGGGAAAAGATTGCCAAGGTTCAAAAAATTCGCTGATGAATGAGAGGATCTTTTTACACGTCAGAACGATAAACTGAACGACAAGGAGAATCCAGTCTCCTTGTCTGACATTCAGAGACTTCTAAGTTGTTTGTACTTATGGGTACAAATGCGAGGTTTTGTTCTGACGCTCTAACGTTATCTTATCCGATAATGAGCTTATCACTCGTTCCTCGTGCTCGCTCATCGCGGATTGTGTTGAAGTAAATACGAGCAGTTGAGACGATCGACCATTTTTTGATCAGGTCTTTGGTGATGGGAAAATTCGGCGGAGTTGAAAATTTGGCAGTGGGTTGCCGCTCCCCAAGCCCAGTGAAAATTGACCCTGTGCAGATCGGGTTTCTCCGGATCAAATCGATATATTTGCCAATTTCCGGCCATCTCCCCTGTTCAGATCGGGCTCCACCGATCCATTTGGCCATTTTTTAGGGTCGATTTTCACTGGGGGCCCCAAGTACTGCATCCTGGCAGATGCATACTCCATCCCCTGGTGTTCGGGGTCCTACTTAGGTGTTCGAGGGTTGTCACGCATGTAGATACACATGTTGCATTGTGTTTGTAGATTCCTCAGTTCATACCACCACATCGTTTCGTGTCTACGCGTTCTCTGTGCTTCCTGCGAGTCACTCGGCACCTCTCCATCTGGTGATGAGAGTGGTCTTCGTCTCACCAATGTGGTTTAGGGCTCACCAATTCTGAGTGCCTTTTTTTGCTATGACTTCTGGACAACATCCAATCTGCTCGGGACGCATCCACCCTCTTCCACATAGCAATTGACTCAGTTCTCTTGGGTATCACCACCTACACACTTCCACCAACCTCTCTGTTCATTTCCGACATGTCTTTCACCTGTGTTTACCGTGTTACAGCGACTTTTCGAGCCACCCTGTTGTTTTGAGAGTGTGGGAATCTTTTTCTTTGTAGGCGCTATACTGCTGTTCGAGCTCCCTCCAGCTTCGAGTTCAAGACTTCAACCTGTCCACTGTCCGCTTCCAGTCTCTGAAGGCTCCCTGCGCAGATCCACTGGCGCATCCCCTCGCAATCTCCCCATCCCCCATAAACATCACACATCCACCCGCTTTCTCGATGCACCCGTTCTTTTGACAGCCCACGTCAACCATCTACCCATCCCTTTTCAGATCTTTTTTTAGTGTCCGTGCACGATGCACATGCGTTTTTGCGACTTTGCGTTTTTCTCCCAATGGGGGAAGGTTTGGTCATGGGTTAGGCTTAGTGTATTGAGGTTGTTGTTGAAGTGACGCGGACGTCGCTTTGTTTGGGGGGGGCACATGGAGTACTGCATCCTGGCAGATGCATACTCCATCCCCTGGTGTTCGGGGTCCTACTTAGGTGTTCGAGGGTTGTCACGCATGTTGCATCGTGTTTGTAGATTCCTCAGTTCATACCACCACATCGTTTCGTGTCTACGCGTTCTCTGTGCTTCCTGTGAGTCACTCGGCACCTCTCCACCGACTGTACCATGTAGCATAATGAAATGAACACAGAATGTACTGGGAGGACTACAGCTTCAATAGAGGCCATAAAGGACTAGAAAAACAAATGATATACACTAACTGGGAAAAAAGAATGTCTGGTCATTTTTTGGACAAAGTTGGTGCTGTAACACAAGAACCAAACATTTTCAGAACAAGCTCTGGTATATGAGACATAGCTAAGGAGGTGTAGATTGTACATACCAAGTCTGGGGATGAATGGATGAAAACTCAGGATAAGGCAGAGCATTCACTGTGACAACTTCCAAAAATGGGATTTGACAAAATAGGAAATTCTGAATGACTGCAACCTACTGAAAGCAATTCACAACTTGAGGAAGAGATATTTTGAACACTGGATTTCCCTGCTATTGTTATGAGCTTCATAAAGTCTTTGGGCTAGAAAATTTATATCCTCCCCTAAAAGGTAAATTTGAACTTGTTCTCCACTTTATGTATTTTTCACTCAATATATTTGTTGGAATGAGGAAAAATGACTCCCTATTAATGTTTGTAGTGTGTATAATACAAAAGGTAGGTAGAAATGTTAAAATGACCATTGCATGATGTCTGTAGAAGTTAATTTCCAGAGTTTTTCTGAAAGTAAACAAGTATCTACAACATCGGTCCTTCTTTTCTGCAAGAAGAAAAAATGCTACCACCCTTTTGAGTTAATCCATGGAGACTCAGGATGTCCTTTAAACAACACCTGAAGTATAATATGATAGCAAATAAATTTACACTGGGTATAACTTGAATAGTCCCCAAGAAAAGTACATTTTGCATAGAGCAATCATCCTGGACCAATCCTTGACATTTTTCTTGGTGAATTGGGGCTGAAAATATTTCACAAGGCACTTCTCATACCTAGGAACACTATCCCAAGGAAATAAACAGAGGTCCTATTCATACAAGGATCTGAGACCCCCAGACCTTTCTAGGCCTGATTTGGAAATCTCTCTGTCATGCTTCAGCAAGCTTTGTGGGCCATTTGAGAAGCATCTGTGCCCAAAACTCAAGAGATAGGTAGAAGCACTTGGCATGGACATTTCACAACACCCATATTAACTGTAACCCCTTGGAAGCAGGGTTTCTTGGAACCATATTGACTATATGTCTCTTAATTTTCACAGTTTCTTGAAGTTTTATTAGCCATTAAATGCTTTATTCCTGGCAATGTGGTCAAATCAGATCATGGAACAGTAATAGTTATGTATATGTACAATACTATGACAATAGATACCTTCTCCTATCAATCCTGGGCAATATTTGCAACTGCAAATGTCCAAGGAGGGGAATCAATTCAAATTCACTTTTTTGGGGAGACTATAGAATTTTATATCTCAGAGACTTTATGGGGCTTATGACAATAGCAGGGAGATTGAGTGTTTAAAATATTTCTTCTTCAAATTGTGAATTGCTTCGAGTAGGTTGCAGTCATTCAGAATTTCCCATTTTGTCAAATCCCATTTTTGGAAGTTGTCACAGTGAATGCTCTGCCTTATCCTGAGTTTTCATTCATTCATCCCCAGACTTGGTATGTACAATCTACACCTCCTTAGCTATGTCTCATATACCATAGCTTAGTTCTGAAAATGTTTGGTTCTTGTGTTACAGCACCAACTTAGTCCAAAAAATGACCAGACATTCTTTTTTCCCAGTTAGTGTAAGGTATTCATTCATTTCCTGCCATATATCAATATCAAATTACATTGAAATCAACACTGCATCCTCATTACCAACTCATTACAGTACTAGACTACTTCACAGTAGACCGATGACATGAAAAATATTCAAGAATCTACTGTACGTTGTGTACATTCTATGTATAACAGCAAAAATTGACACTACCATCGAGAGGGAGCCGCCTGCCCTTGATGCAGAGGGCTTTGCAATCTGCCCAGATTGTGGTAGCCGTGTAAATTGTGGGACGATCGGCCTACCTAATCTCGTGTCCTTCGAAAAGGAGAAGACTGTGATGCACTGGACAGTTGCCTTTGCGGAATAGTCCTCAACGGCTTGGAGGATGAGGTCCTCAAATGCAAACAAGCTGGTTGCGAGACCCAGTGGGTAAGTGCATTGCATATGAGAACTGACTGATTTTCAACTCACGTTTCCATCTAAAATGTGTTGAAATGGTGCAAGCGCCCCGGAATTGGGTCTGCGTGGCTTGTGCAGCTTCTGGGAGAGGGCGCAGGTAGTTCAACCTCAGTCGCCTTTAAAAAAAAATCGACCCCGGGTCTTTTTTTTCAATGCCAGCACCCCCTTGTTCAAAAGATGGAAAGTGGGGCAGCAACGCGAGCTTGATATCGACAAGTATCGACATAGGTGCCGGTGAACATTCAAGTTCGCGGGGCCAAACATCCAGCAAATGCCTCCGGCAGCTTCCGCGCAGTTCATCGACATTACTACCCAATTACTAATAGGCTTGTCCCGTGCTAGGCATCATTCCTTTCGCTAGTATCGAATGGTTTTGTCTATGACATTTAATCGTTTCAATTTCTTCTTATTCGCGACTTATGGAGAGAATTGATATCTCTAAGATGCCCATGACAGTGTACCCTTCGGTTCGGACCCCACACGTGAACCTAGACTAATAAAAAGCGTTGGCAGGAGCGATTCCAATTTTCAAACGTTCACGTTCGATCTTCACAATTCAACGTTCAACCTAGCCCAGTCCTAGCTGGGGGGATGTGGAGGCCTTTAAGGTGTTTCTCACAGCATGCTCACTCGTCTCACAGCTTAACAGCATATCCATGCGTTGAATGGGTCTTACAAGGTGGCGTTTTTGCCCTGGGTTACGCTGTATGGCGTTGAAGTACCTCAGCCTGTCGGGAAATTTGCCACGACTGTCAGCGCTGGTACGGTGCTTGGAGCTTCGCCCGTAGGCGTCGCAAATGATGGCGCGACGGTCTACGTTGTAACTGAAGTTCAAAGTTTCACCCAAACTACCCAAACCGTTCTAAGCACGCCCACTACCATCACCTGTGAGTCCTTTTGTGTCATCGTCTTTCCCTTCGATTCTCAAGCCAAGGCGGACTCCACGAAAGTAGAACAGGACATTGCAGTCACGTTCTCTGGAGTAGTGGGTGTTGGACGCGCCTCGTGTTTACTCGATGGAGAGGGCGGTGGGCAGTGTGGTGCAGAGATTATTGCGGATTTGCTGGCGTCAACAACCCTATGACGGTGCTTAGCACGAGGTACACGGGCAAGGCACAACCGTTCTTCACCCTCAACAACGTCCAAACACAGGGTCTGTCGTCCTTGGGTGACTGGAGTTTCTCCGTCCCATCCCCAACGAGCCAGACAACGCCTCGAGCCACAAATTCATCTGGTTTCTATTTCAGGCCTCAGGCAATGTGATTTTTATTTGGACGTTCTACGTGTTGTACGCCTTGTTTTGATGGATAGGGTCATGCCACTCGAACTGCCTCATGGCAGGGATTGAACCCACCATTAGGCGGAGATTTTCAGATGCCTTCCTCTCTCAAAATCGTTCATTTTCAATGAACCCCTGACCTGCTTTCAGAAGATGCCTTCCTCGACGTTACTGACCTCCGGACCTTCTAAAGTCCAGGCACCTTCGATCTCTTGATCATGGACGCCAGTTGCCCTTCGTCGCAGTTGCGTTACTATACGACGTCAAAATCTTCTCCACTTCCTGGGCTGATCTTTCGACTCTTACCTAGGGTCCATAGTCAGAGTCGGACAGTTTTATAGTTGAGTGCGTGGACGACTTGGAGTAGCGTGGAGTGGCTGATATCTACCTCAGAAGATTCAGCCCTTACGTTATTCCTTAATCACAATCGACCACGCCTTTAACACGATAATATGTGAGCTCCGCCTGCTTGTCATCATTTATTGGGAGCGTTCTCAACGTCCAAAGAGTTCATCAGCCTGACTGTTATCTAATCCAAGAGGGTGCATTCCGAGACAAATGTCTTGTAACCGTGACATTATTGAATGCTCCCTCCAAAATGGCCAGAAGATTGCAAAATCTCCTTCCAGCTCAACGACGAGTGCGCCCATCCTCGGGTATTCAAACTCGTAACCGGAACGGTCACACACCCACGGCGATGTTGCTTCCATCCGAGCGGTCAAGATTGTCCGCCACTTCTGCAGGGGCCATTTCTTAGATGCGATGGATGAAGGTGACGAGGAACTGCACCAGCTCGCAGATACGCTATTCAACAAGTTCGGCGTCATCAAGCCTTGGCTAGTCAGTGAAGGGTACCGTCGCGGCACAGGATCATGGGGATACGAGCTTCACAGTGGTGTCAACAGGTGTTTGCACCCACGACCGGTTAATGCTTCGCTTTCCAGTTCCCTGGTCAATTCCTCCAGCAAGACCTGTACGCTTGGGATACATTGGCTTACAACATTGTCAACAGCGCTTCTCGTGCATACTCTGAGGCCCTATCGGCCGTGACTCTGGCCGACGCAACGGATACTCACCAAGAGATCACTACCATCACATGGTATATGGTGGCATCATCGATCCTATGTTCCAAATTGTTCTCATAATGTCTGAGGTGAATCGGTGCTTGACGGAATAGTCAATCCTTCAGGTTGTGCACTCAAACCTGCCAGCTCGCTTCACTTCTCTGCCAGGCTCCGCGATGGAGAAGGGCACTCTGGAGTTAGAAGGTGGCTTGTTGGATGTTTAGGTCACCTGTCCATCTTAGTCGCGGGGTTCGAATTTGCGGAAATATCTACAACTTTGATACAACTTCCACGCTGTTCAATGTGTTCATCGACATTACTACCTCTCGCTCAGGCTTGTGCCATGCTAGACCTTCCCTGAACGTCAAGGACTGACATTCCTTTCGCTAATATTGAATGGCTTTGTCTATGCTTTCAAATGGCTTCGATTTCTTCGCTTCGTGACTCGTGGGGACCTTAAACAATATCTCTACGATGCCCGTGACAGTGTCCCTTTGAGAACATTGACGACGCGTGTGACGCCTAGCTATAACGCTGAGTCAGACCCCAATCTCTTTCAGTGATCGGGATAAGCCCGTGGCTGACATTTCTCCTGTTTTTTATTCCATCCTAGACCCAGTCGAAGTCGAAATATTCTCAGTCTTTTAAGGCGCTGCAATGGGATCGACGACCTCCGGGGATTGCTTCACCAGCCATTGTCATTATCAGATGGAAACCATAGCAAGCACACGCAAAAACCAGTGGCCCGGGTTCAAGGTGGTCTCTGCTGTACTGTTACGCGTTCTCATATCCATAATCTACCTGGCCACGACTTTCCTGTTGGCTCCTCTCTTCATCGAGCGCCTCCCGTCACCTTGGAAGACTTTAGTCGCGGTGGTATGGACTTTCTGCCTGCCGTTCTGCCTCGTAGGCTGGCTCCTCTTCATTCCATCAGACATGTCGCCATCGTCCCCGGTCGCCGTGGCACTATTGTTTTCCTTCTTCTCCTGGGTTTGGTCCGTCGCCCTGATAAGAGATACATTCGGGCTCAATGGTAAGCGAAATCACATAATCGAGACCTCCTTTTTTTGATGAGGCTCGTGCAGGCCCTGTCACGGTTGTCGTGGGCATCATAGTTGTCGTCATGTTCGACTATTGGTTCCGAGGAGTTTTGGAGATGAGTGGGGTGGATCGGTACTTGATTGAATGGCCAATACTCCAGGTTATGTGGAAGATCGTGGAGCCAGCTGTGGGGAACCTACCAGCTCGCTTCACTTTACGGGCATCTCCACCAAGCTCCGCGGCGGAAGAGGACGCTCCGGAGTTAGAACTAGGTTTGTTGGGTGTGGAGGTGTGTAAAATTCCCCCACCGTATTCAGTGAGTGGCGCTTTCCCTACCGCTATGTTGAGCAGTTAGCTGATGGATTATGCGCTGCAGTACGATTATTTACTCATACCTTGAAGGCTTCCGAGTAATAACCTCTCAGGAATATGGACCTGTTTTCATATCATTTGTACTTCTTACTAGTTTATTTTTGTATTTAATTGCATTCCACTGGTGTTGGCTTCCAGGCTTGGTGAATGTCGAACAGGGTCGTCGTTCTCCAATATTTTTTTAAATCACAACCTGGTTGCCGGCATTCCAGTGAGGCGAGATGAATTTGATGGTGGATGATATCCTTCATGAAAAAACCTAACGAGCAAATGGTGTCTTTGCGGACACAACTAGGATCTCGGAATTGTGGATTTGGACCTTCAGCTTGGTTTCTGTTGGTGATCTCGTGTCCCCTCTGAAGGATTGTTAACTCAGAAGGTCAGAGTCTTACATCCACACCCGCATCATGAGCATTTTGTCGTCGTAAAGACATTTACTTGGGTTGCATGCTGGTCAACAAGAGGGAGATTGAGGAGCACTTGCCATCGGTCAAACGACCTAAAGGATTCAAACACCCGAAAACCGGGCGTAAGATCTGATATCTGACGACCTGAGAGCCCGCGATGAAGTGCTCAGATGTCAGAGACGACGATAGCTCCACAAGTCGTCCTGAAAAGCAATCTCGAAAATCAATGCGACTGAGGGACAGTGCAAAAGCAACGCCTGCCTAAACCGGGAGCCTTGAGATTGTTTCTTCAAAGCTCAGCCAAACGGGCTAGAAAGCAAAACTACAATTATATTCCTGACAGTTACTGCTTCTGTCAAACGTCAGGATCTCGAGTAATCTACCAAGACACAACAAACGCTCACGAAAAGAACTACGCCGCCGTCTTTTCCTTCTTCTCCAGGACCTCCACCCACTTTCTCGGGAACCAACCCTCCCTACCTTCCCTCGTACGACCCTTCCACCACTCCCCATCCACGTCCAACCTAGGGTCAACCTCCGCTCCCGTTCTCGGGTCAAGTTTACCCATAATCGCCACAATCTCATTCTCCTTGAGCGCAAGCTCCGTCTGATTCGATGGCACAAAGGGGTATAGTGCGCGTGCGAATGTGAGTGATGATGGATCGAGCGGGGGTAGTGCTTGGCCCGGGAGCATGCCGCCATTTTGCGCTCGTGCGCGTTCGGAGAGGATTTTGACGAGTTTGTGCATGGCGTATGGGATCCCGAATATGGCGAGGAGGAAGATGATGAGGGGCTTTTTGCTTGGTTTTGTGTGTTGAGGGCCGGGAAGGGGGCCTTGAACTGGTCGTCCGTTGATGAATTCTCGGAAATCGTGGTGGTTGATGCCGTTGTTTAGAGACGGACTTGAACGACCGGTAAGGGTGTCCTTCATCCACCGAAGGAGGCCGAACAACCCCAAGACGCTTCCTAGTGCGTTGCGGAGCTGTCCAAATTGGTCGATAACCCCGACCATGGCGAAGAAGGACGAATGGGTCGCCATGAATGTGGATTCGAGCATCTGAGCGACTCCAGAGAAGGTTTGCACAATGGAATGGATGAGGGCAAAGGTGTGTTGGGTTGTGGATTCGAGGGTTTGGGTGAGGGAGGGTTGGCCGTCGGGGCCTAGGGGCAGACCGTTGGGTCCTATCATGCCGCCGCCCATACCCATTCCTCCCATTCCGTACCCTCCGTAGCCCATGCTACCCATGCCCCCGTATGACCCCATACCTCCGTATGACCCCATGCCCCCGTATGAGCCTATGCCGCCGTACCCACCGTAAGTCCCCATGCCGCCGTAGCTGCCGTAGGTGGAAGCACCCATCCCACCATATGATCCGAGGCCCCCGTAGCCTGCAGTGCCGTATGTCGTCCCGAGTCGTGAGTAGGGTGATGCGCCGTACGCAGAGTAGGGCGTTGTCATCTGTGATTGTGGGGATGTAAAAGATGCAGGTCGATCGGGGACGGCTGGCGATTGCGTTGATGTTGTTACAGGCTGGGCTGGGGTTGAGGTAGAAGCTGGCGAAGGCGATGGAGATGGCAGTGAGCCATTCAGTGAGCCATTCAGTGAGCCATTCAGTGAGCCATTCAGTGAGCCATTTCTTTCCCAAGGTTTTGGAGGCGAAGCCATGGTTGTGATAGTTAGTAAGGAGAGACAGGAAATAACACAACCGGTAATTGCCGAATAAACTCAAAACTTCCTCTTGCCACCAAAATGGCTCAACAGCGAATGGCAATCTGGGCTGCAGAGGCTGATCTTGACGAGGATGTTGATCTTTCGCTGGCTATCGGAAACTATGGTCAGAACGACCACTACGAGGACTGTATGTGGATCGCAACTTTCATACTTTTGTTGACGTTGATATCGTCTCCTTGCAGCACCTATCCCACAACCTCAAATCGATGAATCCACGCTCATAGCTATGCAGCAGCACATGGCACAGCAGGCCGCCTTTTCCCAGATTCCTGATGTCGTCAAAGGGGTGCGTTCACCCTCCATTTCTTCGTATTCGCATCTCATCGGTTCAACAAGTTTATCGTTCACTTCCACCAAGCTGTTCTGGAAAATAACCTCGCAGAGATTACCGTCGCATATGAGAGCGGATGGAACAAATATACTGAACAATTCTACTCGAGAACGGAATGGCCAGAGGCAGAGTTGATTGCTCCCCTCGTCAATGACGGTGCGTCTCGATTCTATGTTGAAGCATAGGAAAAACCACTTACAAATTTTAGATCCCATATTCCTTATCCTCTACCGCGAACTTTATTACCGCCACGTCTACTCACGCCTCCAACCTAACATCGACGATCGCTTCCATTCATACGAAAACAGCTGCGAGCTCTTCAACTACCTCTTAAGTCCGTATACGTCTTTGCCCACTTCGTCTCGGTCTCACCTGTCTTTTCAGACTCCGAGGGCCCAGTTCAACTTGAATTGCCTGAACAATGGCTTTGGGATATCATTGACGAATTTATTTACCAATATCAAGTCTTCTGCACCTGGCGCTCAAAAGTCAAGTCAAAAACAGACGACGAACTCCAGATGTTGGCAGAGGGTGGCCCAGTTAGTACCCTTTCTATAACCTCTGCTCATCATTTACCTAGGAACATAGGTCTGGAGCTCTTACAGCGTCCTCAACGTCCTATACTCACTCATGCAGAAATCCAAAATTAACGAGTATATCGTTGCACAAAGAGAGGGTAAATCCCCAGAAGAAATTGCGTCAGTCCCTCTCCCTCTTTCCATTCAAACTTTTCTGATTTCGTTGATAGCGAGATCGTTGGCGAGTACGGCCAACGACCGTTATACCGGATGTTGGGTTATTTCAGCATCATTGGCCTTCTCCGCGTGCACGTCCTCCTTGGAGACTATACCCTTGCACTGAAGGTCATGGAGAATGTTGAACTCAACCAAAAGGTGCTCCTCATAATCGTTATCCTTGTATGATTTTTCTGACTGATTGATATGATAGTCACCTTTCACCCGTGTGACAGCTTGCCATGTCGCCACATACTACTACGTTGGATTCTGCTACATCATGCTCCGCCGTTACCCCGATGCCATTCGCACATACGTGACGATCTTGAACTTCATCATGCGCATGCGACAATACCATACCAGGAGTTACCAGTACGATCAGGTATGCCTTCTTGATTTCAATTTGGATTTGGAGAGATGTTCATATCTTGAATAGATCAGCAAGACTGCTGATAGGATGTATGCGTTGTTCGCTGTATGCCATGCCCTTTCGCCCAGCAGGTTAGATGACAACATTGCCAATACAGCCAAGGAACGGTATGGGGAACAATATGCGAAAATGATACGCGGAGGGTAGGCACTTTTGTCTTCTTCAATTCTCTTATTCACTAAAGCTGAACGACCTGCCATTTAGCGAGGAAGCTCTCCCCGCATATGAAGAACTCTTCCTCTACGCATGCCCAAAGTTCATCACTGCAAACCCACCGCCGTACGACAACCCCATCGCAATGAACGCCTTCCTATCCCTGACCTCCCCGCTCGAATCCCCAACGTCCGCCCAGCCCTCCTCGACAGACGCAACCCACCGCCACCTAAGCCTCTTCCTCGCAGACGTCGCGGCGCAGTCGCCCGTACCTACGCTGAGGAGCTTCTTGAAGCTGTACACGAGCCTGGGGGCAAAGAAGCTCGCAAATTTCTTGGATGCGGACGAGGAGGAGATGGTGCAGGAGATGATGGTTGTTAAGCAGGCTAGTAGGAGTGTGAGCCGCGCTGGGACGGAGGGGACGGGGTTGTTGGATGGGCAGACGATTACGACGAGTGATTTGAATTTTGTTATTGATGAGGTAAGCTTTCTCCCTTCCCTTCCCCTCTTACGGCCTTTCTAATGGTATTTGATGATAGAATATGGTGCATATCGTTGAATCGACGGTGGGCAGACGGTATGCGGGGTGGTTCATTAAGAATACGGAGAGGACGCAGAAGATCTTTGATGATCTCCGGAGCATGCCTCTGCCAACCCCGCCAAAGTCTGCTGTGGCTGCTGCGCAGACTGCTCAAGCGACGGGCGCGGATAAACAGAAAGGGACGAGGACGGGCGGTCAGAAGGTTGCTTGGGGTGGTGTCAAGGTTGCTTGATTGGACCGTTCATGTTTAAGACCTTTGTGCAATGCTACTTGCTATGAACATTGCTTCATTTCATTGTGTTGTGTTCTATGAGAACTGGGCAAAGGGACTGCATGTCTGGCGGGTTGCTGCCTCTTCGTCTCCGACAGTACGAGAGTCATACGATTGCATTAAGACATAAGATAATGAATAAAGCCATACAAGGTGTACAAGTAAGGATGGGATGAACTCAAAAAAAAGTTGCGAAGCTAGGGGACGACTCGCGAGTCCTGTTGAAAAAAACGAATGTGAGATGACTGAACGTTAGCCATCGTTATAGGACGGACTCGGGTCTTGATAAATAGGGATGGGAAAAGGGTCAATGGTCCGCCAGACGGATGAGGTGGAAAAAACGAAACAGTGAATATGCAGCAAAACGAAGGTTACGATAACATAGACGACGACAGTAAAATGATGGTGGGTACGAGGATGTGCGAGTGGTGTTGTCTATTAGCGAGGAAGGGAGGGTAAAGAGGGCATAGGAATAAAAAGACGAATATAGATAGATACCGACGAGGGGCAACGAAGGGGTACAGCAGTCGATTATTTCACTTGGAGGTCTTTTAACCCCCTTGTCGAATTTGTCCGATATTGCGTGAAGGACCTTTTGGTGTGAACCATGATACAATAGTAGACCTCCATTTTGCGCACTAGGTGAACAGTATAGGCAGGCCGGTGGAACATCTGCAGGATTGGTGTCAGGCTTAATTCATGCGGTGGAATACGATGCTATACTTCGTGATCTCCCCCTCGGACCCCACGTCGGCTCAATTATATTAGGGAACTCCAACCCCTCAGCAACATTTCCCCCATGACCGCTGTGGAGACCTCGCCACCTCACTATACATCAACGTATATCAAAATGGGTTCGCCAACGCCCTCAATCTCGGGAATGACGCATTTGAGGTCAAAGGCTTTTGCGAGGACGATCTTGAATATCTTTTGCACGTTTATTGATGCAGAGGTGGAACAGAATATTAATGATGCGTGCATAGCTCGCGCGAATCGTTTTGCCTGGGTGAAAAATGAGGTTGGGTAGGCGGAGGGTCAAAAAAGGTTTCGCACCTGCTTCGTTATTTCCTCTTGTTCATCTCGAGGAAATGTAGCAAATTGATCAAACTTCGTGCCGATTAGAAAAGGAATCGCAGTCTAGAAAAAAAAGGTGATCAACTTTTTGGGAAAATGACAGCTGTATGGAAGCAATTCTGAAACCAGCTCGTCGATGAAATCCAAACGTCAGGACTCGGTATCCGTTCAAGTCGATGCATTGCACAAAAATGGGGATGGAACAGATACGAACCTTGTTGAATCCTCGTGCCTGCCGATACCACTCCTTCACAGAATTTAGTGTTGATTTCCGTGATAAATCAAACATGAAAAGGATTGCCACAGCGTCATTGCAGACAAGTGGTAGCATGTTGACGAACTCGCGTTGACCGCCCAGATCCCAAATTGAAAACGTGATTGTCGTTCTTCGGACGGAAATGGTCTTTTCCATAAAATTGACGCCTGGTCAAGGAGTATGATCAAGGCGATGAAAAGGTAGACGGGGGGAGAAAAGAGTTACCCAGCGTCTGGATATAATCCTCATCGAAACTTCCTTCCACGTACTTCACCATCAGACTAGTCTTCCCTATCTGCGAATCTCCCACCATACCCACTTTGATGACGACACTGGAAAATAGATGAGGGAATATCAAGCGAGCCTGACGAATGGGTCTAACCTGTTCTTCTCGTCATTATTTTCAAGGAGTGGATGGGGATTTTGTCCTGAGGGTGGCGTTGAAGTCGACGAAGAAGCGGAGGTGGACATGATCTAACTGATCAGTAACGATGGCTATATCACAACGCGTTGATGCCAGTGCAGGGCTTTGGGGTATCGGAGGGCGGGGAATGATGGGTATATGGAAGTAAGGTGAAAGAACCAGCGAAGAAGTGGAAATTAGGAAATGAAGGACGCGTTCCGAGTTAGACTGGCTGTTGTCTGCAATTGTTGGGAGAGACACCCAGCAAAGAGGGGTTCCACACGTGCAAGAACTAACTTTTGCCGTCGTCGTCGTCGTCAACAGCGAACCAGGCAAGAACAGGAAACGGAAACAACGTGAATACCAAACGTTGACAACAAACAGTCACGTCGATAACTACACACAAACAACCATCTCGCGTTGGCGCCCAGGGCATTGGACAGCACTCTCTCACAGTACGAAAGGAAAAAACAATAATATGGAGTCAGTGGCTAATTGCGTCTGCAGCAACTCGTTTATTTAACAGCTCTGTCTTCCTAGGCCCCCAGCAGTCTCATTATCACAACAATGACTGTCTTCGCCGAAGAACCGCTCGACTCACCTGCAGGTTATCTTCCAGGCTATCCTGGTATGATTTTACAGTTCGGAAAATGGACAATCATTCGCAAACTAGGGTGGGGAGAACGATCTTCCGTTTGGCTCGTCCATAACACATCCCAACCACTTGAATTCCGTGCGATCAAGGTTTTGACCGTCACCGAGTCCAAAGGCGCAACAGCGTTGAACGAACTTCGGATCCAACGCTTGATGGAAGTCAGAACTGCTGAGGTCGACATAGTCAGGCTCCAAGATTCCTTCCAAGAAGGTGATCATCTATGCCTCGTCTTCGATCCGCATGGAATCACCGTTGAGCAACTGCGGAAATCCAATGTTGACGGTGGATACCTAGCCGTCCATTTGGCAAAGCAGATTGCTTCCTGGACGCTGGCGGCTTTGTTATCGTTTCAGGAGCCCAATTTGGTCCATGGAGGTCGGTGCTTGTATTAGGGCTCTGTGGATTTGAAGGACTGATGCGTGTGGTCTAGCCATTGCCGCTGACCACATTGTTATAGGAGAACTCGATCAAGAATACATCGCAGCGGCAGTTGAATACCTGACATCAAACGGCGTATCGTATCCGTTGGTCAAATCCCAGCCTATCGACCCCAAAGGTTGGTATACGACATGGAACGAGGCGGCTACAGACTTTGCTGGAAAATCCCTCTATCTCCTCAATATGGGGCACAGTAAGACTTGAATTTCTCTTTCTACCGAACGCAATACACATTATTGTCTCAGCTACTCAGAACTCCGATGTATCGAAAACGATGACATCATCAAAGAGTGTCCCGCTCGCTCCAGAGGTGCTTCGTGGGCAGTCTGTGGGCCCAGGCTCAGATGTCTGGCAACTTGGCTGGATGGTACGCTGCAAATCTTTCTTGATTCTTTGCGTCTGCAAGATTAGACTCACGTTTTGTTCACTCTCAGACCTTCTGCCTCATATCTGGAAAGCCACTTCTGGATCAGGAATCCTACACCAAATCACCGATCGAAAGCCTAAACCGATCCCTGGAAGCTCCGGGCCTGGAAAACCGTCTTTTGCATAATACAACTCTCGCCAAGGAGGACTTGGAGGCCACTGCATCACTTTTACGCTCGCTCTTGGCTGCTGATCCCTTGCTAAGGCCCAGTCCCAACGACCTGCTCGAGATCAAGTGGATGCAACAAGGTGATATATGCACGTGTGGGTGGTGCCAAGCCGACATGGACGTTGTCGAGAATTAGTAAACTCAGCGGTGCGAAAAACTGAAGGTATTAGGTTCACGAGGGCTGGTATTAAGTCGAGTATCTGTGCGACGCCCTGCTATCAGAATCGAAGAGACAGATTCGAGTCAAGCGTGCAAATTTGACATTGTGACCCAGAATCCAAGGTCGCATTCCCTTGCGGCTGAGCCGAAGATACTAGCCCTAGTCGAATATAGACTTCGATATATCCCTGTAAGCTGGCGCTTCCACTGAGTCTCCAGAGCAAGAACAGGAAACGGAAACAACGTGACTCGGAATACCAAACGTTGACAACAAACAGTCGCGTCGATAACTTCACACAAACAACCATTTCAACACAATCCTTTACGCGTTGGCGCCCAGGGCATAATTATAAGGAAAACTACCAAGTAGTTCGAGCTACCGCTGGATTGAGGTGCGACGAACGGGCCAACTTCAAGTTTCAGGAATCCCGTTCAGGCATACAGGATACCGCATCACCTTCGTTGTTGATCCTCGCTAACCAATCTTTCTGCCAAAACTCATGAGCTTCGGGATACACATCCGCCACGACCCTAGCGTATTCGCCGACACCTTCCTTATAGTTTTCTCCAAATAATTCCTTCTTTATGGAGCGTGACGGTAAATACATTGCAGAGGGCGCATGTAACAAGATCTTTGTCAGCGTTGTCGGGAGGAATGGTAACATTTTCCTGCGATAGATATAAGTTGCATGATGGATGATAGGCGAATAGTTTTAAATACCGTATGAGGGTGTCATTCATGTGAAGACACATTAATGATGGCGCCATCTCTATAAAAGAGCTTTCGGGTTCTTCAAGATAACCTTCAATTTGAAGTCGTCTAAGAGATGGAAAAACGGTGGGAGGGCCCGACCACACTAACTTGTTAGTTTCATAAGATCGACCCCAAGACATTTTTCTGAAAATTGAGAGATCTCGAAGGACGGGCAACTCGGGAAGCATGACTTCCAAAAGGCAGTACTCATGCATCGACCAATGTATAGTGAGGTTTTCCAGAGACTGGGCCGCCGCTTCGAGAATGCGACGAAGAGCGGCAAGGATTGTGTATTGGAAGCGATCAAGGGAAGAGAGAGAAACTTTAAGCCAGTCAAGATTCGCAAGACTCGTCACTTGTAGAGTTGAAGATGGCATGCTGGCCAATTCCTCCACCTCTTGCGCCAATTCCGCTTCCTCTTCAGCGGTTAGCTCGTAAAAACTGCCACTATCAGACTCGGATATGGCGGAGTCGCTTCCATTTGTTTCAGAGTCTGTTTCCTCAGCTTCCGTACAGGCCTCGGAAGTGCTCTCCTCCCATGTAAGATCTTCGGAGCCGCTCTGCGACTCCTCATCTGTGTCATCGGAGTCTTTTGCATACGTTTCCTCTGAGTAGACGTATGCCATCGGATCGGGACAGTGGACAAAAAGGTTCCTGATGTGTCTAAACTCGGGGGGAAGCGATGATATTGTAGATTCGAACGCGGTAATTTGGTTGCAACCCGTGAGCGCGATGCTTTGATATCGATATGGTTTGGAGTATATGTTTATTAACCGCGAGACTTGGGAAAGGGCGATGGCGGTGTTTCCGTCGTCTCTGCATGCCATGGAGAAGATGACTGCCCATACCTCTGGGGGACATTCCTTAGCCATATCACGGTCGGCGTGGTCGTGCAGAAGGGGAAGGAGTTACATAGATAGATAGATCGATAGATATATTCCGGAGCGGTGCCAACGAGGAACAACCGTGTTTGTAAAAGTAAGGGACAGACTGTGCGTGGGACCCATGAAAGCAGAGGCAGGTGGCTCCAAGGTGGCTCAATAATTCTCGAGTTCGACCGGTCACAGATCAGGGTAAGAGCAAGGTAAGAGGCTCGAAGACTCAGTGAGGTACGTTTCTCATCTAACTGGCATTTGGTGCTATTACATTGGACAGCACAGTGGCTAATTGGGTTTGCAGCGACAGGCAGCGACTCGTTTATTTAACAGCTCGTTTTTTCCAGCTTGTCTTCTTTTTGCTGGCCGCAAGGTCCGCCCTCGTCAAGTGCAGCCGACTGAACTTAACTCGAGATTATTTGTTTTAATAGCACCCATGAATCATGAATCGGGTCGTCCTGAGGTCTGTTTACCCATCCCAACCCATGTCTTTGTGAGGTTCAAATTGGACCCCTGTGGCTAGTTGATATCGAATCGCTTGGAATGACCCAGAGGAATGAGTACAGAAGGAAATCGGATTGACCCATAAATGATTGTTCAACTTTCAATGAACTCCAAATATCAACATGCATCGTTTCAGGTGAGTTTATTCCCCAGTGAAGAAGCAAGTTCTAACGACAGGTCTCATTGATGGACAGTACCAGCAACCCGATGTGATTCCGCGTAATGAATTCATCAGCCTGCGAGAACGTCGACACGCACAGAATGTTGTATCCCTCGTGACAGAGGTATTAACTCCAGACTAAAGTCACAAAGGAGTGAGTGATAAAGGGTTCTTGATCATCGTGCCTCTGCGCTTCTTACCCTTACATCAAAGTTGGCCAACTTCCACACCTGAGTGTCAAGGATCGACCGACAATCGTGAAAACTCGTCTCGATCTGGGGTGAGTTGCTTTTCAAGCAAAATTCATCTTCTAAAAACGAGGGAAATATCAGCAGCCCGATGTGATATGTCCACTGTCATGATTTGACAGAATCAGCACAGACACGATCGGATGGCACAATGTGACAAGACGATATGACTGCGTCGGATAGGTTCGGCGACGTGTAGAGCAATTAATCAATGCCCCTTGAAAGAGAAAACCCTTCAATCGATCTCAGGTGAGTTACAGCAGCTCAAAGGCAAACTCAACCGACATTGTTCCAAACATAAAGTGAGAGTCAAGTCCTCCATGACCCATTCATTGGCACAGATGACCTCGCGCCAACGACTCGATACATTTTCGCCATTCACGGATTCGACCTCGACAGACAGTCACGGTTGTTCCCACCTGTCAAATGTCGCAATCGGCAATTGCGGTTGTACGTCGACATTGTGGGGAATTCTGGGGTAATGTCTAAAGGAGTGTTTGTCCCCTGGAATATTCGAAAGAAGGCCTGTTCGTTGGGAAAGAAGGGTACCATCGTCTGGCGTGATTCGAGGCGCGCCACGCAGGTGCCGCAGATCATGATGGTGATTATCTGGTGTGAAATTGACAATCAAGTGAACGATGATTGGTTGGGTGCATCGGAGGGCGTACGATGACCGCAGCTCGAGATTTTTTTCTCTGGGTGAAACGTTCGGAGTAAAGCAGCATGAGAGGGTTCAGGTGAGGAAAGGCTCAAGAGCTGACGCAGCTGGCTATAAATCTGGCTTTGGTTGGGTGCTCACGAGGTCACAGATGTTCACGCGCTCGTACAATCAGAGGCGATTAGGCACAATTTGTAGGATCAGGTATGGTCGAGAACGAATTTTAAAATACAGAATATAAGCTTTGAGCGATATCGATCATACGGTTATCTAAATCGGTCGTTATCTAATCTTAATCTTAAAATCGCTCTCTCTGGATGGAAAATGCGCGGTTTTGCTAGAGTACAGAGAACATACACTATTGCAGAAGAATACAAATGTGGTCAAGAAAACATACGGGACGCGAGGTGCCCCACCCAACGAATCACAGCGGACAAATCGGTCATGCAGAGTCAGTTGATCTTCAGTAGCTCAACCTCAAATTTGAGCGGCGAATTTGGCGGTATCACCGGTGGGAAGCCGCGAGAACCATACGCCTATAGGCCAGTCAGTAAAGGACGCGACTCATATGAACAAGATCGCGTGTTAAACACGTACATAGTCGGGGGTAGCGGTGAGAATGGCCTTTTGACCCAGTGATAGTTGGGGAACGCCTGATCCCCACGATAATCAGCAAACGCATAGCGTTTAGAGAGGTGCGACTAACCCTCGTCCCAGCCCCTGATCACCTTACCGACACCAATTTCTGTCTCGAACGGGGATCCTCTGGTGCGGAGATGATCAGAAATGAGTGATTGGACATCAAGGACGCGACGCTCACCGATCCCGACTCGAGTCAAACACACTACCATCCAGAAGAGTACCGATGTAGTGAATTTGTACCTTATCTGCAAGAAAAGCGCTGGGATCTTAGTAGATGGTTCGTCGCGCGAACTGACGGTAATTACGCACCACCTTTCTTAGGGAACGTTTTACCGTCGCCGGGAGAGATAGATTCTACAGTGACACCCTGCGACAGAGAACGGTGAGTGATATGGTATACGGATTGACGACATGACTGACCATGATGTAAATTGGTATGAAGAACAGGATAGAAAATGGTCACTACTGTAGCAGAGACACTTATAGGGGCGGGGCACGGATCTTGATCCGATAGATTTGGTGTTATCCGGGGTTTTCCCTCCCGAAATCTAGTCAAAATCTAGATGAAATAAGCTGAAATCTAGCTGTCCTTATCGATCGAATAACATACACAGGGTTACGAATCGCAAGGTACGATTGCGTACGATAGGCTACGATACGATGTGCGTGTACCAAATGCGCACACACACACGTGAACTCGTGACTTTGATAGTAACGCGTGACTCACCCAAATTTGCCATGAACTCCAACGATCTCTTCTCGTTTCTCGAGGAAGAAACTGTTCAAGATGAGCAAGACGACATGGTCGTCGACCAACCCACCCACAAACGAAAAGCGGATCAACCTCTCGACGATTCTCTGCCAAACGACCCTGGTCCATCCTCACCCAAGAGGCCCCGTATGGCTTCCCCAGCTCCCGTTGTACTTGATGATTTCGAGACCGAAGCGAAGCGAGAAGTCGCTGCCAGTGCCGGGTTGACTGGTGCGGTAGAGGCAGGCACACGCCTTGAGCTAAAGCATCAGGTCCGTGCCAATATTTAACTTTTTAATTGCATTCCATAATTCCAAATAGGTACGACACCAAGTCGCCGTTCCTCCGGGGTATGATTACACTCCCATATCAAAACACACGCCGCCTACGAAGCCGGATCGCGAGTACAAGTTCGAACTCGATCCATTCCAAAAGGTCTCTGTCTACGCCATACAACGAAACGAGAGTGTGCTTGTATCAGCACATACTAGTGCCGGAAAAACTGTCGTAGCAGAATACGCCATCGCTCAATGTCTCAATAGAAAACAGAGAGTCATTTATACAAGTCCCATCAAGGTTCCATTTTTTGCTTGTGTGTTGAACAAAGTGACGAATATTCACGTTAAGACTTTAGGCTTTGAGCAACCAGAAGTATCGCGAAATGTTGGCAGAATTCGGTGACGTCGGTCTTATGACCGGTGATGTGACCATAAATCCAACTGCGAGTTGTCTAGTCATGACTACAGAGGTACATGGTGCTTTTATAACGGCCCTCTACGTTTCTGACCCAAAGTTTATGAAAAAAAGATTTTACGATCTATGCTCTACCGAGGCTCTGAAATCATGCGCGAGGTAGCCTGGGTCATCTTTGACGAAATTCATTACATGCGAGACAAAGAAAGAGGTGTTGTCTGGGAAGAAACCATCATCCTTCTGCCCCACTCTGTCCGCTACGTCTTTCTATCCGCCACAATCCCCAATGCCATGCAGTTTGCGGAGTGGATATGCAAGTCCCATGAACAACCTTGTCACGTCGTTTACACAGACTTCCGACCCACGCCTCTCCAACATTACTTGTTCCCTGCTGGTGGCGAGGGCATATACCTTGTGGTGAATGAGAAGGGCGAGTTCCGAGAGGATAACTTTAGCAAAGCAATGGGAAAACTTCAGGACAACATGGGAGACGACCCCGCCGATTCACGCGCTGGCAAGGGCAAAAAAGGAAAGATCAAAAAAGGCGGTGATAAAAAAGGTTTATATCTTGGTCATGTCATCTTTCCAGTTTATTTATCGCCCTCCAGGACCTTCTGATATCTCCAAGATTATCAAGATGATCATGTTGAAGAACTACAACCCCGTTATCGTTTTCTCGTTTAGCAAGAGGGAGTGCGAAGGCCTTGCGCTTACCATGTCAAAGTTCGAATTCACAAGTACAGACGAACAGGACCTCGTTACGAATATCTTCAACAACGCCATCGAAAATCTTGCGGAAGCTGACAGGCAATTGCCTCAAATCTCAAACTTGCTCCCTTTACTTCGGCGGGGCATCGGGATCCATCATGGTGGCTTGCTTCCGATTCTCAAAGAGGTGATAGAGATTCTGTTCCAAGAGGGCCTTATCAAGGTCCTGTTTGCAACTGAGACGTTCTCCATCGGTCTGAACATGCCCGCCAAAACTGTCGTCTTCACAGCTGCTCGCAAGTTTGACGGCCGAGAGTTTAGGAACTTGTCCTCGGGGGAATACATCCAAATGTCAGGACGTGCAGGTCGACGTGGTTTGGATGACCGAGGTGTAGTTATCATGATGTGCGATGAGAAACTAGACCCTGCTGCCGCGAAGGGCATGGTAAAGGGAGAAGCTGATAGGCTCGATTCAGCGTTCCACCTTGGGTACAATATGGTGTTGAACTTGATGAAAGTGGAGGGTATCAGCCCAGAGTACATGCTGGAGCGGTGTTTCTTCCAGTTTCAGAGCAGTGCTGGGATACCTAAACTCGAAGATGGTATGAGAAGGCATTCTTCATCAGTCACATCGCTTACGATCCGTATGAATTGGCAGAGCTGAAAGTGGAGGAGGAAGAGCGCAGCAGGGTGGTCATACCTGACGAAGAACTTGTTTCGCAGTACTATGATTACCGACAACAGCTGGACCAAATGGCCGCTGACTTTCGCGAGGTCGTCACCCATCCGGAGTACTCGATACCCCACCTCAAACCTGGTCGTTTGGTGAAAGTAAAATACCAGAAACTCGACTTTGGATGGGGTATCGCCGTGAACTGGCAAAAGCGAACTGACGCAAAGGTGAGTGATGCAAAGGATCAATATCTGATAGTCTGACAGACGTTGGTGTAGGGTCGGGGAGGTCCTAAAACGGAGACTTTACCGGCGCACGAACAATACGTCGTTGACGTCCTGTTAAACTGTGCTCCTGGGGGTTCTGTCCCTAAAGATCGTAATGTCACCGCCGCCACCCCAGGTGGCATTCAGCCCTGTGCCCCAGGACAAAAGGGCGTTCCTCTTGTCGTTCCAGTCCTACTTTCGACAATTGAAGGTATCAGCCACCTACGGATATACCTGCCGAAAGATTTGCGTCCAGATGCAGGCAGGGAAACGGCTTGGAAGAGTTTATTGGAGGTGCAGCGGAGGTTCCCTGACGGAATTGCGCTTCTTGATCCTATTGAGAACATGGGTATAAAGGACAGCAAGTTCTTGGACTTGGTTAAGGTGAGGGAGTTGTTTTTTGTATGTCCAGGGTGCATACTGAAGTACTTGCGTTCCAGAAAATCGACATCATGGAGAAAAAGATGTTCTCAAGCCCGCTCCACAAGGACCCACGGCTTCCAGAGCTCTACACCCTCTACGCCAAGAAAAAGGAGAGCCAGGAGCGCATCAGGTCTTTGAAGAAGCGTATACAGGCTACGTACGACGTGCTGCAACTCGAAGAGCTCAAGTGCAGGAAACGGGTCCTGCGTCGGTTGGCGTTCACAACGTCCGCTGATATAGTGGACATGAAGGGACGCGTTGCATGTGAAATTAGTTCAGGGGATGAACTGCTTTTGACAGAGTTAATATTCAATGGCGTTTTCAACCCGTTGACTCCTGAACAGTGTGCGGCGCTGCTGAGTTGTTTTGTGTTTACTGAGAAGGTGCGTCGTCCGGTTTTGCTATGGCGAGACCTCATATCGATTCATCCTGCATTCTTGCCTCGTAGAGTGAACAAGCAACGAAATTGAAAGAAGAGCTTGCTGCGCCTCTCCGAGTCATGCAAGAGATCGCGAGGCGGATAGCGAAGGTATCCAAGGAATCCAAACTTGCTGTCGATGAAGACGAATACGTGTCCTCGTTCAAGGTGGAGTTGATGGATGCAGTGGTCCAATGGTGTCGTGGGGCCTCGTTTTCGGAGGTTTGCAAGGTTTGTCCGCTTCTAGCTGTCTCGTCCTCTCATCATTTTGGCTGATACTATTGCTTTGAAGTTGACGGACCAATTTGAGGGAAGCTTGATTCGCGTGTTCCGCCGTCTAAGCGAGCTTCTCCGACAAATGACTCAAGCGGCCAAGGTCATCGGGAACGCTGAGCTGAAGGAAAAATTTGAAAAAGCGTCAGAGATGCTGGAACGGCCAAATTCCGTTATTTTCTGTTCATCATTGTATCTTTAAGATCTCTTGTTGGCATTTATCCTTCTGACGACTGTTTTGGGATTTCCGAATGGCTGATCGCCCAACCTAGCGTCAAGGGATTACCATTACATTGACTTTACAGCAACAAGATTCTGCATTAAAGCATACACACAGCGCCCATTGCGCCGACTTACTGTTCCGACCACGAGCTTTCCTGGTTGAGCACGTTGAACCCAAGGTTGGCTCGGAACCTGTCCAGAGCACTGTCGGGCTTTTTTGTATCTTCCTTCCGACAATACTGAGAGAATGGTTTGTGTGCATTGCACGACCCCAAACTTTGCTCATGTCCCACCAAACATAGTCTCTCTCGTAGACAGACATCGATATCATGTGAAGTCGTAGCTTAGTTCACGATAATATGAACGCCAAACAAGCAGCTTCTGGGGCCGAAATTTGATCCTTCCGTTCATGTTATGGACATTCATTTCGTCAAGATAAATTGATCTTGGTCGACACCTTCCTGAGAAATAGTTATTCTCTTCCCCTTTATCACCACAAAAGTGAGAGGTGTCGTCACCTTTGCTAGTCACTACCACGTAGTAGCTGCGAAGTACGTACCAACTCGTTTACGCCTCCGCAACAACGTTGATCCTTATGATCGTAAGTTGAAGGCCCAGTCGATACCTGCGAGTTTAGTGTCAAATTTACGGCAACACAGTACACTATGCCATACTTGCTAGCTGCATTTCAATGGAAATGGGTATCACTATTTGGAAAGATCAGCTTTTGGTTTGAAATAGCCCAGAGGTATGAAACACACAGATTCAGAGTTTTGCATCCACTACTGCACCTTCGTTTTACTAGCCTTCGCACGCAACTCTTCCGCCTCTGCTTGCCTCTGTCGTTCTGCAGCGATCAATTCAAGGGTACCCTTCAGTAGATGGAGAGTGCAAGGATATCGCCTAAAGCATTTCAGGTGACATGTCCGAGTGCTTTTTTCGTTCAAGTTGATCGCTATCATCGCTTGTATGCGGGGGGTCGGTGGTATCGGTATTGACTTGTGGCATTGAAACGTTGTTGCATCAATTCCTTGATTTGTCCACCGCCCCAGTCGGTAGCCAGCAACGCCATACATGTAATCCAGGATGATGGTGGTTGGACACGGTGTGCCTGTGCCTCTCATGTATGCATCAAATCGCGGTACTTATAGTTGGTAAAAGGCTTACCAGGCTATCCACCATTTCAAAATGCTGCAGGGTGATACGATGGGATGGCATTGGGCCTGTTTCAACGCAAGGGATGTCCTGGGATGTCGGCAGGTTGCAAAGCGAAGTTCGGGGTCTGGAGATCACCAGATGAATAAAATTCAGAATTTAGGTGCTTCACATACCTTTAAGAATGCGCTGCTCCATTCCGCGTAAAATGTATGCAACGTCGAGTACAAAAATATTGCATTTTCAAGTGAGTTGATGCTCAGATTAACGGATTCTTCATCGAGGTTATAAAGATGCTGACGATCTTGGAAAACGAGTTGAATGTACTAGGAGAGCATTTAGCAAGACGATGACGTCGAGCGACGAGAATGTAACTTCATCCCCCTTGCTCTTGGGAAGTAGGTGCGCTACTTGAGAAACCCTGCTAGTCATCCTTGTAAAGACACACGCCGAACCGTCTCGTTCCATTATGCGACCACGGAAATCCAAAGAGCGTGGTGTTTGCGCAGAAGATGTTATTCCGCTGTCCATTGCATGGAAATCAATGAGGCGATAATCCCCTATATAAGAAGAAGTTAAACAAGAATGTTGGCGATAAGCAACAAATATGGAATATGTGAATATTACCCAGTGTTATGTTCGACAGGGGGGGCCATTGGGCAAGTTATGGCAACAAATATGCCCTACTAGCTGCATTTGATCGGAAATCTTTATCTCTACTCGCTGCATTTGATTGGAGATCGTCATCACTATTTGAAAAGATCAGCTTTTGGTTAGATATAGCCCAGCTGTTAAAGTCACCGCAACGAGGACCCCCGAAAATCCTGCAAAAGGCTAGATACTGATTTTGGCTGTTTTTGGAGTTTTTGTCCGGACTTTTTAAGTTCTCACGCTTTCTGACTTTGTTTTCGTGCGTTTCATCAAAAAAGAGCTCGATGACCCCTTCAAATTTTCGAAAACTTGTCCGGATTTCGGTATCTATCATTTTGCAGGATTTTCGGGGGTCCTCCGCAACGCTGCATTTGATTGGAAGTCGTTATCCCTTCTAGCTGCATTTGATTGGAAGTCGTTATCCCTACTAGCTGCATTTGATTGGAGATCGTTACCACTTTTTTTTTTTTTTGAAAAATCAGCTTTTAGTTAGAAATAGCCCAGAGGTATGGAACACACGAGTTTTGCATCCACTGCTGCACCTTCATTTTACTAGCCTCCTTCACACGGAGCTCTTCCACCTCCGCTTGTCTCTCTCGTTCTGCAGCCATCAATTCAGGGGTCGTACCCTTGATCAACATGGAGAGGACATGAAGATCATCCATGGCCTGAAGCATTTCAGGCGACATATCTGAGTCTTTTTTTCGTGGCTGTTTCCTTCCCACTGGTGGATGATAACTGAGATCTCTGGAGTTATCGGACTCCAGGGATGTGTCAGTATCATCACTAAAATCCTGAGGGTCTGGTATCGGTATCGGGATTGACTCGTAGCGTTCCATGAAACGTTGTTGCATCACTTCCTTGATTTCTTGTCCACCGCCCCAGCGCCGGTAGGCAGCAACGCCATACATATAGTCGAGGATGATGGTGGATGGACGCGGTGTGCCTGTGCCCCTCATATCTGCATCAAATTGCGGTATCGATTGTAAATAACTAGTCATTGCTTCAAAATGCTGGAGGGTGATGCGATTGGATGGCATTGGGCCTGTTTCAACACGAGGGATATCGTCAGGTTGTAAAGCGAAGTTGGGAGTCTAGAGACCATATGAATAAGATTCAGAGTTTATGTGCATCACACACTTTTAAGAATGCGCTACTCCCTCGCCCAAAACGATTATGTAATGTCACGTACAAAAACAAACCGTTTTCAAGCGAGTTGATGGTCAGATCAACGGGTTCTTCATCAAGGTTATAGAGATGTTGACGATCTTGAAGAACGAGTTGAATGTACTGGAAGAGCATTTAGCAAGACGATGACGTTGAGCAACGAAAATGTATACTTCATCCCCCTTGCTCTTGGGGAGTAGGTGCGCTGCTTGACAATCTGCTTCTCCCATCATTGTAAAAACACACGCCGGACCGTCTCGGTCCATTATATCTCTATGGAAATTTGAAGACCGTAAAGTTCGCGCATTGGATGTTATTTGGTCATCCAATCCACAGAAATCTACGATGCGATAATCCCCTGTAAAGGGGTGAACAAAAATGTTAGCGAGAAGCAACAAATCTGTACATTACCCTCAGGAACAAAAAAATATCGCTCATCCAAATTATCCAGGGTACTGGTGTCGTAGTCGACGGGCGGGCCATTGGGCGTCGTAGAGAGATCTCCACGGACCCCACAAACTGTGAAGACAAGAGAACGAAGCCACTTGACAGGGCGCAGGGAAAGTCTTTCAATGTCGACAAACGGGATGGACAGCGCCAGAATTTGTCGGTCTTCGATAGGCAAGTAAACGTCCACCATGGCGAGACGGCAACAAGTTGGTCAGAGTAAAGAGCTGTCACACTGAAAGGAGCGAAATGTTTCATTTGCGACGACAGGAGAAGTGCGACAGCTAAACCAGTGGCCGCTGACTTTCGAGAAGCCGTCACCTATCCAGAATACCCTATATGTACCCCAACGAGAAAGTCGACTTTGGATGGATGTCGTTACAAAAGATTGACAAAAGCGCATAAGTGAACGTTTGACAGCTAACTGCATAATCGTAGACCATATCTAAATTTTACTTTGTGCGCTTTTATTTGTACAAACAACCATATTAGGTAGAACACCCTTCCAAGTTGGCAAGTTCCAACCGCTCCACCCTTATGACGTGCGGGGCGGGATTGGAGCGTTTGGAGCAACTACCGAAATGGTGCTAGAATGTGGAGCAAAAGGCAGCCCGCGCGCATATGGGCATCATGGTTTACATAGCCACGGCCTAAAACGGATGTTTATGCACAACCAAAGGCGCAAAGTGAAATTTCAGATGTGGTCTACGATTATGCAGTTAGCTGGAATGAGTGAGAGAAAAAGTAAATGACCGTGTCCCGAATTCCGACTTTGCACATGCCGATGAGAGGTAAAATTCGTCCTTACCAAATTCATAAAGTACTGTATGTCTGATGAATTGAGCAACCTACTTAGCCTCAAGGGAATACCAATACATTTATTTCACAACACGGCGTGTGCACAACGAGGCTTTACATACAACGATAATTTTACATGAACTTGAAGGCGCATACATACCGCCCATTCAGCCAGTTTCTTATTGCCCTGTTTACGAGCTTTGCTTGTTGAGCACGTTATAACCTAGATTGGCTCGGAACTTGACGGCCTCGCTGGCAGGTTTGACTTCGAGAGGCTTCACAGGGCGATGGCCAACAGCAGCAGCGATGCGGTCGGATAACTCTTGATCGACAGCGGCCCAAACAGAAACTATGGGATAGGTGAGCATCGTTCAAAGAGGGGGAAGGAATACGTTAAAACGTACGTTGCCTCGCCTTGACTTCCGCACTCTTGACATTCTTGAAGTGGCCAGCGACGTTTTGTACATACGTCTCTCGGGCCTTGTCGTCCCAGACCTTGCTCCACAAGGCCCGGGGTTGCTCAAAGTCAACTACCAACGCATATATTCAGTAAAATGGGTGTCGATCATCTGAGAATCACCCACGTTCAGTGACCTCGCTCAAATCTCTCCAAGCACCGCCAATAAAAGTCTCATGCCTCTCCTCACGTTCCAAGTCTCGGGCAGAAGAATCGATGGCTCCCTTCTTCTCCGCGTATGTGAGGGTCTGGATCGAGCTCTGGTAGTTGGGCCGGTTACCCTGCGAAATGAAGGCGGCAGGTCCGTCGCGCTGGAAGTTGGCAACGGGGTTGAGTGGTGCGTTGACTGGCAATTGCTGATAGTTGGGGCCAAGGCGGTGGCGGTGTGTGTCAGGGTAAGAGAAGAGACGCGACTGCAGGACGGGATCGGCGGAAGGCTCGATGTAGGGTATGAGATGGGATGGTGAGAATGCAACCTGGCCATGAGCATAATGAGTTCAATCACTGGGTTATTGGCGGGTAGTGAAAACCCACCTGCTCGATCTCGGCGAAATAGTTTTTGGGGTTCTCGTCGAGAACAAGTTTCCCAATGGGCCGAAGGGGGAACTCGCCGTGTGGCCAGACTTTGGTAAGATCGAGGATGTTGTAGCGGAAATTCTCAGCTTGCTCCGGAGTCATGGTTTGCTAGATAAACGATGAGCAGCATGTTTTGTGTCAATATTGCAACACGACCCACAATGAACACGTTCCAGATTGGGTATTTGCCGGCTTCGATGGCCTCGAACAGGTTTTGAGTACCGTAGTCTGGATTCTCACCAGCAAGGCGGGTTGCGGTTGCATCGTCGAGGGTCTGTGGGTAGACAAGTTTGAGTCATCCTTCAGCGCAGGTGGCAGAACAATCGCGTACCTTGAAACCGCCCCCAGCACGAAGGTGAACTTGGACGTACACAAAGGAACCGTCATCCTTGACCCACTTGAAGGTGTGTCCGGAGTACCCGTGCTCCTGGTGATAGCCGTCTGGAGTTCCACGATCAGAGAAGAGGATCATGATCTGGTGGATCGACTCTGGGTTTTGAGAAAGATAGTCCTGCGAACGCGTGAGATGAATGAACTAATCAAACGAAGCGCATATACATACCCAAAACACATCGGCATCCTTCAGGTGGGTCTGGGGATCCCTCTTCTGGGTGTGTATGAACTGGGGAAATTTGGCAGGATCGCGAATAAAGAAGACAGGGGTGTTATTGAAAACCCAGTCCCAGTTGCCCTCTTCAGTCCTTAGCTTGATTGAAAAGCCACGGGGGTCACGAGCAGTGTCCGCTGAACCAGATTCACCACCAACGGTGGAGAAGCGGACTGTAGCGCGAACCTTCTTGCCTACGCCCTGGAAAAGAGACTGGGAGGTGATGTCACTGAGGTCGTGTGTGACCTCAAAGTAACCATGTGCACCAGCACCTTTCGCGTGAACCTAGATGGCATGGTCAACGTCGTGAGTCAGTCTCGATGAAGGATTGCGACTCACAACACGCTCTGGGATACGCTCGCGGTCAAAGTGTGCGAGAAGATCGATATGGTGGAAATCTAAAAATCTAAAATCTAAACCTAGTGGCGACGGTATGCATTGGGCACACCTTGAAGCAACAGGGGCCCCAGACGGCCGGCTCTTTGAGCAGCATAGGGCTCGGCGACGGGAGCACCGTTGGAAGTTGTGTAAACGGCACCGTCCTGAGTGGAAAAAACTTGCTGTGAAGGCATGAGGATGATATTCAAAAGGGGAAAGGGGAGACAAGTACCTGTTAATTTTCGTTGCTTCTTATATAGTGGGGAGGCATTTACCAAGCAGGTAGGTAATGATGATTCAATGAGCGGATCTCCACACACGTGACCTGAAGGACTTGGATCGGCAAAACCGGTCATAGCCGTGGCCGTCAGACCCGTGGATATATTTAGAAATCCGTGGAAACCCCTGATCCTTACCTTGCTGCCCTTCGTCAGTTCTGTGGAACTCTCCTTCTTGACAAAAAAACACTCTTTGATTGATTTATTCAAATCCAATTATCTCTTCAAATTTTCCTCCAAACTTCGCCCTGATTTTATTATTCCACATTATACTTATATGCATTTACAGAATTGACCATGTTACATTTCTGACCTGAATGCTATGAATTTAATGAAGTAGCAAACATCTTTACAGGCCAGAAATACAATGTGTATATGGCGGCTCAGTGACAAACACATACCTTACACATTTGTGAGCACCAAAAGTTCTTACGACGAGATAGTATGATTTTTTCTCAATTATCACTACTTTGAAGACTTACTATTTATATCCAACTTGTGACGTTTGCTCCTCATGTGGATGTAGACCGCAGCTCATTTCTTACTATTATTAGAGAATGAGCTTCTACTACTAAAGTTCATATAAGATATTTTCCTATAATAAAAATCTTCTGAGAACCTTCTAACACATATTTTTTCTTATGGAAAGCAGCAAAGAAGAGATGATGATAAACGGAGGGCTGCTCTGAGCCGCTAGCCACGGATGTCCGTACCGTGGCTTATTCAAAGAAAATCCATGGATCGGGTATAATACTCGGTCTGATCGCCAATCAAATCCCTCGTCGTTGATTGGCTGATAGAAACCTTCTACGCTTCCACGCTCGTTCACAGTACCATGTATGTCAATATTTCCATTGTTTAAACCCCGAAAGCACTTCGAGATTGGGTCTCCTGATAATTCATATGAAATACAGCTGCGTGGCCGTCAGAAGGACGTCCTTTTCCTATGATGTTCCGGCCGTCTATGTAAGCTCATCGACCGTTTAGTTGTACCCCGAGTATAGACGCACTCACAATGATTCCGTTGGGCAATATTTCCTGATCGCAGCACATTGACTGGAGCCAACCGACATGAGCATCAGAAAGACAGGAAGATACGCATATACCGGGTTAAACTGTATAGAGCCATCATTTCAGCACGAATGAATCATAGAGGAGCCCAATCCACACGTATTTGAGGACACCCAATCTTTCCCTAGAAAGTTACAAGCTATGTAACGAGCTAATATATTCTTCATGAAAATCAGGGAGGGGAAGCCTTGCGTTCTTTACCATCGTATCAATATGAAATGAATAAATGGAAGCCAGTAAGTAGACAGGCGAGGGAAAAGCGCGGTGATAAATGACTCCCGAGTAAGAAAAAAAAACCGTGGACTTTTCAAACAGTCAAAGATTCACCAGAGGAAGTAATCCAACGCAAGCGTTGGACTTGTAGAAATTCGCGAGCGGTATTGCCCAAAATGGAAAATATGATGGCAAACCACGTGGCTCAATTTGGTGCACAACGGACAGACGAGACTCACGACAACCTCCAGCAACGCCCGCCCCGTTCCCCACTATCATCCATTGTCCCAATGGTGAGATTTCCTCTCGAAACGTCGCAGCCCATCTATCCATCGCGAATTTCTGGTTCCAATGAACCATTTTGAGCTGGATGCGCGACCAGATGTCCGGATGAAGTTTTGCTGACCCCTCTGCTCTCCAGGCCTCAACAGACCTCGCACCCACATACGCCGCCCTCATCCTTGCAGATGACGGTATTGAAATCACTGTGCGTTCTCATCCCACCGCTTTCTCAGAAGAAAATCAGAATATGAATTGTCGGTCGTTATTTAGTCGGATAGAATCGTCGCATTGACAAACGCTGCCGGCGTCGACCTCGAGCCCATTTGGGCGTCCCTCCTTGCCAAGGCGCTGGAGGGCAAGAACGTAAAGGAGCTCTTGTCGAACGTTGGCTCTGGAGGAGGCGCACCGGCAGCTGGCGGTGCTGTACCCGCTGCGTCAACTGGTGCCGCTGCTGCTGAAGCACCGAAAGAGGAGGAGAAGAAGGAGGAAGAAAAGGAAGAGTCAGACGACGATATGGTGCGTTTTGGATGTATTTTTGCTAATGGGTGTGACGCTGATGACTTGATAGGGTTTCGGTCTCTTCGATTAGAGTATCCTCATCTTTCTTTGTTTTCTATCGCATCGCACTTGTATTGCCTATCTAGTGTCGTCGCAAAAAAAAAACTTTAAAACGGCATTATTCTGTTTGGGTTAAGCATCATCGGATTGCGAGGGAATTCGGTCAAGATCTGTTCAAAAGGAATCTTGTTGTGCACTCCAGGGGCAAACTGGATACGCTGACGATTCTATGAAACCGAATACAGGGAATACATGAACGGGTATTTACAAACATCTAAGAGGTAAATCGGGAATACAAGATGGACAACGAAAACAAAGCATCCAAAAGTTCAAATACTCATCTTCATCGCGATACTAGGATGTGGTTCATACCCTTCAACCACAAAATCACTATAAACAAAATCCTCAATATCATCAATATTGTCCCTCGCCCATCTCAACTTTGGAAACGGCCTCGGCTCGCGCTTCAGCTGCTCCTCCAGCGCATCGACATGATCGCGATACACGTGAGCGTCACCCAGCTGAATGATGAGTTCGTGCGCAGTTGTCCCCGTCACATGCGCGATCATGTGCGTGAGCAGCGCATATGAGGCGATGTTGAATGGGATTCCGAGGCCCAAGTCGGCGGAGCGTTGATACATCAGACAGGAAAGTTTGGGTTTTTGGGTTGGGTCGGAGGCAGGCGGTAGGTGTACGTAGAATTGGCAAAGCATGTGGCACGGGGGTAGAGCCATTTGTGGGATATCTACGCGTAGGATGTGAGTTTACGCGTTCTCGACGCGAAGTAGAGGGTAAACGGACCTTTGGGGTTCCAAGCGCTCAGGATGATACGACGATCAGTTGGGTTCTCCTTGATCTTCTTGATACACTCTCGAAGTTGGTCAACACCTTGACCGGTATAATCCTTGTCGCAATCCACGTACTCCGCTCCAAAGTGCCTCCATTGAAAGCCATACACAGGCCCCAAGTCACCCTCGCGTCGATGGCCCAACCCGCGGCCCTCCAAAAACGCCTTCGAGCCATTCCCATCCCATATCTTGACGCCCTTTTTGGAAAGGATCGTCGAGTCCGTAGAACCATGAACAAACCATAAGAGTTCCTCAACGATCCCGCGCATGAATGTTCGTTTTGTGGTTAATAGTGGGAGCGTGGAGTCTGCGAGCGAGAACCGCAGAGAGGGGGGCGCGAAGATGGCGATGGTACCGGTGCCTGTACGATCTGGACGGATATCTCCCGCGTCTAGGACGCGTCGGATGAGCTGGAGGTATTGTTGCTCGTCGTGTTCTTGGTCGTTTACGTGTTGAGATGCCATTATTGACGCGACGAGACGCGACTTGGAGAGAGAAAGGAGATTGATTTGATCACGGGACACAACGGAAAGTGCCGAATAACTGTACATAGGGTAGATGCCGAAACCGGCTTGAAACTCTGATTCCTGCGAGATTTAGAAAACAAGTCCTCCTCATCACTATCTCTAAAAAATGGCTGCAGCACGCGGTTTGTATTCTCATTTATTCTACTATGCATTGTTCTCATCGTTGTTCGTAGGTGGAGGTGCCTCTGGAACCAAATTTCGCATGACCCTCGGTCTCCCCGTCGGCGCCGTGCTCAATTGCGCAGACAACAGCGGCGCAAAGTCGCTCTTCATTATCGAGCCTTTCGGGTTTGGAGCGCATCTTAACAGGTTGCCTGATGCGGGTGTGGGTGACATGGTTGTGGCGTCAGTGAAGAAGGGAAAGCCAGAGTTGAGGAAGAAGAGTACGCCTTTCGTCTCTGGGAGAATGAGATATTAACCCTTAGTTTGGTGACTAGCTATGCCCGCTGTTGTTGTGCGTCAACGCAAAGCTTGGAGGAGGAAAGATGGTGTCTTCCTCTACTTTGAGGTACGTTCTTGCATACTTTGCTCCTTTGCGTCGTATTGATCTTGATGAAAAGGATAACGCCGGTGTTATTGTCAACCCCAAGGGTGAAATGAAGGGATCTGCTATCACTGGCCCCGTAGCAAAAGAATGCGTACGTCCCAAACGTTTACATGTCCTCCGATTCCTTTTTTGACTCTATGTCCAGGCTGATCTCTGGCCACGTATCGCATCCAACGCTGGCACAGTCGTATGAGTGGAGTTGTTTACGCGCTTTCTCTTTTTTTTTCCATCTCATCAACCATATGTTCAATACCTCATGATATGAATTGATATGGCAAACGAATCACTTAGGTCAATCTAAGTGTCGATTTCCAGCAAGGTATATACAAAATACAGTGAGGGCTGCCTATATTACGACAGTAAAAGTTTCTCCTTCTCCTTCGGTTTGATCTTGACACCAGCCAGCTTCGTTGTCTTTGCCAGTCGAGGCGGATGGTGTTGTAAACTTGACGGGCTAGGACTCGAAGTCTTGAATGTATCAGACAATGACCGCGCTTGCTGTTGTTGTGGAAGCATAGGCAGCGCTGGTAGTGGAGCTTGGATTCTTGGTCTGGGTGGCTTTGGGAGGGGGTTTGGTAACGACGGCGGTGGTTTCAGAGGAAGGGAAGGGTGATAAGGTAGTGTCGACGTGCTGGCTCTATCTAACCCATCGATTTCTGCCTCTGTCGATGTTGGCTTGGGATTCGTGCTCTCCATCTGACGTAGCTTGGCTTCCATCATAGCAATCTTGTCCTGCGTTTTCCTGGAAGCGATGTCAGTAAGGGTGGTCCTGACGCACAGCGAACAGCTTACCCTTCATGTCTTGTCGCGGGCCCAGTCTTGAGCATGCTTAGGGTAGTCGGTCTCCCCGTTTCCATCATGCTCTTCTTATGCTTCGACCCCGACGCGACTCCGTTCCCATACTGATCAAGAGGGGCTTGATGAGCAAAGGTTACGACGAGTTTACGGCCACGGAGGAGTTTGTCATGGGCCAGTGTTAAAGCCTTCATTGCGTCCTACATTCAATGCGATATGATCAGCCTCTTCTTTTCTCTCTTCCCGACATGAAAGCACGGGGTCGTGGTTGTGTGACGGGGACTCGAATCCCTGGCAATCGTACTGCATCGACAGCAGATTTTGAGAATCGGCGATTCATGCGATGCGTGACAAGAAAAAGGAAAAGCCAGGGTGAGCAATAGAGTCCTCAAAGCAGGCATCACGCAAGAAAGACGTGGAGGGAGAGGGGGAGGGAGGGGGAGAGGGACACTTACATCTTTGCTTCCGTACTCGATGAATGCGTACCCGCGAGGCTTGCCTTTGAGGAGCCCGGTCTTGTGGAAGAGGAAATCGAGCTTGGAAACTTTGCCAAACTTTGAAAAGACTTGAAGGAGTGAGTACCTTTTGCAGAGTATGATCAGATTGGAGGGGTGAAAAGGGAGGGTGGGGGAACGGACTCGTCAACGGTGGGATGGAGGTTTCCGATGTAGAGTCTATCTTTGAGAAGTTGCCGAGGCTGTTGTGGTTGTTGCTGCTCGGAGGTGGGTTCGGGGTCGATATCGGATGGATAGGATAGATGGTCATTGAAAGAGGGTGTTGGCACTGTTGAGGACGGTGAGCACGACGAGGTCGATGGACTTGCCATGACGGTGTGCGTCCAATTTGCACAAGGACCGCGATCATCAACTTCCTTTCCTCTACGGGAGATTTAGTTGCCAAGGGATCGCATTCCACACCCAGCACGAAAATGTTCTCATTCTTGTCTCTATGGCTTTTTCTTCGGTTGGAAGGACGAAAGTGGCGAGCCACTGTGAGCATCCTCCTCTACACCGACTGACATATGTATTGAATTGCTGCAGTGATCCTGTTGTTCGTCAACATCATCGTTCTCGCCCTTTCTGCTCGGGTCAATCTCTTCCAAGGTTTCTTTTGTATGCCAATTTTCCTCCTACGCACAGCTCGTACTGAACATTATTTACAGTCCACGCCGACCTCTTTCCTTTGGCCCTGTCCATCATCACATTCGTTATTATCGTGTTTCTGTATTGCCTATCTCAACCAAAAAATGAAGATACCTACTAATCCTATGAACAGACTAGCCCTTGACTTTGCTCTGAACAATTCATACACCGGCCGAGCTCAATTCGAAATAGGCGTCTTTGGTGTCTTGAGTATCTTCTGGCTCTCCTTCAACGCGTTCTCCACCTCTCGATGGCGCCAGGTCCCATTCCACTGTAATTCCATCCCATCCGGTACGCATCCTTACTTGAGTTACTCCAATGCCATCCACCAATTCATTGTCAAAGACTTTCCTGATGAAATAACGTGGTGCAAGAACCTGCAAGCCCTCAAATCCCTCGTCTGGATCAACTTTCTAATCTGTACATCCCTCACTTCCAGCCCACCGGCTTCCTGGCTAACCCCCCACTTCCTCCTCCCCTCTAGGCTTCTTCATCGCGCTCCTGACTCTGCGATACGCCGTCTCCCAGTACGGACGCGGCAATAAACACATCTTCAAGATGCCTCTATCCCGCTACCGCCCCGAGTTCCGTCCCAACGAGAGTCAGAACTTTAACAGGGGAAGCGAATTTTTGCAGTTTGAGAAAATGCCATGATTTATTTCTTATACCTATGTATATTCGGTGAAGCTGCTGGACGGTCATGCCACATTCCTTGCGTATACCCACTTGTTGTTGTCATATCAGTTCCATACAATCGCGATCCATTCCTCGACGCCATGAGCACAATTGAATTTGTTTCGTGGGGGTACAGAGTTTGCCTCGTACCCTTTGCATGAATCATTCGCTGGCTTACTTGGATGCAAAGTAGAAGTGAAGCGCAACACCAATAAATGAATTTTGTCAACGAAAGGTCCGTACTATACGGATAAATACTTACAATAACCCGAGAAAAAAACGAAAGATGTAGATAAATAGAAAAGGTGGAAACGAACAAACCGGTATACGGATACAAGCAAAGGGAAGGCGGGTAAAACGAGCCAGATGGAGAGAAAGAGAATGGAGTGTAGTTAAATCGCACTCGGATAGCTGACACTTTCGCTGAGGTGTTCGTTGGCCGGGTTGTATGTGAACCCTCTGAACTGATCTTGGACGGTCTCGGATAGGGCAGAATCAGTGACGACAGAGTCTTGCGCCTCTTCGTTAGTAAAATCGGGATCAAAGTTGGCAACGTCCAACACAGATTCCTGAAATTCCCATTAGATTCGCAATGATCAACTTTCGAAACCCCACGTACCACGCTCGGTTTGAAAGGTGGCTGAATTTTTTTGGCGAGAAGCCTAAACATGCGTGAGTGTAGAAGATAGTTGATTGAGAAAGCACCTACCGATTCCAGTCGATATACTTGGCGAAGAAGGGATGCCTCTTAATTTCTTCACCTCCATTTGCGCCAAGACGCTTCGAGGGGTCGCGCTGCAGGAGACCGGTCATGACGCTCCTAGCCTCGGATGGCATGTCGGGCGGGAAGTTGAGCGGGTCGGTAAGGATGCGTTGGTACATGGTATTTACGTTTTCATCGTAGAATGGTGGAAGGCCGGTCTAATGTTTCGGTCAGCGCTGACATCGGAACCACTGTAAACAGTGGGCGTACCATCATTTCGTAAAGAAGGACCCCTAAAGTCCACCAGTCGACGGTCTTAGTGTAGCCCTGGCTTTCTAGCAGCTCGGGAGCAATGTACTCCGGCGTACCACAGAAAGCTAGCCTGACGTCAAATTATGTACGGCATTGAGAGGGAAAGACGAACTGTTGGTCTTTTCCGTCTCCGACATGTTCAGCTTACAAAGCCCTAGCAAGTTCAAGTAAGAACGGAGTTACATATAGGAAGTGCAAGGAGACAAACCGAAGTCGCACAAAGCAATATGGCCAGTGTAATCTAAAAGAATGTTCTCAGGTTTGAGGTCACTGGGAACCTAGTTAGCATATAACGTTTGTGAGTGATGTAAATGAATGATGTCACCGATAAACAACGTTGAAGCCGTGAAGATGCTCAAGCGCGCAAAGGAGTTCGGCAGCGTAAAAGCGGCTCCGATCTTGGTCGAACTTTCCCTCTCGTTGCAGGTGATAGAAGAGTTCTCCCCCATTGACTGAAATGAGGTTCAATATACATCATCCTTGATGTTCAAAAGTAACACCCACCAAACGACATCACGAGATACAGCTTGTCTGGATTTTGGAAAGAGAACTTGAGTGGGACAATGAATGGATTGTTGACCAGAGCAAGGACCGTGCGTTCCGCTAGAATATGTGTGATCTCTCCAGGGCGCTGGGCAATATGAGCCTTCCTGATAGTCTTGAGCGCATATATACGCTGTGTGTCTTTCTTCCGGACTTGCATAACTTTTCCAAAGCTGCCCTTGCCAATGACCTTTAACAAATCAAAGGCCTCAATTGTGAGCGGTTCATTTCGAATTGGTTTGAAATCTATTTTGAGATGGAATGACCCAAACCCGGCTGTGGCGCTGTACCACTGGTCCGAGGCGTGCTGTGCAAAAAGTATCACTAAACGTGGGTCAGGCAGTGCGAAAAATAGATGATTACATGTCCCTCGAGCATGGGCGTGAGATCAACGCGAGCCATAAGCAGATCGTTGCCCATATCATCCTGGCCTTGCACAGCAGCTGCTGTTCGCAGGTAAGAGGAGACCGAGATGTTTGATGTACGTGAGACATCGCTGTTGCGAGCGTCAGAACAAGTGAAACTAGGACAACAAGGGAAATGCGCACAAATCGGCACGATAGTTCCAGACTGGATTGGAAAGATCGCCTCCCATTGCATCGATAAGGATTTCGTTCTTGTCGAACTCGAGTACGACATACGGAAGCCACCAGTATCGTTTGCGCTGCATGCTTTCTCTGTTACTAGTGGACTTGCGAGCAGGAGGGATTGTGTCAAGCGCCCTTTGGATGACATCAGGGACTTGCACACCGGGCGCGAGGGATAGACCACGACCTATGATATGGATGTGATGTAGATTTTCGTGGTTATAGCAGTCAAAGCTTACCAGAGAAGATGCGAATAGTCAGCATACCAGACCTGAACTGATCAGGTCCAGGAGGTTTGGGCGTTGTGGGCCGCGAGGGAATTGGGGTTACGGATCGCGAGATGACACCATTTTCTTTGCCGTCCTTCGACTCTGCATTGGGGTGCTCGGCGTAAGGATGGCGCTCGTCGTTAGGTGGCTATGAGACATACTTTTGGAACCAAGTTTCCAAGACATCGGTGGTAAGGATAAAGGTTGCTGATGGAGGCTGAGACGAGGAGAACGAGTTGGTAGGCAGCTACTACACGGTAGTAACTGGCAAAGTAGTAGATGGTTGAGGAACAAGAGCCGCAATTATATTGCAATTATGATTACTTGGGCGTCCCGTGCTAAATTAGACAACTGATCTTATCACACGTTGATAGATCTATCTCCAACCAAAGCCGTAAGTATTCCCTGAGCAACCTCTTGTTCACGCTCGCGATCTATCTAAACATTGGATCGGTGTGTTACTGGCTTTCAAATTTTCTGCGGCCTCCAGACAGTGTTGTCGGAATGATCCAATCACACTGTGACCAATTGAGGTTGCAACATTCTAGTTCAAAGGTTAGTATGGCTTTTTGTAGCTGGCGACTCCTCACTTTTGTGATGATAAAGGGGTCTAAAACAACTACATCTCGACAGGGCTTGGTCTCGACCTCGATTGCGTCCAAGGTCAATCCACCTCGACGAATGTCCATCACATGAAGGGAATTATCAAACTCCTGCCCCCAAAAGCTGTTTAGTTAGCGGGATATTAGCAAAGATGAGAAGAGTTTAGGGTCATGCGACGCACAGAAACCATTCCCGCAATATTGTTGGAAGATCAACAGCCCCCGACCCCGTATCCTTCCAACTATCTCTGGTGTCAAACCCAACAAGACACTTGCCATATTTACGGTTCAATGGCCAAAATATGGCCTTGGCCCGAGTGGTGGCGGGTATATCAACTTGCAAGTTGGGCAATAGGCCCTTTGTCTACTTCAAGTATTAGATGTTGAGGCTCTGCTCAGGAATTCACAAACTTGTAAGAAGCCAATCGTCATCAAGGCAAAAGCGTAGCTGCTAAAACTTCGAGGTCCCCCACCACTTGGGTTGTTCAAGTCGAGAGGTTTGGCCCACGTCTTGATTTCGTACAACATAGGTCGGAGGATATGGGACAGTTGGCAGTAGCGTTTGATTAAATCCGAGTTAAAAAGGCCCATTCGCTCGTTAACGTTGATGTCGCAATAGAGTCCAGTTTTTGGGTCTCGAAAGGTAACTGTCAACGATAGGCGAACCATGTCAAATACGGATTGACATGAACCCACGTACCGATGGGGACGGTTGCAAACGGCCTTGCCTTGATATCTTTGAAACCAGCTCTAGTAAAAACCCCCATTAATCGTCTTCAATTTCCTGGTCAGCATGGCAGAAGTAAAGTGGCAAACGGTCGACATACCGAACGTTGTATATGCCTTGGTTTGCAAAGATGAACATCAACACTGGCAAAATAGAAGAGGAATGTACCAGGAAGGGCTTTATGAGCAGATGGAAAGCCACGTGGTCTATCTGGGTCCTAAATCTGATCAACATGAAAAGTTCATGTCGAAAAAAGACTAACCAATATGACCATATCTAAATCGCTAGTTGGATAGGATACACCATATCTAACCGTCCCTCCGTTAGAACGAAAGCGCAGTGATTCAACCACACACCTTGTACTCCCAAATAGCTCAACAGTATACTTGGAACCGAATTTCCGTTGAATAGCCTGTTGAACGCGCTTCGTTGTTTCCACTCGTTGTAATATTACAGAATCAGGAAGCACGTAAGTGTCTCGCCATGGGTCCGAGGCCATGGAGTCGAGGAGTTCAGAAAGATCACTGCCCTTCCACACAAACGGCGTGAGTCAAGAAAGAGGAAGTTGATGAAATATGACAGGAACCTGTGCGGAGTTCAGCCTACGATAGAAGTCGAGCAAACTGATCCTATTTTCCTTGACACGGGGCTTGGTCACGGACCTGTTTCAACTGGATAAATAGGTAGAGGTTGTGTGAGGAAGAGAAAAGCAAACTTCTTTGGTAGTTTCCTCGTTCCTAGACGTGGTTGTTGGCGAGTCATTTCTCCCTTTGATTCTTGTCCAGAGGTCGTCGAATTGGAGATTGTGGGGGTATCATCCTTCTGGCGCGAACAACACAACGTTAAATCAATGACGCGTACGCCTACAAAATACGATGTTCAATGCTTTACATCCAGCGTTTTCTGCCACGACGTAGTAGGGAGCACGTTGCTTCTGTTTCTTCTTGAATTTGCCGGTTCGAAAACCGCTAGACTAACTTGAGGTTAGGCTAACTAGTTCCTGAGGAAGGGTATATGGTGACAAACTCGATGGGTTCTTCAGTTTGTCCTAGAGGCGGTTGTTTAGGAATCGCCCGTTTTTCCACCTCGGCATGGGAATGTTTGTTTCGCAATTGGCTTACCAAACGGCGTCCGTCGATGTACAGGCATTTCACATTTGAAGTCGTCCGCCCAGAGGACAGCATGTACGAGATTTTGGTAGGTAAAACAACGATGCTGTTATGTGCAGAAAAGTCCAAAAGGGTTTGAATTCGGCGTATCCCGATCCAAAAGGGTCGCACGAATTTTGCCCTCCTACCTTGCTTTCGACTCTCGAGCTTCACAAGCCCTTCTATTATGTATACCTTGATTATACCACTACGGAAATCAAAAGACCGTGGTGTTTGCGCGGAAGATTTTATCCGTCGTCCAAGGCCATCCGTTGCACTTGTAGAAATCTAGCTATAGGATGCCATTTCAAGTTGGAAATGGCATCGTAACAAGTTGGTAACAAGTTCCCCACAAACCCCAAAAATTGTGACGTATGATAAGAAACCTGCAAGACATGGCGCAGGGAAAGTAAGTCTCTCAGTGTTGACGAGGGGATAGGGAGTGATATGTAGGTCGGTCAAACCCTGATTCTCCAGGCCTATAGATTAGTAGTAAGTACGGTTTCTCTTAAGTTGATCAAGAGGGCGAGCCAGCCTGTGGCGACGTGAATGCGAGAGTACAATTAACAATGGTAAAATACAGCGATTAGATGCGCGGTATACAATTGTAAGACGAAAAGGAAAACTAGGAGAGCGAGGGAATCGTAAGCGTTCGTGAAAATGTTTTATTTACGAGGGGAACCAGTGGGTGCGGGAGTTTTACGAGGGGAACCAGTGGGTACGGGAGTAGTTCGTTCGACAAGGGTGGAAGCAGGCCGATCTAGCCTGTTGTGTAATCTTTCAAGTTCTCGCTCAAGACTGAAAAGTGCAACGTTAGGAAGACAGCCTCATATTATCGGTGATTGCACTAACTTCAGAGCTTTTTGCTTGTAGTCAGCGGCTTCACGCTCTGCACGTCGTTTCGCAGACGTGAGGCTGTTTTCTTCCGTTTGCTAATGGATGGAGGCTCAGTAAGAGGGAACAAAGGAGGAGAGAGATTTCAGCTACCATCAAGTCCATGGCCTGACGCAGACTTTGTATCTGAGATTCGTAGGTTTTGCGCTCTTCTTCCAGTTTGGCCCGTTGTCGGTCACTTTCGGCCAATTGAAATTTGGTGTCGCGCGCCAACTTGTCAGCTGAACGTTGTAGTCTAGAGGTGTCACTCTTCTCCTTGTTTGTTTGATGGAGTTGATTAGTGAGTTCTTCTATCCGACTCTCCATTCGACGGGATCCTGTCGCAGGGCGAGGGGAACTGGCGTAAGATTTGGTTTCTAGATCAACGATGCGGACGTTGAGTTCTTTGATCTGCTTTTCGAGATTGGCCTGTTGTAAAAGGTAAGAAACGAATCGTTGAAAAGCATCATGAACAACCTACGTTGAGTCTGTCGAGCTCTGAGTTCTCTACACGAACTTTGCCGAGCTCGACTTGACACTCATTTGCGTAGGATTCTGCCTTCTTCATGCGATCAAAGGCGTTTACGACACGGTCCTCCTGCTCTTCGAGAGAGCGCTCGAGATCCTGCTTTTTGAGTTGCAATCTCTGGAATTCCCTGTCGGATGACATCTTATTGGTATCAACGTGGTCAAGCTTGATCGTTTCGAGTTCTGCTTGTAGAGCTCGACGAGCCTTTTGGAGTAGGGCGCGATCTGCTTCGGCATCATCCAAGACTCCACGGAGCTCTCGAACTTGGGAGTGCAAGGCAACGATTTGTGATTGTTGCTCAGCTTGAGCACCTGTACCAGCTTCAAAGGCCTTTTCGAGATCTGAAATCTTGGTTTCCATGCGTTCTTTCTCTTTTTTCCAGCCGCCACTGTTATACACCTCATCGTCGTATCTGAGTTGCAGTTCATCATAGTCAGATCTAGTCTTGCGATTATCCTCTCGAAGCCGGCTCAAACTATCACGCTGCGATTGGAGCTCTGAACAAAAAAGAGACGTTCAACACTTTACCAAAGAAGTTGCAGGTCACTTTACCTTCACTTAATTGAGCGAGTTCCGCTAGAGCTTCGTCAGTGATACCGAGGTCCCAGTGCCCAAAGAACCATACCTTGATACTTCTTCCGGGTTTGGTCAATTGTGAAGTCACGTTCAGCAAGGTCCTTCTGGTGCTGTTCTCGCTCATCTTCCAGCTCTTCGGCTAAACGCTGACGCAAAACCGTAGTTTCGGAGGATTCACGAACTTCTTCTTCGAGCTTAGCTTCTAGTTCTCGAAGGCGAAGTTCTGCAGCTCGGAGGCGATCGTGGGTAATCTGGCGCTCTGCGACTGCCTCCGTTTGCAGTTTTTCGACATCGACAAGCGTTCGACGAGCTGTGCCCTGATTTTGAGTAAAGCCGACACATGGACTGAGAGAGAGGACGAACCAAAGGCCTCTCCACGAGCAGCTTTCGCTCTGGCGATCTCAGCCGCTTCTAAGCGCTCTTGATATGACTGTTCCTTTGCTTTGTACGACTCGACCACAGCTCGTAATTCTGCTGGCGATGTCAAGGCACTGTTATGGGAACAGATGGGTGCTTACCGGATAAGGCTGCAGATGAAGTAGATGAAGAGACTTCGTCGTCTTGCAACCGTTTTTGAAGTTGCCTCTTTGCGTCTGAGTAAACCAGTCAGAACCACGAAAAGGATTGATAACTGGGACTACGAACTTGCGGCCTCACTCTTGGAAACCTCCAGCTGCTCCCTCAATTCCTCGACTTCAACTTGAAGTTGTTTCCTTGCCTGGGTGAGATCACGAAGTTGAGCACGTTGCACCTCGAGCTCCCCTTGAGCGTTGCGCTGTTGAACCATCTTTGATAATGGTGAGAACAAATCTGGTATCAATTTTTCCAATCAACCTACCAGCGCCTTTCGAGATTCTTCCAAGCGGGTGTAGCTTTCTCGCTCTTCAGCCATTGTCTTTTGGAATTTCAACCACATCGCTTGAACGCCGTCAACCTGAGCAGCTTCAGCAGTTCGACGAGCTTCAGCCTCCTCCTCCAATAGTTCAGCCAATTTGGCGTTCTCCTTTGCTAATCGCGCTCGATATTGTTGCAGGAATTGCTTAGAACCATCGCTGTTCTCCAAATCGGAGGTCATTTCTCTTATGGAGGTCTCGAGGTGATGACGGACTCGCTCCGATGCTGCCATCTGCACCTCCAGGACCTGAACCTGTTGCTTGAGTGCAGCTACCTGTCTGTCAGGCCCTCGTGAAGAATCCCCTTCTTTGCCAGAGCGAGACGAAACAGTCCTGTTCTCTGTGGAACGTTTGCTGGGTGTGACGGTGGCCAACGAATGGAGTTCCTGAGCGTTGCTGGAGCGTAAATTACGTGACCGTGAAGACATTTCTTTCTCGAGCACGTTGTCGGCGTGTTGTAGTTCATGAAGTAGGCGTGCTTGAAAATCTCCATCCCCCGGATGGCTGTTCATAATCAATTGTCGAATTTCTGCGTGTTGGCGTTCAATGCCTTCTCTTACTTTAACCGCAGTTGTTCGCGCCATTTCAATTTCATCAAGTTGACTCTCAAGTTGAGAGATCTGAGTTTCGTACTGACGTTGGAGCTTGGCCATGGAGTTGGTACCTTCAGTTTCTTCGGCTAATCTGTCAAGTTCCGTTTCCAGCTTGTTCTTCGATTTTTGTACTGAGGCAAGTTCCTCGGTGAGGTCTGTGTTCTGAAGTTGGACATTTATGAGCTCTGATTGTACCCGACGCAGTTGCAGCTCAACTTCCTCTCTTGCACGTCGCTCCTTGTCGACTTCCGCCAATGCCCGGGCGGCACGTTCTTCCTGAGCTCTTGCGTTCTTTTCTTTCGCACGCAGTTCCATTCGCTCTCGTTCGGTCTCTCTGGCGAGGTCCTCGGCTTCTCCCGCCAGGCGCGCTTTTGCTTTCTCCAACGATTTGATGTAGGCAGCATTCTTTTGAAGTTCTAACTGCGCATCTTGTAATTGGCGGTCCGTTACTCTCTTAGCTTCTTCAAGAACGTGCACATGTTCAACGATAGTCTTGTCTTGTTTGGATTCTAGTTGTTTGATGTCCCATTCTCGGTCTTTCAAATCCTTTAGAGCTTTGTTTAGCTCACGATCGAATTTGATATTGCTGTCCTTCAACTTGGCGATCTCGGATTTTTTACTCGATAAGGATTTCTCGAGTTGCGTTCGCTTGGCAAGCTCGCTTTCATGTTGTTTTCGTACCGTATCCAACTGCCTGGTTTGGGTTTCCTGGTCACGTTGAAATTGCAAAACGACGTCTTCAAAATCTCGGTACTTGGCTTGTGCACTAGAGAGTTGGCGCTCTAAACCCTGAGAAAGTGGGAGAGATAAGGTCAGGAACGACAAGCTCACAAAATGCTTACTTCTTTTATCCTCAAGGTGTCCGCAAGCTGGCTTTCGTTTTCGTGCTGGCGTGATCGTAATGATTGTAGTTCCGATTCCATTGTTCGTTTCGCCTTCTCGAGGTCGGATAGCGTGTTCTGGGACTTTGTCAATTGAGATTGTGCTGCCCGCTCCCGATCTAGGAGCGACTGGTGACTGTGCTGCAGAGACGTGTAGTCGCGGAGAGCGTGATCCAATTCAAGTTTCAACTTGCTTTGCCCTTCCAGAGCAGATCGTCGAGCTTCAGTGACCTCTTGATGCAGTCTACTGACTTGGCTTCGAAGGTCAGCGAGCTCCATTTCCTTGCTCTTCTCGACATCATTGCGGCGGGTTTCTTCGCTTGTCTTAGCCGCTAAAAGTCCACGGAGCTCGTCAAGTTCTTCCTCAAGTTTTGAACGCACTGCGTCCTCTTGAGACCGATCGTTTTTCTCGGCTGTCAGCTGGGCGTCGAGGGTATCTATGTCGCTCTGCAATTCCGCAATTTCCTTCAGCGATTGCTCGCGTTCGCGGGTCAACAAATCAAGTTGATCGGTGAGCCGAATGATTTGTTCTTCCTTCTTCTGAATCATGTTGGAGTACTCCGTCGCGGTGCGTGCGATCTCGGCCAGCTGTTCCTTTGCCTGCCGGGCATCCTTTTCCAAATCATCAGATTTTCCTTTGATTAAGGCACTAGGAAATTTTGGATCAGTCAATGACCGCATCACTCAGTCTGGGTTGACCTCACCGATTACGAAGCTCAACATCAAGCTTGCCTTCCATTTCCTTCACGAGAACGTCGGCTCGCTCCTTGGCTCTGATTACGTCCTCTTCCCGTTGGAGAGCAAGATTTTTGAGATCCTCACTGACTTTCTGCAATTCATCCAGATCGCCACGCATTGCCTCGATTTCTTCGTAAGCGCTGCCAAGCTGGCTATTTAGCTCCTGCTCTCGAGATTCCCATTCCTTCTGCTCGGTTTCCAAACGAACGAGATGTTCTGCGGCCTGATCGAAAACTTGGCGCAAAGCCTCGTGTTTCTCCTCAGTCTCTTTCTGTAGCTTCATCGCGCGATCGAGCTGTGAGTCGAGAAGATCGAGATCTGCTTGTAAGGCTGTAACCTCCTCTTCAAGTTCTACCTCCCGTTTTTTACTTCTCTCCAGTAAATCATCTTTGTCGAGTGCCAAACCACGTTCCGCCTCTAATTCATCTTCTATCTTCCGCTTTTCAGCTTCAAGGGACATCTTGAGGCTCTCTAAATTCTCCCTCTCCTGTTTTTCACGCTCGGCGCGCTCCTTTATAAGTGTAAGCTCAACTTCTTTCTTTCTGAGCTCATCGTCATTACGGGTCGCCGCAAGCAGAGGCCGGACCTGACCTTGGTTAGAAGAGATTATGGAGGGAAAAGAAAGACCATACTTTTGTATACAGTTGCCACCACGGCCATTCCCTGAGTTCCCCATACACCCGAGCATTTCGCTGAATGGTCCTGATCGCTACCGCACGGTTTAGAATTTTCTTCACTTGCCTGCGTGCAGTCCACATTCGTGCGACAGCTTGAAGCCTAGAGAATATTTCGAAAAGCAACAGGTCTCGTCGCTCTTCAAGTTCAGCCAATACACCGGCTTTAAAAAAGATTTTCGAAGTGCCAATCTTGAATATCATGTCGTCCAACTCCAGAGCTTTGACCATCCTGCGGCAGGCTTCTCGGCCGTCCATGTAGCCTCGCGGAATGATTCCAGGAGTCAATACTTCATAACGCTGGCGAAATTCTACAAACGGAAGGCGGTTTGGGTACCCCAGCCGTGCGATACGGATACCCTCCAAAACACCATTACATCGAAGCTGATCGAGGACCAAAGGAACGTCCACCCGACCCGGCTTTTTGTGAGCGTTCGGTACGATGCATCGCACAAAATGTGGCTGGGTGGCACGAAGTTGTATCATCAAGCTAGCCAGTTGCTCCTTATGCCGTTGAGCGACAGTCCTGAATGCTCCTTTCTTCATTGTGCGTTTTTTGCCAACGGTGAACATGTTACCCACTCCACCAAGGCTAGAATCGGCGTACTCGGCGAAAAGGGTAGAGACGTAGCGTTCCGATGAAGCGGCTAGTACTCGGGTGATATTATCATTCAAGGGGTCCTTATTCTTCTCTAGCCATCCATCCGTACGATATTCCACCTTAGCCGCGTAATGTTGGATTATGAAACCTTGTTCAAATCGCGAGGGCTCGTATTTATCTTTCCCAGGGTGGTAAGTATCCTCATCGTCGAGCGACCCGGCCCACATCGCATTCAGCTTGTTGGTGAATGTCAAGTCGGTAGCTTTGGGCATGATACATTCTTCGTCCAAGCAGCTCAGGATGCCAATTACGCTGCCACTTGCTTCGATAAGGTCAATCGTAGGCTGTAAATCCAGGCCAAAATTGACGTAGTCCCATTTGATGCCCTCTCTAGCGTACTCTTCCTGTTCAAGAACGAACATATGGTGGTTAAAAAATTGCTGGAGTTTCTCGTTCGTGTAGTTGATGAGAAGTTGTTCATAAGCATTGACCTCAAAAATCTCGAAACCAGCGATATCGAGAACACCAATGAAAGTCGACTTGGACGAAGGTCGGTCAAGGGCGCGATTAATTCGATCGACCAAAGCTCCGAAAGATTTTTCATAGAGTGTCTTACACAATGCAGAAAGTTCATCGAGGGCTTGTTGTTTTGTCCGGGCTTGAGAAACCCATTCTCGACCAGCTAACGCACGTGGACGGAGAACCGCGCGTGTAAATTCTGCGATGGGTACTCCGAGGAGATGACATACTCGCTCTGCTTGAGATGGGTCAGGCATAACGGCATCGTCTGAGCGGGAAGATGTGATTGTAATGTTGCCAATGTGCAAGATGGCGGCAACGATGCGGAAAAGATCAAATTGTTCGCTTTTTGAAAAACCGACAACGTCTAAAGCCGTCTACGCCCTGGTGAATAGTTGTGAAATTGAAGACGCATAAAACTGACCTGTAAAGCTGACCACTCTTCCATATCATCAACGCCGTCAACCTCTCGTCGGCTTTTATTGAGGTACTCGTAATCCTCAACACCACCTCCAAGCAGCAAGTCCTCTGTTCGTAAGGTATAAGCAGCGTTACTTAATACAATGAGTGCAAAGCTCACCCTTCATCTTGCCCCCGCCAGCCATGAGCTGGTAGAAAACATGGAAACTCCTCTCCGCTTCACTTCGAAATACAACCCGACTCTTTTCCAGCAAATACCAATCGATGTTGGCCCCTGCAATGCTGCCGTCTGGAGCAAACATAATCCTCACAAACTTGCCAAAACGACTCGAGTTATTATTGCGCTGTGTTTGGGCATTTCCGAACGCTTCTAATATTGGATTGGCCTGCAAAATTTGGCGCTCCAGAAGCCCTAGTCTGCCTTTCGCAGTCAAATGGGAGCCATTGCCAGACAAGGAGGGGGACATCGCAACTCCCTTGCGGACTGGGTTGCTTCGAGGAAGGCCAGCGGACGGCATAGAGGTATTGAATGAAGAAGAGAAAGCGAGCGTGTTCGAACGAGAATGTGATGGTGTCGAGGGGGGATGAACGTCGGTAGCTATCGCCGCGAGGTACTGAATGACCTTCTTCGTACTCTCCGTTTTCCCTGCGCCTGATTCACCACTAAAAGGAATGTCAACATCAAAGGCATTGAAAAAAAAACCGATTACAACATACGTGATGAGAATACTTTGATTTTCTCGTTCTTCACCCATGTTAATCCAAGCGCGTTCAGCAACCGCGAAGATGTGGGGGGGGTTTTCATCTCGACGTTTGTTACGATATTGTTGGATGATAGAATCTGAGTAGAGGGGAAGGTTTTGGTATGGATTGATTGCCACCAAGAATAAGCCAGAATAGGTCTGAGCTCAAAGTACATGAGCATGGGCACATCCATGTATCACACGAAGCGTTCCTTACATAAATAGCACCTGAACCATACCTCAGACGAAGGTTGTGTACAACGCTCGCTTCGTTTAAAAAGGTGAGATCCGCAATATCCTCGACGCGATCGAACTTTGGCGGATTCATCTTGAACAGAGAGTCAAAGGGTACCCGCCGAAACTACTCCCAGATTATCAGAAACTTATAAAGGACGCGTCGAATGAGATTATACCTCCCCCCCGGCCGCCATAATAACCTCAGCAGCGTGCTCCTCTTCTCTGTTCACCCATCCGGCAAGGTACCCTTCCTTTGAGTCTGGGACCCAGACCCACTTCTTCTCGTTAAATTCGGCTTGTTGAGCGGCGGCTCGAGCGGCCTCAGCGCTCTGCGATAGTCGAGGTGCGGGCATGGTCCGAAATTTGGGAGTTCAGATCATGCAGAGGTCACTTGGCAGTCAGTTGATACTGAGTTGATGTAGGGTATTCTAGCCGGGATATATATGGTGATCGACAAGATGGTATGCACAGTGGGGTGCTCCTAAAGCTAAAAATGATGGAATAGTGGGGAAAGGAGAGGGTATCAAGTTGGAGAGGTGGAATGTCAGGTCGTGAACTGTTTGTCTTGTTCAGACGCGTCAACTTCGCCTGGCCTCGTGACGCAAGCAGTTTCAACCAACATCGACAAATTAGGATATTCCTGTCCATTTCATTATCGTTAAAAGTAATATACATCATAGTAGTAACACAGAAAATATCAAGCTGGTGTGAACTGGAGAGATTATAGTCAATGCTTGTGGATCGGAGTCAATGAATGCTAGCTCACTTGAACAAGCAGAGAGTCCGGGAATGGTCCAACGATTCCCTCGGTGTTGATGTACTGCGTGCTCGGGGTACCGTTCCAATTTTCTTTGAAGCTGAAGTCGACAGTAAGGAAAGCAGTCACGATTTACCAATTTGTTCTTACCTGAGGAGGGTACCAGATTTTCCAGGTGCTGGTTTCAAGTTCTTTAATGATAGGATTTTTCCAAGAATCACTGGAGCGGTCTGAATGTGCATAGTAAGCCAGATGAAAGGAAATAAACGGAAGTGTGGACTTACAGCGTCAAAAAAGACGGGCGACAGCAATCTGGTACGTATGGTTGAGTTGAGGGTTATCATTTAGTTAATTTTAAAAATTTACCCAAAGTCCCCAATAGTCGTTATGCCTGCCTTGTCGGCTGGCCGAGAGTAACTAGCCACAGATGGGTGGGGACCGAAAACTTCGGGCTAAAACGACTCGGTCAGTCGAGACAATCAACCTGTCAGAAAAAATGTCGCATACGTCTAAATTCGCCTTCACGATGCTGGCAAAGGCGTGCTCGGTGGCATTAACTCGCTTTGAGCCAACAAGGACATCCTGAGCGGCTGTACGGTAAACACCTGCCACAGTAGGGTTTAATCCTAGAGGAAAGGTCAGTCTCAAAAACTTGCGTATGGCAGGGGAACCTCTGACGCAATGCTTCACGGACATATGCCAGGATTTTGGAGGGGGCGTCTTTATCTTTGGAATTTGCCAGGTTTACGATTTCTTGTCGCGCCACTGCTTGCTCCCTGGCGAGATAAAAGTCGACAACCTTTGCGATCGCTTGAGAATAGAGGGGTGCAGTGGGAATGGTAGCCGAGAAAACTTGTGCTGCCAACTCATGCCGGGTATTATTCTTCCCATTTGCGTCAATGACTTTCTTTAAGAAATCGTGGCTCTTGTTTGAAGCACCAATACTAAGGTGATTCAAGGCGTCCGGAATCGAGAGCTAGTACATCGGGAGTCTCAGTCAGCGCTGAGCGGAGGGTTAATTGCGATGAACCGACCTGGATACCGGTGAGCTTTTCGATGTGGGCATGAATAATGTCAAGGATCTCAGCAGAATACCGCTGAGAGGATTCTCGTAGATGCCAATCGTTGACCGGGTCGAAATTAAGGTAAACATAGCTAAAGGTTGTTCATTGAGACTCAAGACGAAGCAGAGAATTGAAACAAACCTCGCTATGACCGCGAACTTGTGGTAAGTGTCCTGCTCGTACCACACACCGCCGGGATTCGCGCTCGTCTTCAGGGGTAGGCCAGCCTGAACAGATGCCGATGAGATCGAGCTAGAAGATGGTAACGGAACGAACAATGCTATGTGATATCCAATGGATCGGCAAAATGTTGATAACGTCCTTGACGATATCTACGTATTTCACGCCTTTCGACACGGGTTCAAACGCCTTTGCCTTGATTAAATCTTCGGTCGCTTTGCTGAAGAAAGCCACCCAGTCGGCCGTAGATTCTCCATGAATCAGGCTGGAGACTTGTGAGACCCCTTCATGAAGATGCCTTATGGCTTCTGGAACCTCGTTTTCTTTCGTAGGCGTGACCGCTGTCGTCGGAGTCGACTTCTTGATAATGCTCTGATAATAAATACATAATCAAAATGGTCATGGGCAACGGGTAGATGTCGTACCAATCTCTTCGACACGGTCGTGAATGCTGATGGGCGTTTCTTTGGCAGGAAAGGTTTCACTACGTTATAAAGTCGATGGTCGTAGGCAGACACAAAGTGAGGGTCCTTTAGAACTTTCTTGACACTCTCAAGAGTGTCGAAAGGAACGGTGGGTGAATCCTGGCGCGGCCGAGTCCAGATGTACTTGTCGACTAGAGATGGGTTTGTCTTCGCCAAGTTTTCTTCTCTCATGAATACGGGGTCCAAGAAAGGGAAGTGGGCGTATGCTGATCCCCGTTGGTAGTGCTCCGGCAATGTGCGGAAAAGCAACTTCGTAAGTAAACCGCCGTATGAACCGTCTTTCTTGTCGTATTGACAGTCTTGATATCCCCAAGAGGTAAGATTGAAGGCTTCACGAACAAGGGTCAACATCAAACTGGTATTGAAAAGGGGGAGAAACGTACGATTGAAGTCCACAGTCAAGAAACGATCTCCTCGAGTGAGGCAAACTGCATCAGCAAGAATGGAGCGTGAGATGGTGTAACCAGGGCACAAGCCAGCTCCTGGCCCGGGCTTTTTAGTTTGCTCTGCTTGCAGACCGACCTAGAATAGAGAGTTGAGTGATATGGCAAGGAAAATCGACGATACTAACGTGGAGCTCCAAGTTGTCAATGTCTCTGTACAATGCAGCCGCTGCGGTCTGATAACAACGTTAGATGCGGCGAGGAGCTGAGAAGAAACCACTCCTACATGGATTTCACGATCTGGATTCCACTCTGCAAATGTCTCGTATGCTGAAATTGGCAAGTCAGCTTGGAGAGATACCAAGAACGAGGAGCAGACTGACGCCTGAGCCCCAAAAACTTCCTGAACTCGTTAAGCTAGAACGAGATAGCAACGTCAGCTTTCTCTCAACAACTTCATAAACACAACATACCGAACAAGTTCCCCAAGACCTCGCCTGTTTCATCCCCATAATCTCAATCACTCTGAGAACTTCAGGAGTTCCTCGCGCTCCATATGCTCCTGCGCGCCATTCTGTAGCATCTTGCAAAATCTGTGCAAGGTCGGCATCGTTGAAACGGCCCTTGTCATCCCGCTTCAAACTGAAATAAAAATTGTTGAAAGAAGCTGAAGATCAACGGGCAAGTTACATACTCTTTGAAAGTCCAGACTCTGGGGTCCTTCGGGGGTAACATAAATTCATGGGCCGCGTTTTTGAAATCTTCAATGGTAACCTAGAATAATGTTATTGACACTCACTGATCAAAATAAACAAAAGACCTACGTCGTTGGGATTTTTGCCCTTGAAGAGCTTGTTGAACTCTCCTTCCGTCCATTTCTCGTCCTGTGCAGACAGCGTTGCATGCCACCTATAGAGGAGGTTGAACTCTATGGAAACCACGTTGCCTTCACCCTGTGGGACAAATTCGTGACTGATTTCACGCATCGTCTAGGGGAGTGGTTAGCGCAAGTTGCACACGATATATCGGTGGACTTACCATGAGGGGATCGAGACGCCAGTCGGATTCATCACGGACGAGCCCCAAGATTGCGCCTACATAATCTCCGAGAATGATATGCATGAAATATCCACAATTTACGAGGCGGGCTCGATGAAAGATTTCGTCATCTTGCGCCAGCCGTAACTTTTCGTCTTCGGGAGGCGGCGAGCTGAGATTGCCGTTTTCATTGATATTCAAGATTTTCTCCGCAATGTACTTGGAGAACGTCAGCGAAGATAAACAGTGGAAACAAAGATGAACAGACATTATGATTCCTGTTGAGCAAAACCAACAGCGCACAGCTTGCTGGGGGCATGAATAGCAAACGACTATCCGCGAAAACATCATCGAACAATTTTCCAGTTCCATCTCTCCTCCTGACTGAATTGACTTGCGACTCGGAGCTACCGTAGAGTACGCTAAGATCGAGGTAACTGCTTGCGTCGTTGATCGACCAGTCGAAGTGGTTGGTGTTGAAGATGCTGTGGATCACCAGATCCGCGAACGCGAAGAATAGGGAAGAAATGCCTCCGGGGTGTGGGACGAACTTTTGGCGTCGAAGGAGGGTATCGAAGACCAGTTCAGGATCAGGGAGGGCGGAACTCGGCACGATGTTTGCGGAGGGTACGGAACGGGCGTAAGGTGACCCTGCTTTGCCGAGTGTGGGGAAGAGGGGATTGTAGTTTGATCCATCAGCAGCGCGATAAGCATATTTCACAAGGGCATGTGTGGAGGCGTCTTCTAATGTCTTGTGGTGATGGCAAAGGGTAGATGACGGAGAAAGGCCCAAATAGCCGCTTGGTGGGTGGGGCAGATCCTTGTAAACTGTCAAGTCGATCAGAGATTAGCTTCCGCTCCGACGAAAGAGGAAGGCCGCTGCTTACGGAGGTTTATGACGAACTGTTGGACCTTCAGCGATATTTTGGTGTGTTGAAGTCTCGACATCAACACGAGAACTTTTTCAAGCTGCTCAATGGTGAGAATTTTTTCATCGACGAGGAGCATGGGTTACACACCAGCAAGTCCCGGTCGTTGAGGCCAACAGTGCTCAGATTTTGAATCGCATCCCAGTACGCGCCCTGACGAACGTTAGACGAATGTTAATGACTAGAAGCTAACGGCTCACTAGATCTGAAACTTGAAAAGCGGGTTTGACGAGGAGTTCGTGTATCTCTGTCACCGTCTTTTCAAAAACGTGGCTTTGCGGATGCGCGCCATCAGTGTCGAGGGGAGCGCGACTTTCGGCGATGAAGTCAACGCGCTTGACGATCCGGTCACGAATATACCGAAGGGACATTGTGGGGTGTGATGTTCGAAATTGAAGAGCCAGAAGCTGCCAGAAGTTATTTATTTAAAGGGGAACAGGAACGGAATGTGGGTTTTTGTTCCTGCCATGGTTCTTATAAGTACACGAGGTGGTAGGAAGGGCGCTTGGCCTGGAGGGGCTGGTCCTCGTTCTTGGTCCTGGTACCTCGGCGCGCATGATGTACATATCAATCAATCACGGCAGTTAATGTATGGAGACAGTGCACAACTGTCGGGGATGGCCTGACGCCGGTTGTTCAAAAACAGCCATACTAAAAGCGTACGAGCGTTGACACGGAAATGACACACGGAGAACTTTGATAACAGTCAGTCACCGGAGTATCTCCAATCTATTGCCTCATGATACCAAACCGCTCTCAGCGCTTACAAACACCGCCCAAAGTTAAAATATGTCCATGAAGAGGGTATGACACGATGTGAATAAAGAACAACGTTTATCTGCGAGTTATGGGCAGCAGTGGGCGTGTGCGCGCAATGCCATTGTGGCGGTTGAGGCTGTGAATACGTACGGCGTTACATGATAATGCAACACGAATTTTGCTGTGAAATGATAAGATGCACATCATAGTGACAGTCTTGTACTCGGCTCACCTTCTTGGCGGTCTTGTAAAACATTTTACTTTGAACCGAAAGAGCATTAGACCGCTCCACGAGATTGTCGAGCTTCTCCCCGCGTTGAAGGACAGATTCAATTGTTTTATGCTGGCAAGGCGTGAGTATATCCCTGCGACAAGTCCGGAAGCATATGAAACACACCAAAACAATTTTAGTCTCGTCCAATTCTTGCTGCACTCTCATTATAGTGTCTGCTTGACGAGGATCTTGGTACTTCTGGAGGTAGGTGGTGATTTCGGGAAATGAAATGGATGCGGGGTTATCGAAAGATGATTGCGGCACTTTGACGGTAAAGTCATCGAGGATCTTGGTTAGAAGTGAAAAGGCTGGGCGGACAGGGTACTCTTGGTCTGCAATGAGAACAGCTGTGGGCATCGTTTAGCTCCGTGAGGTTGCGTCAAACGTGGACGTAGCTGACCAGCTAATTGTTCTGCCCCTCCTCGGTTGTAGACATGAGCAGTATAGTTGTTCTCTTGCACGCTCTGACGCTGACCTTGGGGAGTTCTTTCCGCCACAGTCTTTGACAGGAAGGTCATAAACTCTCCAACGGAACCCCTCTGGTAAAACGAGAAGGAGGAGAGATCGCTAGCGGTACTTAGAACAACACATGAATTGGAAGGAGGCGCCAGAACCACTGAAATTGAAAAGATCTTCATGTTGTCGTTACAGGTCGTGATGAGTTGAGATGGCTGCTGTTGTGAGATGTTTTGTGACTTGTCAACGTGCACCGCCTCGACAAAACGTATATAACATCAGCTACATCGAAATGATGGCCCCATCGTGGCTGCGCCCGACACACTCCCTACTGCAAAAGCTCAGTAAACCTCTGTTCATCGATGTCGATGTACGTTCGTTCCCGCAAGTTCTGTTGCTTTCTGCCGGTCAGATTGGGAGTCTTTGTAAGTTCTCGTTTCCCCCTGTCTTGCCGTCATCTGACGCGCGCCAATTTCAAAGGTTCTGTCGCTCATTGCCATGCTGGGTGGCTCCTTCATTGCTGCGATTGGGTGGATTCAAGTATCACAATTGTGTATGTTACAAGTTCACTTCAATCAAAGCTCGAGCTAATCAAGTTGTACTACAGCCCAACATCCTCTTGAACGGAATGATGAAATTGCTCTGTACGTCCACTGCGGCGTCTTCACCTTCCTGGGGGTTCTTGGTGCTCTTGGGTTTGTCGGAATCGTTTACCTATTTGAGGCGGAATTTTAACGACTCCACAGCTTCATCGGCTCGCTAGTCAAGTCAAAGGGACTAGTTATGACTTTTGGGGTCGGGGTTGCCATTCATCTCGCCTTCAGCATTGCAGCTGGTGTCTTCAACTTGTACACCATGTTCCATGAGAACTCGGCCGACGCAATCACCAAGTGTCTCAATGGTGCAACGGACGACACCACGCGCCAAGTCTGCAATAATGGAATCGCGATCGTCAAGGGCGTCGCTGTAGCCATCTACATTATTTCGTGGCTGGTTGAGCTTTGTAAGTTGCATTCCTCTCAACATTCCCAAGCTCACTTTCAATTTTTTCAGATGCATACTTCATTGTCGAGCGGTACATCGAGCAACTTGATGAAGAAGAGGATGCAAAGCGTATTCCTGTTATGCCCCAAATCAGCAACCCTCAGATGATATCAGCACCTGATTATCTCCACTTCCGTGAACCCAGGCCAGAGATGGGGTATGCGTTCACGCAGCCAAGACAAGCGTATGGCGTGTCTCGCGGTCAAGACGCGGGCAACATGGCGTAGAACTTGTCCTAATATGCACAGAACTCGTTGGTAATGATCCTTCCTGCCTGGAGCAGGTAGTATGCGTAGTTGAGAGGCTACGTACCATAGTTATAATGATAAAGCACAATTTGGAATTGGCATCATTGAATTTTTTGAGTGAGGACCTTGCTTCTGGACATGACGCTTGATGTCGTTCACGAGTTTCGTCTTCTTTCTGGCCCTCGTCTGGTTGCTCATTCATGGTTTCAACCATGTTTCGAAGCGGTCAAGGCCGCTCCTTCCGTCATATCCTGGTGCAATGCGACGACGGGCTGCTTTCTGGAACATGACGCACTGCAAAGTAACCGTATCCGCACTCCATCTGCGAATAACGACGTCCGCATTCAATGCATATCATGATCTTCTCGCCGACAAATTCACGGGTAAACGATACCCTCGCCTTACCACCCTTTCCAGGTTGTTCTATGATCTTGGGGGTGTGATGGGCGTACTGGGCATGTGCGGTGCGTTAGCTGCGCTTGCTTGGATGACTGGCTGCTCGGTATGGTCAGTTGCGCGGAAATTCCTTGCATCCTCCGTCGATAACGCGTCTTTGGAGCCCCATATCTTGTCGAGGAGAGGTCTGTCGGAAGGGAATACAAAATTGCAACAGACAAGTTCCTCATACCCTGTCATAACCCCCATCGTACGTTGTTTCATCTACCGATCTCATTTTGACCTATCTGATTTACATGTAGATACCAGGCGTAACGGTTCCGCTGGACCATTTACCTCTCATTCTTCTCGCCATCTTTCTCTCTCAAGTCATTCATGAACTAGGTCATGCAATTGCAGCGGCTCTGTGAGTATTCCATTGGAACCCTACCCCCATTTTTACAACTATTGATTATAAAAAGAGAGTCCCTTCCCGCAGTCGCGGCTGGAGTATCGTTTATCGTCTGTATACCCGCCGCATTTGTCACCTTTCCCTCGGAAGGTCTGCAAGTTCTTTCGCCTCGAGCGCGAACAAGAATCATCGCTGCCGGGCCTTTCCACAATCTTGTTTTCTGGTGTATTCTGGTTCTGCTCGGTCGGGTGGGGGCGGGAAGCCTAGCGTGGTCAGTAATGGGCTACGATAATGTGGGAGATGCAGGGAACGTGGTTCTGGACGTTGATGCCGTGAGTTACTAGGTACCTGTGAGGAGTCTTTCTGAAAATTTCTCAGGGATCACCACTATACGGCCATTTATTGCCGGGGGCGATCATCACGAAGCTGGATGACACTAACCTTGGAACTTCGAATTTGTCCCAAGATATCTGGACAACGTACTTGACATCGCCTGAAATTAGGCCGACTTTAGGATGGTGTATTGATGGAAAATTATTAGGTGGGAATGGATAATTTATCTTACATCTACTGACATGGCACATTTAGAGGGGACAGACGCTTGCTGTTCTCCTTCAGTCGGTTCCATGAGCACTTCCCTTCTGTCGTGCTTCACTGGTGCCAGATTTTCGAAGGACGTGCAGGGATGCCTGGATCCCATTCCAATTCTCACAGGACGAAATGAGACTACGCGATGTACTCGGGAGTGTGGTTCTGGGATGGTCTGTGTTGAAGCAGGTCCGGAAACTCAGCTTTTACGACTCACTGTGGTTTATCCTTCGAAAGAAGAGGCTGTTGTCCTGTGGAGTGGCCCTAGAAGCGAGGTTTGGGCTGAAGGTTAGTTGTCCGAGTGCTATACTTGCTTCTGGTTCATCAACGTCTACCTGCAGTGACTGTTGGGACCTGGATTCCTCGTTTCCGCGTTCTACCGCGTTCAATGCCGTGGATATGGGAAACATTCTGGAAGTAGGTTGATATTATTTTGCCGTTTCTTCTCGTGGTTGACTTCTGTTGCTAGTTATCTCTCAATGGCAACCCTTTCGCTGTACTTGTTCAATTTACTGCCTATACAACACCTCGACGGATCAAAATTGCTGACTTCGCTGTTGGACATGACGATGGGTGTCGACGACGACCATTTCTTGTTTGATATAGAAGGCCTAGAAATTTCAAATAGACAAGTGAATATTGGGAGGAATCGTCGAAGAACTAAGGAACGGATGGAGAAGCACATTCCATTGTGGACTATGGCCCTTCTTGTCATTTGCGTGTTACTTGCGATATTGAATGGTTTCTGACAAGGATTGAGAAGCTCTGGAGTGGAGACCGATCATGATATATATGGCATGGAGATGGTACATGCATAAGTGTGAAAGATTGCCATAGGTCTGCATACGCCGCCAATGCGTCCACCAAAAAACACCCAGAACTCAAGGGAGTGAGTTGTTTACTTCTTTTTGGTTGTCTTGTCAACTTCCACGACAGTGAGACCTATCAAGCAGGTAACAAACGATGAGCTATGGATTCGGATGCGAGGAATAAGTTGCGCACCGGGAGGCAAGCTTTGCTTGAGCTTCTCAGCCTTTTCTGGGTCGTCTATCGATAATGTGTAGAGATACCGCGAACACCTGATCTTGAACTTGGTCTGCACCTTCCCGCCTGCAACCTTTGCCGCGATCTTCTTTATGCGGGCCTCTGTACAAGTTGTGATGAGCTGAGGTGTGAATGATGCACGGAGATGGACGCACGGGAAGCATCCTTCCTCTGGGTGATTTTGATGAATTGCTTGATGTCGCGGATTTCTTTAGGCTAGTTGGATGTTAATATGCAATGAAGATGAACAGCGAGGACATTGCACTCGCCATCGTCGAAAATCTTGAGGGTGATGCAAGTCGTTTACAGAGGTGGCTTGAACCTTATTTTTGGTCGGGGTGTGCAAGCTCTTCGGTCTTTGCCGAGGATAGGGCTGACGTAAGATAAGATCACGTGTGCCACGTACGTGACTGCCGAGGCTTTTCATCTCTTCGAGTTCAAGTCTCTTCACGTCTGCAACAGCGTCCATCCCTCTGGACGCTGCAACTCTCTGGGCGCTCCAGGTTTTGCAATAATCATTTGGTTCCATTATGTGAGTTTGTTAAACGACCCACTTACCGTCTCTGACATATATATTTCTTAGGACATCTGTCTCTGTTGACTCTTCAGAGATCGCGCGGGCAAGCTTGCATGTTGCCATTCCATGGTACACCCACATATACGGCATCCCGTTCATATCACTCTACCCCCTACTGGCCTACGCGTACTACGTCAAGTATGACCAATGGCTGGTGAGCGAGGAGTGGACTTTCTTGGCCTGTGTTTCCCTCGGTGCTGGCCATGCCTTGAGTTTCTTGATCACCAAATGGCATTCTGGCGCACGCGCATGGATAACAACTAAGAAGGTGCGCCAAGATTCCTCCTCACTATCTTCTTCCTCTGATTCTTAGTTGTAGGCCCATTCCATTGCTGAAGCCGATCGTATTCGAATTGTTCCTCACCTTCATCGCGGCCAAGGCGAAATTGTTCCCCTTCTCAAGAAGAACGCGAAAGACGTGACGTCTTACACATTCAATTACCAACGCGACACATACACAGTCTCTTCCACACATCCCTTAACCTTTGCCCGTCTTCCTTATCCATCCTCTGGAAGGCCGCCTCTGAATACGTTCCTGAAGCCTGATTCTCTGGCGTCCGGTGACTTGCCGAATCTCTACGACCTTTATGGAAACAACGAGTTCGACATCCCAATTCCATCGTTTACCGAACTTTTTGGAGAGCACGCTACGGCACCCTTCTTTGTCTTTCAAATATTCTGTGTTGCTCTATGGTGCTTGGACGAATACTGGTACTACAGCCTATTCACTCTCTTCATGCTTATCGTCTTTGAGTGCACAGTCGTGTGGCAGGTAAGTTAGACTGTGCCTTGCAGGAATAGTGTCTAATATCTTCTCAGCGCGTCAGAACCTTGACCGAATTCCGGACGATGTCAGTGGCCCCATACCCGATCAAGTGTTACCGCGACGAGAGTTGGGTTGAGGTGCAGACTGACAAGCTTCTTCCAGGTGACCTCGTTTCCGTCGGTATGTTGCTCAACTATCTATGCATCGGTGCAGCGTCTCTAAAACCTTCTAGCCCGGGTCCAAACTGAAACCACGGTCCCCGCCGACATACTTTTGATAAGTGGGACCTGTATCGTCAATGAAGCGATGCTTTCCGGTGAATCCACACCTCTGTTGAAGGAATCCATACAGCTTTTGGAGGCTTCTGAGAATCTTGACGTTGATGGAGCACACAAAAATGCCGTTCTTTTCAGTGGCACGAAGATCTTACAGGCAACCCAGTCAAGTATGTGTTAGTTGATTTTCTCGTTGCTCCCACTAAATTCGCGCCGTGCAGGTGAGATACCATCTCCAGTGAAAACGCCTGATGGCGGTTGTCTCGGTGTCGTTGTGCGTACGGGCTTCGGGACGGCGCAGGGCCAACTTGTTCGAACCATGATTTTTTCAACTGAGCGGGTTTCGGCGAACAACACGGAATCTTTCCTTTTCATCGGTTTCCTCTTAATCTTTGCTATTGCTGCAAGTTGGTATGTCTGGGTTAAAGGTTTGCCGAACAGTTGTTATTCTACGTTCTGCTTGTCACGACTTTTGTTCGTTAGGTATCGAAAGAGATTTGAAGAAGTCGAAGCTTTTGTTAGACTGCATCCTCATTGTCACGAGCGTTGTCCCTCCCGAACTTCCCATGGAACTCTCGCTCGCCGTTAATACTTCACTCGTTGCGCTGTCCAAGTTTGGTCAGTCCTGCTCTGTTGCAGGGTCGTTCCTTTCTGACTTTCTGTTTCAGCGATCTTTTGTACGGAACCCTTCCGAATCCCATTTGCCGGTCGTGTCGACGTCTGCTGTTTCGATAAGACGGGAACTATCACCGCCGAGAATTTGGTGCTTGAAGGTGTGGCTGGCGTGAAGTGCGTTGCATTGATCTTCATCGTTTTCTCGTTGTTTACGACCAACTCAGTGTTGTTGACCCACGGAAATTAGTGGGTGTGAAGGAGACATCCCGCGAGACGACTCTCTGCCTGGCCGCTGCCCATGCCCTTGTTCAGCTCGATGACGGGACAGTTGTCGGAGATCCGATGGAGAAGACCACACTTGACTCTCTGGAATGGACTTTGGGCAAAGGTCCGTGCTCATACGGTTGATCAACTTGTTCATGCTCACGGCCACTTTAGGCAACGTTATTTCTCCGTCAAGTAACGTGGCCCCACACAGAACGCATTTGACTATTAGACGTCGTTTCCAATTTTCTTCGGCTCTCAAGCGCATGTCAACGTTGTCCAGCCTTCCCAATGGCAAAATTATTGCGGCAGTCAAAGGTGCACCAGAAACGATCAAAGGAATGCTGGACGTTGTTCCCGAGAACTACGACCAGACCTACAAGTGGTTTACGAGGAAAGGAAGTCGTGTTCTGGCTCTGGGTATGAAGGATATGGAGCCTATGAATGCTGATAAGGTATGTACGCCTCTTCTCAATCAGTTGCATACGATCGATGTAAAATTTTCAAGATCAACAAACTTCCAAGAGACCAAGTCGAAAGCAAACTTGTTTTCGCGGGTTTCCTTGTCTTCCATTGTCCTCTCAAGATTGATGCTGTTGAGACTCTCAAAATGCTTGCGGACTCATCTCATAGGGTGAATGTCACCGATTCCGTGCCATTTCGCGTAACTGACGGGTGACATCAGTGTATCATGATTACGGGGGATAATCCGCTTACGGCAGTTCATGTGGCTCGAGATGTCGAGATAGTCGACCGTGAAGCTATGATTCTCGACCTTGCTGAAAATCCGAGACATGACGGAGGTTGGTCTTTCTTCTTCAAATGATGTGGTCTATCGTGCTAAAGCGCTCTATAGATTTGGTCTTTAGGACTGTGGATGAGTCTAAAATCATCCCTGTTGATCCATCGGAACCCTTCGATCTGTCAGTATTCGATCAGTACGACATCTGCGTTACAGGCGCTGCTATGAAACAATTTGTATCAAAACCGAGTTGGAACGACCTTGTCCAAAATACCTGGGTTTACGCTCGTGTTTCGCCGTCGCAAAAGGAGCACATTTTGACTACCTTGAAAACCCTTGGCTACATTACCCTTATGGCTGGCGATGGAACCAATGATGTCGGGGCTCTGAAGCAGGCTCATATAGGTGTTGCACTTTTAGACGGTACACCAGAAGATCTACAGAAAATTGCGGAGCGTCAAAGACTAGAACGTATCAAGAAGGTATACGAGAGTCAGCTGAAGATCTCTGCTCGCTTCGGACAGGTGCCGCCGCCAGTTCCCCCTGCCATTGCCCATCTTCTGCCAGACGCCGTTCAAGCTCAGCAGCGGGTGGCAGCAGACTTGCAGGTTGCGCGTCAGAGGAACCCAATGGAAAAGGTTCGTTTTTTTAAACAATTCTTCCTGCATATCTAAACTGCAATTAGTTTGACTTGAACTCAATAACGGAAAAAATGGCAGAGATGGAAGGCGAGGAAGATGTCCCAAAAATTAAACTTGGGGATGCCTCTTGTGCCGCACCCTTCACCTCTAAGTTATCCCATGTATCGGCCAGTACGTATCATTTCCGTTTCATCATACCGACGAGCCTTTTGTTGACTGCTTTCTAGTCACGCATATCATTCGGCAAGGACGCTGCACGCTCGTCGCAACCATTCAGATGTACAAAATTTTGGCTTTGAACTGTCTCATCACGGCATATAGTCTTAGCGTGCAGTACCTTGACGGAATCAAGTTTGGCGACTATCAAGTAACTATCACTGGCATGTTAATGTCAGTCTGTTTCCTGTGTATATCCCGAGCCAAGGTATGTGAGGCAGTTTTCTCCATTTATCAATTGTCAAGTGAGGGTGCGTTAGCCTGTCGAGAAACTATCGCGCGAACGTCCTTTGGGCAACATCTTCAACTTTTACGTCCTGCTATCGGTTCTTTTGCAATTTGCGTTGCACATCGCGACGTTGGTTTACATCACAAACCTATCTCATTCGTATGAGCAGTAAGTCAACCGGTGCCTTTCCAGATATGTACCGCTCACGTCAACGTCAAGGATGGGTCCCATTGACCTCGAAGCGAAATTCGAGCCCAGTCTTCTTAACACTGCAATTTACCTGCTTGGTTTGTCTCAACAAGTCTCGACATTCACCATCAACTTCCAGGTTTGTTGGCCGCAATTTTGTGATTCAAGTGTGTAACACAGTTGTTTTTCTGTTAGGGACGACCTTTCCGTGAAGGAATTCGCGAAAACCGTGCGCTGTGGTGGGGGCTTGTGGCGGCTAGTGCCGTCGCTTTCTCGGGAGCAACTGACTTTATGCCCGAGTTGAATAGATGGCTCCAGATAGTTGAAATGAAAGACTCGGTCAGTCTTTCGACTCCGATTCTTGTCGTAAACAGATAACCAACAACCTCGTTAGTTCAAGCTCCGATTGACTGTGACCATGATCGTTGATTTCATAGGCTGTTGGATTATCGAGGTTGTCTGCAAGCACATCTTTGCTGACCTTGAACCTAAAGCAATGGTTACCCGGGGGCGAGATCGTAGGGAGCGTCGTAGAGCAGAGGAAGACTTCAGGCAGAAGGATGCAGAGATAGGTGAAAAGTTGAAGACACTTTAGGTTATTAAGGTACATACATACTGTTCTAGATTATAATGAACTACAGTGTAATGGATTTGGGACTGGGCAAATTTTCTTGACAACTGTGCTCGCTGGCCTTCTGCTGTGCAACATTTATGATATGCACAGCTGTGAAAAGATGTCCCCTGCACTAGATAATGAGCCCCAATGAAAACCATTTACAGCTGGTTGATTCCGTGAGCATCAAGATTTTTATTTCCTGCTGTGACACAACATCTCACTTGATACAGGGGAGAACTGGCTATGTGGCCAATGGGCACATGAGTAAGCATATGTTGATTGGAGGGATTAATGCTCTCCCATATTCTTCCCATATGCCTATTGTGCACATTTGAAATTCAATTCAAGTAAGCTCCAAAATACATATATCATGGGATTCCTAGTCAAAATATGCCCATTAAAATGGGCTATCATATGTGGCTGATTTGTTCATTCCCGCTACTTTAGTAGTGGGTCTTGTGGGTAGTGTTGCCAAAGTTCAGTCCAGTTCAGTTCTTTGGCATTTTTTGAGAACTGAGAATTGGACTGACAGCCTCCTGGCAGAACTGAGAACTTAACAGGACTGAACTGGTAAGAACCATTCTTTCCTGTTCAGTTCCATTCAATTCTCAGTTCAAACTGCCGAACTGGTGAAAAAAATGGTAATTTGCCTCCATAGGGGGGATTATGTACTCTAGCATCTCGATACTAATATATCTACATTCTGGGTGAGCATTAGCCTCAATTGAAGCATCAAGAAGGCACATTTTATAACTGTGCTTGATAATTTGCACCTGGCCAACAAGAAATAACTCATCAACCATGCAACAAGGTACATCTATGTTCCTCCTCCCTCCTCAAACACACCTCCTGGTACTCTCAACAGTACTGCCACACTGCCATCCATTCATGCAAACATCTATGCACTCTTCTCCAGTGGGGGAGCTGAACGGGATATGAAGCGACATTAGATAGGTCCAGGAACAGTGGCTTGATGTGAAAGAGGAGTGGGATGTGTTTGTGAGGGGGGAGTGGAGGAAGGAGGGTGAGGTGGTTCATGCTAGGATACAAGAGAGGAAAGAAGGGGATGTTGGAGTGGACGAGTTGGGAATACTTATACCAGATGTATGTGTGAATTACTCTGCAAGACAAATGTGGTAGGTTCTTTGCACTTGAGGCATTTTGACTGGCCAAGATGATGATGGGTGCACAGAGATGGTGAAGCTGGGTATTGCTCTGTGAGATGAATGTGGTAGACATGTGGCACTCAAATCATTTGGGCTAGCCAAGACAGCAACAAGCATGCAAAAGAGACAGACAATATGTGGTAGATATGTTGTATCAATTGTTTGGACTGGCCAAGACAATGAAGAGCATGCAGCAAAAGACAATGAGCACACAGCAAAGAGAGGGTGCTGTGGGAAGTTGAACTTGCACAGCCTTGGAGTGAAGAGCAAGAATCAATGACACATGAACATTTCCTGATCATTTGATGGGGGGAAGTTTCTTGCATCATCAGAATCTATGATGACTACCTACGACTGAAGTAGCACAGCCTTGGTACAAATCTCAAGATTCTATGACAAACAAACATTTCCCAATCATTTGATGGGGACGTTTCGTGCATTGTCAGAATCTGTGATGCCAAGAGGACAAGAGATGAGAGATGAGATCTAAAACTTACCTCCTGAGATCTGCCTCCCCTGCATTTGGACATTGTGGGAAAGATTGTTTAAAAAGGAAATAGATCATGTCATCCACTTCAAAATTATCAGAAATACATGCTATAGCTCAATTACACACTCTTTGCACCCTATAACCTCTAAAAATTACTATTGGAATGATTTCAACTTATTTGTCAATATTTGACATTGTTTTTAGCACTATGTCAACAATATTTCATTTATGAGTCCTCTGAGTTTACAAAGAGACTTGTTTATTACCCAGGATCTCGAGACTTTTTTCAGCATGGTAACACTGAAATTTGACTTTCTCCCATGAAAATGATTTCTTCCCACAGTTGAATGCCTCTCCTCCTCATCATATCCTAGCCAAATCTACCAAATCATTGCTTAACACTTGCTTTTAGCACCCTGAGCATATGAATAGTGATGCCTCTGCTCTCTCTCTACTCAAATTGTTTGCTAGCTCTGTCCTTGCAAGCTTCCTTGACATTTCCACAGTGTTATTGACCCATGGTATGCTTTGTCAACATACCTCATTGTTGTCATGTGTCATGGCTTGCACTCATGAGACATCATGATTCCTGCCCATTCTGCATTCTGGTCCAAATGACACAGTTTCTTTTGCAGTATGAGCTCTGTATCTGTAGGATTATTCTGAAATGACAATAAGTGAAGATAAATACAAATAAATAGCCTGAAAATGAAATGTATGGAGCTCATTCAATTTTGCCCCAAATGACATAGTCTTTTTTACAATGGACATGTTGAATATGTGCTTCTACTATAAAGCAACAATAGCAATAAACAAATACAAATGCACACTTACACAATGAAACAGCTTTACATCTAGCCTTTTGTAGTCCATTATTAAAGTTGATAGTCTATATTCAACTTTGTAGTCCATGTCTGACCTTTGTGTCTATCAGTGAACTTTGTAGTATATGTCCAACTTGTATAATCTTTTGTAGTTTGTTAGTAATTAGTAATAGCTGCTAATCTAAATGGAAAATGGTAATCAAATCACAGAAATGTGGAGGTTAGTGATGATCTTGGAGAGTATTTTCAGTGTCCTAAGTGCATTTCCAAATATGGTAATATATCCAAAAAAATACACAAAATAGCAGCACAACCATAGAAAATTAGCAAATGTCCTTACTAGTGGTTGTGTTCCGGGTCCAGGATACATATCCAAATATGGTAATCTATCCAAAAATAGTTATAAAATAGCAGAAAAATCAGAGAAAATTGAGGGATGGTAGTGATTACAAGTGATGATGTTGGATAAAAGTTTCAGGATCTAGGATGGACTTCCAAATATGTTTATCTACCTGCATATAACCAGAAAATGAGCAAAAAATGAGAAAAATATAGAATTGTTTCCTATTGATGAATTGGTGATGATGCTGAAAACTCTGCTTAGAGTTCAGTGTGACACTCAAATAGGGAAACAGACTAGTGTGTAATAAAAATATATCCAGAAATTCAGAAAAAGCAGAAATGGGTTACTATCACCCTTGCAAAAGAGGACTCGTTCCTGCCATGTTTGCAATGGCCTCTTACACAAGTCCAACAAATGCTTCATCCCATGACTCATTTTCTAATTTAAGATACTTTCCACATTGCCAAGGTTTGAAAAGTGTGAGCATTGTAGAGCAATAATATTCTCAATCTCCTTGGTCACATCATGGTAATCTACCTCCAACAAAATTTGGAACAAGAGCATTTTCCTCATCAACAACTGTAACCTTATGAGTACAATACTGAGGATGCTCTGAAAGGAATTCATGGCTTTCATATTCATCATATATAATTTGGTAATCATTTAGTTCATCCTCAGGGTCGAGATCTTGATCTCCAACTTCATCTTCGATGTCATCAGCTATACTGTCTCCTCCACCAAGAAAATTAATTTCATCTTCTCCTTCTGTGTCTGTGCCATCATCTTCTGCATTAGATTCAAGTTCATCCTTATCATAATGAACATCAAATTATTGCTGTTCTTCTTTTGAACACTTCTCTTTTTTGGCTTTATGTATCCAGTCATATAGAGACATGTGCTCATAAGCAGTTGGGCGATAGATATAATCATATACACTTGATATTCCTATGTATGTGCCATCATACTTCTGCAAAATGGCTTTGTCTGGTGCATCTTTATGTTCAGTGTTAAATGACTCTGTTGTATTATTTTCTGTATCTAACCATGCATTCCATGCCTCCCTTACATAAATTTTCCAATAGAAAAGAGTGAATTTGTGGCTGGTATAATGGTCAGGATTTCCAAGAAGATAGAGAGAAGCCATGGGGCTTCCAATTTCCATCTTTGCAGTCAGTGTGTTTACACTTCAGTCACCCACCTTGAACAAGTTATTAGCCTTGAAACATATGTATATATCCAGGCTAATAGGTTCTTTGGCCCTTTATTTTTTTGCCTCTGGAGGAAAATATATTATTGTATTGGGCAAAAATCTTTCACCTTCAATATTGTGACCAGAAATGTTAATGAAATAACAAGTAAGCTCAGCGTTGTGTAGAAGAACAACCACTGTATTTAGTACCTAATGAAATAACAAGTCTAGGTACCAGTGAGTATTAATAAGAAAGAAAGAGAACGAAATGACGTACAAGCTCAGCGTTGTGTAGAAGAACAACCACTGAGCGTGACGGGTGTGACATGTAAGTAGAAAAGTCCGAGACGCGTTTAAACGAGAATGTATCTAGATGTCAATTTCTAACACTCCCACTCATTCGTGGTTTCAAACCGAGCATGGAAACGAACTGCATGTGTTTCTCTCCAGTAAGACCCTTCGTTAATCCATCTGCAACCATATCCTTAGTTGGAACATAATCAAGAAGAATTTGACCATCTTCGACAGCAAAGTGAATGAAGTGATAGCGAAGTTGAATGTGTTTGGTGTGAGGATGATTGCTGGGATTCTTTGAGAGTGCAATAGCTCCTTGGTTATCACCTAGGAGCAAAGTGGGCTTGTCCTGCTTGAAGCCAAGTTGCTCGAGGAGCTGATGAAGCCAGATCACTTCCTGAGAAGCACGTGTGAATGCCATATACTCTGCCTCAGTAGATGAGAGTGCAGGTGTGTTCTGGAGTTTGCTGCTCCAGCAGATAGCTGCACCACATGCAAGAAAGACAAATCCTCCAGTGGATCGTCGAGTATCGAGATCGCCAGCCCAATCAGAGTTGGAATATCCCAGGATGAATGAAGTCATCTCACCAGCCTTCTTGCGATCGAAGACAAGGCAGTAGTCATGAGTCCCTCCAAGATAGTGAAGAACATGAACAGCTTCATCCCAATGAGT